TTTGATTCGTTCAGTGTTGTCTGTTGTCTTGTATTCAGTCTGGTCTGATGTGCTAGTATTTGATTCGTTCAGTGCACATTGTCTGTTGTCTGTTGTCTTGTATTCAGTCTGGTCTGGTGTGCTAGTATTTGATTCGTTCAGTGCACATTGTCTGTTGTCTGTTGTCTTGTATTTGGTCTGGTCTGGTGTGCTAGTATTTGATTCGTTCAGTGCACATTGTCTGTTGTCTGTTGTCTTGTATTTGGTCTGGTCTGGTGTGCTAGTATTTGATTCGTTGAGTGCACACATGTTAACGACACAAGTGCACGGGCGTAGTATCGATCACAACAGTGTCGTGTTAATCAACACATGGACGAGTCGTTTGAACAACACAGTGTGTCGTATGATCAACATTAGTTATAGATACAGCGTGTTGTATCACCAACATTAGTTATAGATACAGCGTGTCGTATGATCTACATATAATTATAGATACAGTGTGTCGTATGATCAACATATAGTTATAGATACAGTGTGTCGTATGATCAACATATAATTATAGATAATGTGTCGTATGATCAACATATAGACACAGTGTGTCGTATGATCAACATATAATTATAGATAGTGTGTCGTATGATCAACATATAATTATAGATACAGTGTGTCGTATGATCAACATATAATTATAGATACAGTGTGTCGTATGATCTACATATAATTATAGATACAGTGTGTCGTATGATCAACATATAGTTATAGATACAGTGTGTCGTATGATCAACATATAATTATAGATACAGTGTGTCGTATGATCTACATATAATTATAGATACAGTGTGTCGTATGATCAACATATAGTTATAGATACAGTGTGTCGTATGATCAACATATAATTATAGATACAGTGTGTCGTATGATCTACATATAATTATAGATACAGTGTGTCGTATGATCAACATATAGTTATAGATACAGTGTGTCGTATGATCAACATATAATTATAGATAATGTGTCGTATGATCAACATATAGACACAGTGTGTCGTATGATCAACATATAATTATAGATACAGTGTGTCGTATGATCAACATATAATTATAGATACAGTGTGTCGTATGATCAACATATAATTATAGATACAGTGTGTCGTATGATCAACATATAGTTATAGATACAGTGTGTCGTATGATCAACATATAATTATAGATACAGTGTGTCGTATGATCAACATATAATTATAGATACAGTGTGTCGTATGATCAACATATAATTATAGATACAGTGTGTCGTATGATCAACATATAATTATAGATACAGTGTGTCGTATGATCTACATATAATTATAGATACAGTGTGTCGTATGATCAACATATAGTTATAGATACAGTGTGTCGTATGATGAACATATAATTATAGATACAGTGTGTCGTATGATCAACATATAGTTATAGATACAGTGTGTCGTATGATCAACATATAATTATAGATACAGTGTGTCGTATGATCAACATATAATTATAGATACAGTGTGTCGTATGATCAACATATAGTTATAGATACAGTGTGTCGTATGATCAACATATAGTTATAGATACAGTGTGTCGTATGATCAACATATAATTATAGATACAGTGTGTCGTATGATCAACATATAATTATAGATACAGTGTGTCGTATGATCAACATATAGTTATAGATACAGTGTGTCGTATGATCAACATATAGTTATAGATACAGTGTGTCGTATGATCAACATATAGTTATAGATACAGTGTGTCGTATGATCAACATATAGTTATAGATACAGTGTGTCGTATGATCAACATATAGTTATAGATACAGTGTGTCGTATGATCAACATATAGTTATAGATACAGTGTGTCGTATGATGAACATATAATTATAGATACAGTGTGTCGTATGATCAACATACAGACACAGTGTGTCGTATGATCAACATACAGACACAGTGTGTTGTATCACCAACACAGTGTGTCGTATCACCAACACAGTGTGTCGTATGATGAACATATAATTATAGATACAGTGTGTCGTATGATCAACATACAGACACAGTGTGTCGTATGATCAACATACAGACACAGTGTGTTGTATCACCAACACAGTGTGTCGTATCACCAACACAGTGTGTCGTATGATGAACATATAATTATAGATACAGTGTGTCGTATGATCAACATACAGACACAGTGTGTCGTATGATCAACATACAGACACAGTGTGTCGTATCACCAACACAGTGTGTCGTATCACCAACACACCACTGTGACACCCTACGCCGAGCCTAACAACAGACGAAACTAAAAATGGCGGCTAAATTTATTTTTTTACTTTAAATTCGACGAGAACAAAGAAGCGGAAATCGGATGCCAATGAATTAACTTTAGCCGCTGTTGATTGTGGCTAAATTACACTGGCCTACAAGAGAAAATTGAAAAAAAAAAATTCTAGGTCATTGGGTGAAAGGTCGGGTTGAAGATGTTATATGCAAGTCATGCAGACGTATGCATAAGATATGCATGTCTGCTAAATTAGTTTCACGTTTTTATCTGTTTCTGGCTGATTAGCAAAGCAAAACTTAAATCCCTACGCTTGTTATAAACCTCTATCCTACTTTTTATAATCCTCTATAAACCTACCCCACTAGTTATAAACCTACTCCCACTAGTTAACCTACCCCTCTCCCCGTAGTTATAAACCTACTCCTAATAGTTTTAAACCTACTCCAAATAGTTTTAAATCTACCCCAATAGTTATAAACCTACCCCAATAGTTATAAACCTACCCCAATAGTTATAAACCTACCCCAATAGTTATAAACCTACTCCAATAGTTATAAATCTACCCCAATAGTTATAAACCTACACCAATAGTTATAAACCTACTCCAATAGTTATAAACCTACCCAAATAGTTATAAACCTACCCCAATAGTTATAAACCTACTCCAATAGTTATAAACCTACTCCAATAGTTATAAACCTACCCAAATAGTTATAAACTTACTCCAAATAGTTATAAACCTACCCCAATAGTTATAAACCTACCAAAATAGTTATAAACCTACTCCAATAGTTATAAACCTACCCAAATAGTTATAAACTTACTCCAAATAGTTATAAACTTACTCCAAATAGTTATAAACCTACCCAAATAGTTATAAACCTACCCAAATAGTTATAAACCTACCCAAATAGTTATAAACCTACCCAAATAGTTTTAAACCTACCCCAATAGTTTTAAACCTACCCCAATAGTTATAAACCTACCCCAATAGTTATACTCCTATCCCCACTTGTCAAAAACCTGCCCCACGAGTTATAAACCTACCCCAATAGTTATAAAACTACCCCAATAGTTATACTCCTACCCCCACTTGTCAAAAACCTACCCCACGAGTTATAAACCTACCCCTATAGTTATAAACCTACCCCAATAGTTATACTCCTACCCCCACTTGTCAAAAACCTACCCCACGAGTTATAAACCTACCCCTATAGTTATAAACCTACCCCAATAGTTATACTCCTACCCCCACTTGTCAAAAACCTACCCCACGAGTTATAAACCTACCCCAATAGTTATACTCCTACCCCCACTGGTCAAAAACCTACCCCACTAGTTATAAACCTACCCCACTAGTTATAACCTCTATCCCCAACATACTTTTCTCCATCCCCCCCAGAATCACAGTGAGATATCTGCAATGAGTCTCTAACACCAGCAGGGAAGCAACTATGCCACAGAGCATTTGAAAACTCGAACCAGGATTAGACAGGAGACAATATCTGACGAGGTGCCGGGTAAAATATGGAGCCCATATCAACAGGCGAGCAAGAGGAAGAGGCTGTCACGGACTTGTAAGACTTTACTCTTTGGTCGGGACTGACTTACACTGACTAGTGACTTTGGAAGATTTTACTCTTTGGGTCGGGACTGACTTACACTGACTAGTGACTTGTAAGATTTTACTCTTTGGGTCGGGACTGACTTATCAGATTTTTAAAATAAATTACGTGGCGGGCACAGATTTATAGAACTTTGCTCTAAGATATTTAGAAATGCGCATATGCCGCACATTTCCCCCCACCCTAAAGCACATTCCCCCCCCCCCACCCTAACGCACATTTTCCCCCACCCTAACGTACATTTCCCCCCACCCTAAAGCACATTCCCCCCCCACCCTAACGCACATTTTCCCCCACCCTAACGTACATTTCCCCCAAACCCTAATGCACCCCCCCCCCCACCCTAGCGCAACCCCCTCCCCTACCCTAACGCACATTCCTACAAAGTTGAGTGGGGCTGGGTGTAGCCTCCACCCAATAATGCATTAATTAAAAATTTCAACACTCTCTCTCGAGAGAAGAAAAAAATGCCGTTCCCCACGACCTTGAATAATTATGTGTACTCTACTGGGGGTTAAAAAATCCTGTGTTTATTTCGTATTGAAATGATTTTATTAGGTAAATTCGCTAGCGGCTTCTGTACATGACTAGCATTCATTAAATTATAGCTGTCAACATCCCACTTGGCCAAATGTCTGAACCCCTGACTTTCAAACTAGATTTCCGACATCCTGACTGTCCGAACCCCTGACCGTTCAAACTAGATTTCCGAACCCCTTGACTATTCGAACCCCCGGACTGTTTGAACCCCCTGACTGTTTGAATCCCCTGACTGTTTGAACCCCCTGACTGTTTGAACCCCCTGACTGTTCGAACCCCTGACTGTCTGAACCCCCTGACTGTGTGAACCCCCTGACTGTCCGAACCCCCTGACTGTCCGAACCCATGACTGTCCGAACCCCCTGACTGTCCGAACCCCCTGACTGTCCGAACCCCCTGACTGTCCGAACCCCCTGACTGTCCGAACCCCCTGACTGTCCGAACCCCCTGACTGTCCGAACCCCCTGACTGTCCGAACCCCCTGACTGTCCGAACCCCCTGACTGTTCGAACCCCTGACTGTCTGAACCCCCTGTTTGTTCCAGATTTCTCCACACGCCAACACACGAGAATGATTTAGAGACTCGCGTCGCCAGGGGGCGGGGCTGCAGTCGTTACAAGGACGCCTTGAAAGTTTGCCTACCAATCAGATGTCAGAACACGTAAGTCTTTAAAGTCTCCTCACCGCCCCCCCCCCACACACACTTTTACACACGCACCCCACACACCCACCTCACACTTTTACACACGCACCTCACACACCCACCTCACACACCCACCTCACACACCCACCTCACACTTTTACACACGCACCTCACACACCCACCTCACACACCCACCTCACACACCCACCTCACACACCCACCCACCTCACACTTTTACACACCCACCTCACACACCCACCTCACACACCCACCTCACACACCCACCTCACACACACACCCACCTCACACTTTTACACACGCACCTCACACACCCACCTCACACACCCACCTCACACACCCACCTCACACACCCACCTCACACTTTTACACACGCACCTCACACACCCACCTCACACACCCACCTCACACACCCACCTCACACACCCACCTCACACACCCACCTCACACTTTTACACACGCACCTCACACACCCACCTCACACACCCACCTCACACACCCACCTCACACACCCACCCACCTCACACTTTTACACACGCACCTCACACACCCACCTCACACACCCACCTCACACACCCACCTCACACACACACCCACCTCACACTTTTACACACGCACCTCACACACCCACCTCACACACCCACCTCACACACCCACCTCACACACCCACCTCACACACCCACCTCACACTTTTACACACGCACCTCACACACCCACCTCACACACCCACCTCACACACCCACCTCACACACACACCCACCTCACACACCCACCTCACACTTTTACACACGCACCCCACACACCCACCTCACACTTTCACGTACATTTATCAACTCCCACATTCCAAAAACCTCAATAAAAACAAAAATCTGTTGTCGTTCATTTTTATAAAATTTATTTACACATTTTCCTCCGTCAGCCCAAAAAACAAGCTGCCCCTGGACGGGATTGGTCTTCTAAGTTTCATCACCTACACCTGGGTGACGCCCTACCTGTGGCGGGTGTACCGCCAGGGGGTGCAGGTTGTACAGGGGCTTCAGATCTCCGATCTGGAGAGTTCCGATACCACAGTGTTGAGGTAATCCGATCAAGGGGAGCCTACTCTGTTTGCAATAGTTTGTTTACATTTTGGATGCACTTCAATTTCAGCTTGTTTTAAAATTCAAATTGGTGTTTTTCTTACACAATTCACAAGTGTAACAATAATTAGAGCTGACCATATCCCCATATGTCATACATCATGTAGAATTGATGTAGATGTACACCCTTTTCATACCTTTGGTTACTTTAAATGTTGAATAACATTAATATAGGATGGGTGGCCTGCTAAATTAAAATTTTGAATGATAAATTTAAAAAATCATTAAATCTTGGAATCTTGGTCCTTTGTTTTAAGTGTGTTAGCTGTCCTAATGGCCCCGACTGTCCTAATGGCCCCGACTGTCCTAATGGCCCCGACTGTCCTAATGGCCCTGACTGTCCTAATGGCCATGACTGTCCTAATGGCCATGACTGTCCTAATGGCCATGACTGTCCTAATGGCCATGACTGTGGAATGGCCATGACGGTGGAATGGCCCTGACATTATTGAATGACCCTTTTGTTTACATAACAGGGTCGAGAGATACTGGAAGGAGCAGGTGGAGTCAAAAGGTGAAGGTCAGGCCTCTCTGTTTGCAGCGGTTCTCAAGTTGTTCAGGACCCGTCTGATATGTGGCATCATCATGTCCATGATTGTTGCCTTCTTCACTCTAGCTAACCCAGTAAGTCATTTCCCCTACCCAGTAAGTCATTTCCCCTACCCAGTAAGTCATTTCCCTAACCCAGTCAGTCATTTCCCTAACCCAGTCAGTCATTTCCCTAACCCAGTCAGTCATTCCCCTAACCCAGTCAGTCATTCCCCTAACCCAGTCAGTCATTCCCCTAACCCAGTCAGTCATTCCCCTAACCCAGTCAGTCATTTCCCTAACCCAGTCAGTCATTCCCCTAACCCAGTCAGTCATTTCCCTGACCCAGTCAGTCATTCCCCTAACCCAGTCAGTCATTCCCCTGACCCAGTCAGTCATTTCCCTAACCCAGTCAGTCATTTCCCTAACCCAGTCAGTCATTTCCCTAACCCAGTCAGTCATTTCCCTAACCCAGTCAGTCATTTCCCTAACCCAGTCAGTCATTTCCCTAACCCAGTCAGTCATTTCCCTAACCCAGTCAGTCATTTCCCTAACCCAGTCAGTCATTTCCCTAACCCAGTCAGTCATTTCCCTAACCCAGTCAGTCATTTCCCTAACCCAGTCAGTCATTTCCCTAACCCAGTCAGTCATTTCCCTAACCCAGTCAGTCATTTCCCTAACCCAGTCAGTCATTTCCCTAACCCAGTCAGTCATTTCTCTAACCCAGTCAGTCATTTCCCTAACCCAGTTTGTCATTTTACTTCTAGCTAACCCAGTCAGTCATTTTACAATTTGTTTCTGTTTTTCTGATCCATCTTTTGAAATGATTTTTGTTTTGTTTCAGATCTTGGTGATCCAGTTTTTTCTGAGCTACCTGTCAGAAGGGGATGTAAGTGTACGTTCTGGTCTGGTCTATGCCATCATGTTGGGCCTCATCATCATCATCAGAAGCTTTGTGGATTCTGTCTTTTGGATGTTAAATTTTAGGGCAGGTTGGTAGCATATAGACTTGACAGGTTGGTAGCATATAGACTTGACAGGTTGGTAGCATATAGACTTGACAGGTTGGCTGGGTTGGTGGTGAACGTAGACTTTGGAAATGTTAGACTGCAGACCAGTGGGAGATTAGTGACATTGGTCAGCCGGTAAAGCCCATTCAAACAAGCCCACTCCCCACTGCAACTCATCCATGCAAGCTACCACAATCATTTCGTAACCCACCTAATATCTAATAAAACTACCACAACCACCCCTCTACCTCATGCATTAAAGGCCGCACAAATAATAAAAGGCCTTTACAACTTGTATTTGTTGTCTCAACATATTTAAAATAAAAAAAAACACCCAATCTAACTAGTAGTTTTTATCTGCAATATCTCTGTCAAATGCAGAAACTTTTTTTTGTTTTTTTCCAGCTGTTCGCATCAAGTTTGGTATCCTGGCCTTGCTGTACAAAAAAGTGCTCAGATTAAAGACCCTGAGAGATAAAAGTATAGGAGACGTAAGTTTGATGGCCCATAACTCTGTCTAAAAGGGGAAGTAATGCTTTATGATTGAACTCAATTGTTGGTTGGTAGATTGCAATCAGTGAGGGTTGACAGGGGATTTTTACATAACATGGTTTATGTCTGTGTTAATGAAGGGGGTCTCTACATTTACATGTTTTAGTTAGTGGTGTGCACATGGCAGGTGTAGGCTACATGGGTGTAGGCTACATGGGTGTAGGCTACAGGCTACATGGGTCTGGGCTACATGGGTCTGGGCTACATGGGTCTGGGCTACATGGGTCTGGGCTACATGGGTCTGGGCTACATGGGTCTGGGCTACATGGGTCTGGGCTACATGGGTCTGGGCTACATGGGTCTGGGCTACATGGGTCTGGGCTACATGGGTCTGGGCTACATGGGTCTGGGCTACATGGGTCTGGGCTACGCGGGTCTGGGCTACATGGGTCTGGGCTACATGGGTCTGGGCTACATGGGTCTGGGCTACATGGGTCTGGGCTACACGGGTCTGGGCTACACGGGTCTGGGCTACACGGGTCTGGGCTACATGGGTCTGGGCTACACACTGGAGACTTTGTAACATGCATGAGGTTCTTTTCAGGCAACAATAACAATTATAAAATAAAGTTGTGACCATTAGTAAACCAAGGTAGTTTTACTTAAATTTGACGTAAAAATGGCTTGGTTGTGACACGTTGGAAATAATTTAGGAAAATATTGAATCAAATTGATGGTAATCAGGATTTGGACAATACTATGTCACCTTAAGTCAAGCTTAAACATTACAAAAATTGAGAGAAATAAGTTTCTACATGTACTTTAATTTAAATTGTTTTTATTGATTTCTAGCTGGCAAATGTAATAGGAAATGACGGAGAGAGGATCTGGGCAGGAATAGTTATGGGCCCTTTCATCCTGGTGGCCCCGATGGTTATAATCAGTGGCCTTGTGTACTGTGTCGTCTACTTGGGCCCATGGGCCTTGCTCAGCTGTTTGATTGTTCTTGGGTTCTTTCCCTTTGCTGTGAGTTACTTCCCTTAGTATCTATCAGTTTATATATATCTACCATATATTTCATTGTTCTGGTTACTGTGTTTACAAATTGGCTTTGTTTTTAAAGGGTGCGTTTGCCAAGATGGCTGAGAAGTACAGAGAAGTGAGCATCAAAATTACGGACAAAAGGGTGAGAATTTCTTACAAACACAGTGGCTGAAAATGTGTAATCTGGGCAATAGAAACTTAGCAGTGTGTGATTTTAGATATTAAAAAATGTGTAAAAAAATGTGTAAATATGTTAGAATTTTTTTTTATTGTGCAGGTTGGTCTAATATCTGAGCTTTTAACATCCATTAAACTTGTTAAAATGTATGTATGGGAAACATCTTTTTCTCAAAAAATTTCAGGTAATTCTACATGTTTTTTGTATTAGTGATTTATATTTTACTATCTTCAAGTTTAAGGCATTTTTAAAAAATAGAATTTATTTAAAAATTTAACAGAATCTAATTATCTAATTATGATCTAGCAAAGTAAAGCATTTGTTTTCATCTCTTGTATTCTTTCATGAAATTAGATATACTTATACTTAATTCTGTTCTTGGGTTTTAAATCTTACTGCAAAATCTTCAATGCTTAAAAAAAATATGGTTAGTTTACTTAGGATAATTATTTCCTTTTGTTAAAAATGTGTATATGTTACATCATGTTTGAAGTAATACAAAAATGTCTGCCCCTCTCTAGAGATACGAGCAAGTGAGAAATCCATCATAGAAAAAAGTGTGTTTGCGCTAAGTATAACCATGGGGTCCTCCATGTTGGTGTCTGTCTTTGCCAGCTGTCTGACATTCATCTGTTATGTAGCAACAGGGAATAATTTAACTCCAACACAGGTGAGCTCTTTCATTCAAACATTCCTTTTTCAACTTGACCGACCATTGGACAGAAAGAGTTAATCTGTTTCTTGGACTACAGCACATGAATGTATTGTGTAGTCATATTTTCTTTCCCTGTCTGAAGTCAGGCATTTATTAGAGCTGAGTTGGACGCTAGGTCATTTTGGACATGAGTCTAGGAACAGAACTTGAGTTCAAAACTTTAAGGAAGTATTCATGTGATCTACCACTAGACCACCTCATCCCTCTATGGTTCAAGGGTTCTCATAAAAACACCAGCAGGACAGTACCATGTGACATCTATATATAGATTAGTTTTTTCAATTTCTGCTTGTATTGCTATTAAGGTTAAAGATTTAATTCTGATAAGTGTAGGGATGTTAGCCAAAAAAGTAGTTTCAAATATGTCTTGCCAACATTTGAAAGACTGCCTCTTTTATTTAAATTAATAAATTGTACATGAAATGACTTAAGTTTCTAATGGCAAAGATTTTGGTTTAAATGTAGGCTTTTACCTTTGTTGCTCTGCTGAACTCTATGCAAGGTTCACTGCTGTCTGTGCCCTTTGCCCTCAAGTCTATCTCAGAGATGGCTGTCACACTCAAGAGAATACAGGTCAGCCATTTTGTTTTTGGGGTTAACTTGTTTAAATTTCATGCAGGTCAGCCATTTTGTTTTGGGGTTAACTTGTTTATGAGGTCTGCCATTTTGTTTTTGGGTTAACTTGTTTAGGCTTATATTTCAATGAGGTCAGCCATTTTGTTTTTGGGTTAACTTGTTTATGAGGTCAGCCATTTTGTTTTTGGGTTAACTTCTTTAGGCCTATATTTCAATGAGATCAGCCATTTTGTTCTTTGGTTTAAGTTTTTCATTTCATACATGTCAGCTTTTTTATAATCACAGCAGCCACTTTTTTTAGCGTCTAAAGATTTTAAAAGTGTTTAAGTTCATTGATCTGACATGTTTTAATTCACTTGTTTTACCTAGGCAATTTTGTTAATGGATGAAATAAATGGCCAGTACCAACAACCATCTGAGAACTCTTTGGCTGTGGAGATAAAAAATGCTTCTTTTGCCTGGAGCAGCAATCGAAGTAGGAAAAAAGAGAATGGTAAATGTTACTGTAAATGTTCTTTTCATGAATCATCGGGTTATCAATACTACAACAGACTTATCTTTTCATGTAACCTGTTTTTTTTTAAATTATTTTTTACCAGGAAACATTCATAAATAGCCTTAAATTATTTTGAGAACAAAATTTAACCATTTATCTGGCCAACACAGAGGCAAGCAAGAAACCTGAAGAGGAAGTGGGGCTAAATGAGGCTGACATGGAGAAAAACGAGCAGATATTTTCTGGGCCATCTCTCACAAACATCAGCTTGACCATAAAAAAGGTAACAGATGGTTAAATCTGATGGTAGCCTGTTTGTGTTTGTACGTGTGTGTGTGTGTGCGCTCATGTGTAGATGTGCATGTACAGGGATTGTTGCATTATATGTCCATCTATATGTGTGTGTATGGGACCTTGTGGTCCTAGCGGTAGAGCACTAAACTGCTGACCCAAGAGTCTCAAGTTCGAATCTGGGTTAAGTCAGCAAAACGTCCTTGAGTCTACCCATCTCTAATAGGTATGTAACTCATGTTAGGGAAAGTAAAGGCAGCTGGGCATTGTGTTAACACAATCCCTTCATAAGGTGAGGTCACAGAAACAGGTGAACTCTACTTCACTTGCCCCATGGACCATCAGGTTCAAAAAGGGAACTTTACTTTTTTATGTGTGTGTACAAGGATTGGTACATTCCATGTTCCCTATATATATAGCAATGTGTGTAGGCTATTTATTTTTACATTACTTGGTGCAAAATATAAAGGGGACATATGTATTATATTATAATTACATCATATATAGCATGTATTACACAACCTTACACAGTATAATTTGTTTACCTTTTGCACTATAGTTAACATTTTTTTCCCATTTGAAACCAAATTGTTGAACGTATAGGGTCAACTTGTCGGCGTGTGTGGAAGTGTAGGCTGTGGCAAGACTTCCCTTATCAACGCACTCTTGGGGCGGGTAAGTTCACGGAAATATTCAAATAATTATTCTTTTTATTCACCAGAAATTAATGCTTTCCACACCTTTTTTTTATTGCATTTTAGTATTATTTTAATTTTAATTACATCCTTTAACACATGATTAATATACCTGCTCTAACAAAAAATATTAAACTGAAACCTCAAAAAGAGCCAAAATTTAATTATTTTGTTTTAGCTTGACTTGTCTGAAGGTTATGTAGCTGTATCTGGCCACTCTGTAGCCTACGCCCCCCAGCAGGCGTGGATCACCAACGACACAGTGAAAAACAACATTGTGTTTGGACACACGTATGATGCTGACAGGTGTGTTGGAAGTGTGTAGCAGTTTGTCTGTGTGCTGAGGGAAGAAGTAATTTAATTCTAAATGAGTGACTGGTAACAGAGATGACTAGTTAGTGCTCACTAAGAAAAAAAAAAAGATCTGTTGAGCCAAACAAAAAACATGAGACGGACTAGAGTTTAGTTTTGAAGAAATATTTTAAATAATGAATTTTTACAGGACTTTACAAAATTAAAAAATGTCATTGGTCATGTGACTTGATTTTTTATCAGCTGTATTTTTCCTCCCCTCCCCCTATATCCCTCAGGTACAAACAGGTAGTACAAGCCTGTGCACTGACCCAAGATTTTCAAGCACTTCCTAAAGGGGACGTAACTGAGGTCTGTAGAAAATTGTCTCCCTTGCATTAAAAAAAATGAAGATTGTTTGAATGTACTCTTGTCACTTGATTGCAATATCTGTTTAACAAACATGCTTGCTTGGTGGTGGTACACAGGCTTCATTCTTTTCAAAGATTCCCCCACCCCGTCAATAATCACAAAAAATCTAGCCACACCTCAGATAAAATTGCAAATAAAATAAAAATTCTATTTGTCAACATTAAGTTTCGGACCAAATTTGATTAGTTTAAAAAAATTATTTCTAAGTCCTTATTCCCCTTCATTGCACATTGTCATGAGTCCAAATTCTCCTTCCCTGGGAGACTTAGAATCTAGCAGTTGTTGCTTATTTTCCAAGTCTAATTGTTTAACAAGCGTGCTTGTCTGTAGGTGGGAGAGAGAGGTTCAAATCTCAGTGGGGGACAGAAGCAGCGCATCGCCCTGGCCAGAGCCGCCTACAGTTACAGCGACCTAGTCCTGCTGGACGACCCGCTGTCCTCATTAGATGTCCACGTTGGCCACCATATATTTCACAACTGCATTCTGGGATTGTTGAAAAATCGTTCCGTGCTGTTGGTGACACACAGCGTTCAGGTTTGTTTGGCTACTTTTTGCTCTTGGTCTTAGAGAATGTCCTAATGAGGAGCTGTATGCTGCTTGTAGCAGATTAAAGACATCTCCCCATTTCTTGCCTTGTTTAGTATCTCAAGGACTGTGATCACATTCTTGTGATGAAAGAGGGAACCATAGTTGAGCAGGGGTCACATGACCAGCTCACAGCCAATGCAAAGGAGTATTTTAATATACTGGAGTCGTACAACAAAAAGGAGCAACATGCACCTAATGTTTCTATTGGTGAGTTCAAAATTTTTAATTTCATTAAATATTGACTTGTTGATAAAAGCTAATCCTTGTTTTTAATAAATTTTGCTTCTTTTCTTAAAGAAGCACACTTTAGCCTAAGTAATTTACAAACTGAATCTAAGTTCATAATTTTAACTTCCTCAAATAATGTCAGATTACTAAAGTTAATCCTTGTTTTATAAAATCTTGTTTTGTTTGATAAAATTCTTGTTTTGTAAAATCTTGATAAAATTAATCCTTGTTTTGTAAAATCTTGTTGTCTTTTGTTAAAGTTGGTCCTTGTTTTGTAAAATTTTACTTCTCTTGAGTGACACACTTGTACCAAAAATAATCTTAGTCCACAAACTGAAACAACCTTACTTTTTTAGACAATGGTCCAGGTCATGAAAGTCTCAACAATGAAACAAATGTGCAGGAGACTAGTATACTGTCTGTAAACTCTGAGACTAAAGAGCTCCTACCACAAGAAACTGAAGGTAAAACCCCAACCTTAGTTATCTTAAAGCCATAGTTATTTTATAAAACTGGACCAATAAACTTTTTTTTTTTCAATTTAGTTTAATTTTTAAAAATTTTAGTTTATTTTAAAAATTTTTTGTTTTAAATGTTTATTTAAATTTTTTCAGACACTGATGCACTGATGAAAGAAGAGGTTGTCCAGAAAGGAGTCTCTATATCGGTCATCTTCCAGTACATCGCAGCCATGGGGGGTGCCCTGAGCCTGGTGTGTGTGCTGGTCAGTTTCCTGCTCCCTGCTGCTGGCACAGCCTCAGCTGTTTGGTACCTGTCCTACTGGCTGAAGCAGGGAAGTGGGGTAAGTTATTTGCTGAGTACTGTGTCATGGGTTTACTCCAGGCTGGTACTTGTCCTACTGGCTCAAGCAGGGAAGTGGGGTAAGTTATTTGCTGAGTACTGTGTCATGGGTTTACTCCAGGCTGGTACTTGTCCTACTGGCTCAAGCAGGGAAGTGGGGTAAGTTATTTGCTGAGTACTGTGTCATGGGTTTACTCCAGGCTGGTACTTGTCCTACTGGCTCAAGCAGGGAAGTGGGGTAAGTTTTTATTTGCTGACTACTGTGTCATGGGTTTACTCCAGGCTGGTACTTGTCCTACTGGCTCAAGCAGGGAAGTGGGGTAAGTTATTTGCTGACTACTGTGTCGTGGATCAAGTGTTTATAATATGCAAAGTTAATTTAATTTCTAAGATCATGCACTCAGCGAGTAATTTAAAGGTGACGTACGCTCAGGTGACGTACGCTCAGGTGATGTACGCTCAGGTGATGTACACTCAGGTGACGTACGCTCAGGTAACGTACGCTCAAGTGACGTACACTCAGGTGACATACGTACTAATGTACCTTTGGCTGTAGGGACTAAACCATAGTTGTATCCTCTGGTTTCCAGAACACAAGTGTACAGGTTGGCAACGTGACTGTCCCGAGCACTCGTGTAGTGGACAACCCTGAGCTAGAAACCTACCTGTTGATCTATGCAGCATTTCTTCCACTGCTCATTATCGTTATCATCATCAAGTCATTTACACTCAGAAAGGTGAGACATTTTTTAATAGAATTTGTATCAGGAAACTCTTCAAGCTAATTTATGGAGATTTGATAAAGTCCTCTAGATAATTAACATGATAATTGTATCTGAAGGTCTTTAAGCTGATCATTAAAATTGTATCAGAAATCTTCTAGCTATAAACAAGCTGTCAGGCTTAATATTGCAACCGAACCTTTATGATAAACATTTAAATCAAGCCAGCCCTCCAGTTAACCACTAAAATGTAACAATTTTTCTCCAGTTAACCACTAAAATGTAACAATTTTTCTCCAGTTAACCACTAAAATGTAACAATTTTTCTCCAGTTAACCACTAAAATGTAACAATTTTTCTCCAGTTAACCACTAAAATGTAACAATTTTTCTCCAGTTAACCACTAAAATGTAACAATTTTTCTCCAGTTAACCACTAAAATGTAACAATTTTTCTCCAGTTAACCACTAAAATGTAACAATTTTTCTCCAGCTGTCCCTAAAATGTAACAATTTTTCTCCAGTTAACCACTAAAATGTAACAATTTTCTCCAGTTAACCACTAAAATGTAACAATTTTTCTCCAGTTAACCACTAAAATGTAACAATTTTTCTCCAGTTAACCACTAAAATGTAACAATTTTTCTCCAGTTAACCACTAAAATGTAACAATTTTTCTCCAGCTGTCCCTAAAATGTAACAATTTTTCTCCAGTTAACCACTAAAATGTAACAATTTTCTCCAGTTAACCACTAAAATGTAACAATTTTTCTCCAGTTAACCACTAAAATGTAACAATTTTTCTCCAGCTAACCACTAAAATGTAAACATTTTTCTCCAGCTGTCCCTAAAATGTAACAATTTTTCTCCAGTTAACCACTAAAATGTAACAATTTTTCTCCAGCTGTCCCTAAAATGTAACAATTTTTCTCCAGTTAACCACTAAAATGTAACAATTTTCTCCAGTTAACCACTAAAATGTAACAATTTTTCTCCAGTTAACCACTAAAATGTAACAATTTTTCTCCAGTTAACCACTAAAATGTAACAATTTTTCTCCAGTTAACCACTAAAATGTAACAATTTTTCTCCAGTTAACCACTAAAATGTAACAATTTTTCTCCAGTTAACCACTAAAATGTAACAATTTTTCTCCAGTTAACCACTAAAATGTAACAATTTTTCTCCAGCTGTCCCTAAAATGTAACAATTTTTCTCCAGTTAACCACTAAAATGTAACAATTTTCTCCAGTTAACCACTAAAATGTAACAATTTTTCTCCAGTTAACCACTAAAATGTAACAATTTTTCTCCAGTTAACCACTAAAATGTAACAATTTTTCTCCAGTTAACCACTAAAATGTAACAATTTTTCTCCAGCTGTCCCTAAAATGTAACAATTTTTCTCCAGTTAACCACTAAAATGTAACAATTTTCTCCAGTTAACCACTAAAATGTAACAATTTTTCTCCAGTTAACCACTAAAATGTAACAATTTTTCTCCAGTTAACCACTAAAATGTAACAATTTTTCTCCAGTTAACCACTAAAATGTAACAATTTTTCTCCAGCTGTCCCTAAAATGTAACAATTTTTCTCCAGTTAACCACTAAAATGTAACAATTTTCTCCAGTTAACCACTAAAATGTAACAATTTTTCTCCAGTTAACCACTAAAATGTAACAATTTTTCTCCAGTTAACCACTAAAATGTAACAATTTTTCTCCAGTTAACCACTAAAATGTAACAATTTTTCTCCAGTTAACCACTAAAATGTAACAATTTTTCTCCAGTTAACCACTAAAATGTAACAATTTTTCTCCAGTTAACCACTAAAATGTAACAATTTTTCTCCAGCTGTCCCTAAAATGTAACAATTTTTCTCCAGTTAACCACTAAAATGTAACAATTTTCTCCAGTTAACCACTAAAATGTAACAATTTTTCTCCAGTTAACCACTAAAATGTAACAATTTTTCTCCAGTTAACCACTAAAATGTAACAATTTTTCTCCAGTTAACCACTAAAATGTAACAATTTTTCTCCAGCTGTCCCTAAAATGTAACAATTTTTCTCCAGTTAACCACTAAAATGTAACAATTTTCTCCAGTTAACCACTAAAATGTAACAATTTTTCTCCAGTTAACCACTAAAATGTAACAATTTTTCTCCAGTTAACCACTAAAATGTAACAATTTTTCTCCAGTTAACCACTAAAATGTAACAATTTTTCTCCAGCTGTCCCTAAAATGTAACAATTTTTCTCCAGTTAACCACTAAAATGTAACAATTTTCTCCAGTTAACCACTAAAATGTAACAATTTTTCTCCAGTTAACCACTAAAATGTAACAATTTTTCTCCAGTTAACCACTAAAATGTAACAATTTTTCTCCAGTTAACCACTAAAATGTAACAATTTTTCTCCAGCTGTCCCTAAAATGTAACAATTTTTCTCCAGTTAACCACTAAAATGTAACAATTTTCTCCAGTTAACCACTAAAATGTAACAATTTTTCTCCAGTTAACCACTAAAATGTAACAATTTTTCTCCAGTTAACCACTAAAATGTAACAATTTTTCTCCAGTTAACCACTAAAATGTAACAATTTTTCTCCAGTTAACCACTAAAATGTAACAATTTTTCTCCAGTTAACCACTAAAATGTAACAATTTTTCTCCAGTTAACCACTAAAATGTAACAATTTTTCTCCAGCTGTCCCTAAAATGTAACAATTTTTCTCCAGTTAACCACTAAAATGTAACAATTTTCTCCAGTTAACCACTAAAATGTAACAATTTTTCTCCAGTTAACCACTAAAATGTAACAATTTTTCTCCAGTTAACCACTAAAATGTAACAATTTTTCTCCAGTTAACCACTAAAATGTAACAATTTTTCTCCAGCTGTCCCTAAAATGTAACAATTTTTCTCCAGTTAACCACTAAAATGTAACAATTTTCTCCAGTTAACCACTAAAATGTAACAATTTTCTCCAGTTAACCACTAAAATGTAAACATTTTTCTCCAGCTGTCCTTAAAAGCCAGTACACACCTACACAACAAAGGCTTCAAGCACGTCCTACAGAGTCCTGTCTCTTTCTTTGATACTACTCCAGTTGGTCGCATCGTTAACAGGTTTTCTGCAGACATTGACGAACGTGAGTTTAATTAGTGGGTGCACCCAGTAACTTGTTGTAATGCTCTTGCTTTTTCTACAATCTTAATGAGTTTTAAGTACTGTTATTCAATTATGCCAGAATATTGTCCTGTTATGTAGGACACAAGTCCTTTCTTCTTCTTCTTGGCTGTTAATTGTAAAGTTGGACGGGATTTTCTCCAAGTATAATGTGTCAACATATTATGCGCCAAATAGGCAGTTGACTCAGATTTTAGCCTGGTTTTTTTCTGAATTTACTTCTATTACCTTTGTTCAACCAAGAAAAACTGGAAGGCAGCAGTTGCTTAATTTTGGAGCTTTCTCTAAATGCGTTACTTTCCCCAGCTATTTAGCCTCATCTGTCTGTGGTTTGAATGATAGACTTTTTGGTTTAGCTTTACCGGCCTTACCATGCAGACCCCTCCCATGGCTCCTTGGTGTGGGTTTTGTCATAAAGATATGTTTGTAATGTTCTGGTGATATGCAAGTGATGTTTGTAGAATGTTCTGGTGATATGTTGTTTGTATAATGTTCTTATGATATGCTAGTGATGTATGTATAATGTGCATGAGATACTTGCTCTTGTAGTACTAGAAACATAGAAAGTTGCTGAGTATTTATTATAGAATGTTTTTATGATTTCCTTTTTTTCTTCCAGTTGATTCTAGACTTCCAATGAACGTGGACGTATTCTTGTCCAATGTGATGCAGATCGTGGCAGCTCTGGTCATCATTGCGTACGTCCTGCCCTGGTTCCTCGTGGCTGTGGTCCCACTGGCCGTTATCGTCACGTTCCTCATGGTGATGTTCCACAAGTGTGTGCAGGAACTCAAGTACCTGGAGAACATCACCAGGTCACCTGTCATGAGTCACATGGGTTCATCTGTGCAAGGGTTGGCGTCTATAGCGGCGTACCAAAAGTCTGCAGATTTTTTCAAAAAGTAAGCAGAAACAAATACTTGATTCAAACTTTATATCCTAAACTATATATTCCAAAATTCTTCATAATTTTTTCAACAAGAAAGCCAAAAGAATCATTTAAATTAAACTTTAGATACTAATTTAGATGTTTATCAAATTCAGCAGGTTAGAAAATTAAATGAGCCCAAGTAATTTTAAAACTAAATTACTTACAATTAGTCTAGATAAAAGGAAAGTTCATTAGATGCCTTTGGTATTGACTCCAAACACCAAACAGGGGTGTGATAAGAGTGACTGGTGTTACGTGTTGTAGCTCATATACCAGCTGCTCTTATAGATTAAATTATTTAAAAAAGTGTTAGCAAAGTTGAAATATTGTAAATAAAATCTATTTTCTTTAGATATTGCCAGCAGTTGAATACACTATCATATTATCTTTCTTCAGACACTGCCATTTGTTATTTGTTAAATACACTTTCATATTTTCTTTCTTCAGACACCGCCATTTGTTAAATTTCATATTATCTTCAGACACTGCCATTTGTTATTTGTTAAATACTTTTTCATATTTTCTTTCTTCAGACACTGCCAGCTGTTGAACACCAATGCTGTAGCGCTGATGCTGTTCTATGTTTCCAACCGATGGCTGACCCAGCGCCTGGACATGATCAGTGGCGTCGTGTGCTTCGTCTCCTCCCTGCTCATACTCATCACATATGATTACATCAGCCCTAGTCTTGCCGGCCTCGCGCTTTCTTATGCAATACAGGTAAATACTCTAAAGGTAACTTTCACATGTAACTATCTTACAGGTAACTCTATCGTACAGGTAACATATTCGGTATTTTTAGGAAATGTTTTAACTATTTTTTTAGAGCAGTACTGCATTCAAGTAAAATAAAGAAAAATACTTTTTATAGGTTATACAAATTTATACTTTTTTGTATAGAAAAGACTAAAATAGCTTCATGAGGCTATATATGTATTAATAAAAACAAAATCTTGATTGTGCTTTAAAATTTCACAATCTTTTTGCCTAATTATTTTTCTTTTTGCTTTGTTCTAAAATATTTGTCTGTGCCCCTTCCCCAGCTGACTGGTTTGTTCCAGTTTGCAGCTGTCCTGGCCATTGAAACTGAGGCAAGATTCACGTCCGTGCAGAGATTTCTAGAATATTGTGACGTAAGCTCTCTATTAAATTGCTTGTTTCTGAATAATTCAACTTCAACATAGCTTGTACTAGAATAGTAGGGGAGGCAATTCTTTAATCATTTTTTTTTTAAATTACAAAAATTAAATAATTTAGATATTTTTTAATTCCTCATAAAAATTATAAAAGATACTAGGCCATCCAGATTTTAATTCCAAATTTTACTGTAGGTCATAAGTTAAGACAATTTCATTTTCAATTAATTTTTATTTTACTTTTTAAATTATTTCATTTTAATTTGCACCACAATTTTTTCAAATGAAACAATTTTCCCCACTACATACATGTACTACAGGCCTATAGAAAACTTGTGCTAACAATTTTTTCAAATGAAACAATTTTCCCCACTACATACATGTACTACAGGCCTATAGAAAACTTGTGCTAACAATTTTTTCAAATGAAGCAATTTTCCCCACTACATACATGTACTACAGGCCTATAGAAAACTTGTGCTAACAATTTTTTCAAATGAAACAATTTTCCCCACTGAATACATGTACTACAGGCCTATAGAAAACTTGTGCAACAATTTTTTCAAATGAAGCAATTTTCCCCACTACATACATGTACTACAGGCCTATAGAAAACTTGCGCTAACAAAAAAACTTTGGATTCCAGTTGGAGCAACAAGAAGCCACTGAAGAGGTCCTGGTCACCCAGCCTGTGGGCTGGCCTAAAGAGGGCGCCATACGCTTCAGTGATGTCAGACTTCGCTATAAGACTGGTGGCCCTCTGGCACTCAAAGGGTTAAACTTCAGGATTGAATCCCGTGAAAAGATTGGAATTGTTGGCAGGACAGGGGCAGGTAAATAGCTTAATTATTATAACATGGGAGGTAAATACAGATTCTAATATAAAAATGGGGAGCGGATAATCAATAATATTAATCCTTACAGCCCCAAGCAACTTTTTGGTCACTATTCCCTCAGCCCTGCATTTACAATCAGTTCCTTCCTAGAGATTTAGTCTTGTACACAAATCACTTTGTGTTTACAAGTAGTCTCACTGTTTGATGCAAGTCACATGACTAAAAACATGGGAACAGAACTTGTAAGTTTAACTAAACCCAACTAAGCAAGGGTTAAGTCATACCATTGGTAGATAAACAAGGATTTTATGGCTTTTAATTTTGCTTTCAATTCTTTAGCTCTATATGCCTATAGTTCTGAATGTTTACATAAAAAACTGGTTCACTAATTAATACTAATTAACACAGGAAAGACATCGCTGACAGCTGTTCTGTTTAGGCTTAACGAACTAGAATCTGGTCATGTGACTATTGATGGTGTGGATATAGCAACATTAGCTCTTCATGACCTTCGAAAAAGATTATCCATAATTCCGCAGGATCCGGTTTTGTTTGTGGGGACTCTAAGGTACATCCGCTGCTTTGCTGATTGATTGTTTGTCTTGTTCATGGGTTGGTGTGGTTGAGGTGTAGAGCACTCCATGACCCAGAAGTCTTGAGTTCAAATGATCATCTCTAATCCAGACATCCCTGAGTCGACCCAGCTCTAATGGGTACCTGGCTTATGTCACTGGAAAATAAAAAGAGCTAGGCATAGTGTTGATGATGCTGTATCTTCAGTTGTTGAGGTCAGAGATTACTTCATCTAACCCTATGGCCTTCTAGTCTGAAAGGGAATGTTATATTTTAGTCTGAGACTCATTTTTTTACCCATCTGTCTTAAGGGCTTTATAAAACCATGTCCAATTTTGGGTTTTCTCGTGCCATGCTATAATGGTTAAAAGGGGAGGTAATCATTGTTGCCTGGTTGCACTAAATCACAATTCCCTAACTTTTTTAGATTAAACTATTTCACAATTTATTCTTCTATTTAATTTTAAATTTTAAAAACTAGAACTGTTCCATTGTGTATTCACCCCCCCCCCCCCCCTCCCCCTCTGCAGGTACAACCTGGACCCATTCAACCAGTTCTCTGATGCCAGCATATGGGATGCACTTGAGAAATGTCACATATCCAACATGGTTAGTGTATACTTGCTCTTGAGAAATGTCACATATCCAACATGGTTAGTGTATACTTGCCAGTATCTTACTAAACATGGTCAGTGTATACTTGCCAGTATCTTACTAAACATGGTCAGTGTATACTTGCCGTATCTTACTAAACATGGTTAGTGTATACTTGCTCTTGAGAAATGTCACATATCCAACATGGTTAGTGTATACTTGCCAGTATCTTACTAAACATGAACTGTATTTACTTGCCAATAGCAATATCTAACTAAATATAGACTGTGTATACTTACCAATATTAATATCTAACTAAACAAACTTCATTCACTTTATTCTATGCATTAACTATATTCATTATGGCAAATAACTGGGTTGGTGTTCCCTGACAACTGCACAAACAGAAAAATGTGCAAATACCAACTATACATTTACACTAATTTTGTCATATTTTGTGGGAAAATGTTTTATTTTTCTACAACGTACATGTAGTCATTCTTTGTTTTAGCATTTATAAATGATAGATTTAAAGAAAATACATTCCCCTTTTCACTTTTGCACATTTTTATGCAGTTTTCTGTTTTCTATTGCACATCCTTACCGTCACCCATTGATGGTCTAAAAATAATCTAAGTTTTGACTGATGGTCTTACCATGAGCACAAAAAAAAAAGTGTAGACTGACTCGTGTAATTTTCTCTGACAGATCAGGACACTGGAACAACAGCTGGACACAATCGTGGTGGAAAACGGGGACAACTTCTCTGTGGGGGAGAAACAGCTGATCTGTATGGCCAGAGCACTTCTTCGCAGCAGTAAAGTAAGTTTGTGATGCAGTGGTGTATAGTAGTTCCAGCAGTAAAGTAAGTTTGTGATGAAGTGGTGTGTTGCAGTTCCAGCAGTAAAGTAATGTGTGTAGTCCTAGAAGTAAAGTAAGTTTCTATGCACAACTAAATGGTTTTCTGTGTATGCTGGAGTTATTTTACTTGTATTGATCTAGAATCTAGTTCACTTCTTTTTGTTATGAGCTTTGCTTGTATTTTTCTATGCTGTTTCTTAAAGGATTTATAAAGTTTGCGTTCAGTTGTTTATAATTTGATTTTGTTACATTACACAACTTCTTTGTAGACTTTATATGACCTTGCCCTAGAGGTGACCTTACCCCAGAGGTGACCTGACCTTAGCCTACAGATGGCCTGACCTTAACCTCTACTGTGATCATCCCCAGATACTAATCCTGGATGAAGCTACAGCAGCCATAGACTCAGAGACAGACTCCCTCGTCCAGCAGACGCTGAAAGATGCCTTCAGTGACTGCACCATGTTGATCATTGCTCACAGACTCCATACAGTACTGGGTTGTGATAAAATCTTGGTCATGGAAGATGGAAATGTAAGTTTTAGTACAGTACTGGGTTGTGATAAAATCTTGGTCATGGAAGATGGAAATGTAAGTTTTAGTACAGTACGGGGTTGTGATAAAATCTTGGTCATGGAAGATGGAAATGTAAGTTTTAGTACAGTACTGGGTTGTGATAAAATCTTGGTCATGGAAGATGGAAATGTAAGTTTTAGTACAGTACTGGGTTGTGATAAAATCTTGGTCATGGAAGATGGAAATGTAAGTTTTAGTACAGTACGGGGTTGTGATAAAATCTTGGTCATGGAAGATGGAAATGTAAGTTTTAGTACAGTACTGAGTTGTGATAAAATCTTGGTAATGGAAGATGGAAATGTAAGTTTTAATACAGTACGGGGTTGTAATAAAATCTTGCTCATGGAAGATGGAAATGTAAGTTTTAATACAGTACTGAGTTGTGATAAAAATCCTGGTCAATGGAAATGAAATAGCTAAAAATGTCTGATTAAGAGCTCTGTTAATTAAAATTAATGGTTCTCAGAGTTCCATGTCCATTTTCTCCATGACCTAGAAGCTGTGATAAGACTGCTCCGTACTTTGTTTCAGGTCCTGGAGTTTGACAAGCCCTCTGCCCTATTGGACAGCCCAAATTCCAGATTTAAAACGATGCTGAACTCCATGAATTTACAATCTGATGACAAGATGGAAAGTTGATGAAAACATTTCATAGCATTTTTAATTTTTTTTTTTAAAACTCATTTCATTTTAACTTGTAAGATATTTTTATGGATGAAACAATTTTTACACAAAATATATGGACTGTATAAAATTATGCAAACTAACTCCACTTTGATATTTTTGAAAATCAGTTTTAAATTCCCTCCTGTGGATTGTTTAATTTTAATATCTAATATTTAAATGCAGCTGGTTTTAAAATAATGTACAGAGATGATGTAAAGACGTGGAGATTAGGGGTGTAAATACATTTCAATGTTTATTTAATTAATGGTCACTGTTTGATGTCTCACTGAGTGGGGATGTTTGTTTTTTTTAATTGTACTTTACATCCAGTCCAGGTTTTATGTCCAAGGAAGTAGGAGAGAATGTTTGTTTTTGTATTACTTGTGCAATACAATGAATTGTTTTATGTACCGGTAGGAGGAGAAAGAATACATGTCTAATGGGGGAAGACATTGGTTGAAGGTTTGGTCTAAAGACTTAAGTGAATGTTTGGTTGAAGGTTTGGTCAGTAAAATATTAAGCTCTGCCCAAGTGATGGCCCATGTTGAGTTGTCCAGATTTCCCATAAAAATTAAATGTAAATATTTCATTGATGTTGTAATTTTCTTCTTATAAAAGTATTTTTTTAATTATTTGAACTGGTCTATTCAGTATGGATGCAATACTTACACAGTGAAACATAAGCTGGTTGAAAAAGCTAATTATTTACAAACTTAACCCAATATTTTAAGTGAAATGAAAGCATTATGAGAATTTCAAAAATAAATGTCAATGCATTTATTAATTAGATCATACTAATTATACCTTGATAATGAAAACTTGTAACTAGTTTATGCTGTCCTTGTTCAATTTTTGTAAAAATGTGAATTGTGACAAGTTTATTTTTAGAAAGTTATTTATAGAAATCCAAATGGTGATATATTAATCCTGGTGTGTTCATGGTACCTGTGACTGCAGCCTTTTTGTTTAAAATATTTTATAAATATATTTATTGTTAGCATCTTAAGTTCTGTTTTTTAAATTTTATAAATATATTTATTAAGTTTTTTTTAAATATGTACAAATCAAAATGAGCAGTGTTACATTTTGTTTAAGATTTATATAGATTTTGATTTATTTAACAATCACCTTACATTTTCAAAACCCACTAGTAATTTTTTTTTAGAAATATATCTGTAATATTATACGTTTGAAAAGCTAGTAATGTATTCAAAAAGATTTTTCAAAATAGACAAATGATTGATAACCTGTTTAGTGAGTCAGCTACATTTTGGTAAGTTTGACCTGTATGGCATAGCAAGTTGAGTAGGGCCTAAATGGTGTGTGGGTTAGCTGGTTGGATATTGCCTTGATTATTTGTCAATGTGTTTCTACCAAAGATGCCTGATGTATAACTCTGTCTATTTACTCAGTTTAAACAATGTAAATTTAGGAGGGTAGCAAAAAAATTGAAAACCAAAATCCAACAGTGTAGTGTAGGTGAAAGTATTATTTGTTTACAATACTCATTTTAATGTACAGATTGACATTCAACTATGTATTTAAAAAAGTGTTCCGTGCTGAAAATGTATTTGCTGTTGAGATTAGTCATTTGTGGTCAAAATCTAGGTATCTAACAAAGCCACTTTTGCTCACAAATCTAGTTCCTTCCTGGTAACATGCCAACTTCTATACTCCTCAATTTGAAGTTGGCTTTGTCATTAAGATTTTTAGGTTTATTCATTTTATATACATTCCAAATACTATTAATCTACAATCATTTTTATATTTACATCCATTTTATAAATAATTCCTAATTTCATATAAGCAAAGGATTCATCATTTTAAAATTTAAATGCTCCTGTAAGAAACTGAATGAGTTGTGATTGTGTTAAAAAATGTTGATCATATTTAAACAGAACTTTTAGAGGCATAACAGCTTTTAAATTCATCTGTATAATACTTTTTAACTCCTGTTTGATTTATAATGTACTTTTATGATATAAAAAAGAAACTTGGATGATATATAAATTATTCTTGTGATACCCGATTGATGTCAATCTTTATTTTAAATTCAATGGCTGTAATATCATTTGATCTCTGAAATGTTTGTTTTGGTAAATAGCGAAACCTAATTAAATTAACCCTTTACAAGCCAGCAAATTCTTAACTTGCAGCTGATCAATCCACTACCCTTTAAAAATCTAGTCATCAAATTCTTGTCTCATGACCCTCACATTTTTCTACTCTCCTCAATGGTCATAGAACTCTCTAGAACAATCAGGCTTTGTATTGTAGGTCTAGCATTTAGCTATAGAGTCAGCCTATAGTGTTGGCTCCTACAATCTACAGTGTAGTATTTCTCTAGTGAGTTGTGTAGAGTCAGCCTATAGTGTTGGTCCATACAATACAGTGTAGTATTTCTCTAGTGAGTTGTGTAGAGTCAGCCTATAGTGTTGGCTCATACAATCTACAGTGTAGTATGTCTCTAGTGAGTTGTGTAGAGTCAGCCTATAGTGTTGGCTCATACAATCTATAGTGTAGTATTTCTCTAGTGAGTTTGTCATTGGGGGACTGAACAAGCTCACACCTATGTGTTGGTGACTACAGTTGTATGTTTGCTGTACAACAGTTAGAGCTCTCAGCACTGAGTTTAGTCAGCATTTAATGCAGTCAGTTTATGCGGTACACATGGTACACAATTTAAGGCCTGCAACAGCTGTGACCATCAGTGAATTAAAATGTGATAACCATGTACACACCATGTACACACTTCGCATCCTTCACCATGTACACACATCTCATCCTTTACCATGTGCAACTCGTACAAGTTGTACAACCTCATTTCTCAGCTGTACAATTATTTATTTCTACATCAGTGGCACTTGTGGCTTTTGTCCAAATCTGTTTTTTTTTATATTTGTGTAAATTCAGAAGAAAAAGAATCCAACTCTGTTTAATTAATCTACAAATTTTATCATCCCAGCACTTATAAATTTTTTTTTGTTAAATAAGATTACACCAAAGCTATAAACTCTTTGTTTAAATATTTAATTTTTTTATAACATAACAATTGAGCTTTGAATGAAATCTTATACATTTCATGACTTTACTGAAATTGTTTTTTAATGCTTAACTAGAAAAGTCATTCTTATTTTCTAAAGTGAAATGTTAGAAATTTAATATTTTTTCTGTAACATGTGTCAACCCTATTAAATTTAAACTGAAATTTCTTCTCTAATCTTGTCAAACTTCCCATGATGCAATGTCTTGAGTGTTCTGATCTCACTTGTACTCTAGATCCAATTCTGCCTTATTCGACTGCATCAGTGGGCTACACTGTGTGGGTTACAACATGAACTGTCAGTGATGTCAATTGACATTTACTACAACTGTCAGTGATGTCAATTGACATTTACTACAACTGTCAGTGATGTCAATTGACATTTACTACAACTGTCAGTGATGTCAATTGACATTTACTACAACTGTCAGTGGTGTCAATTGACATTTACTACAACTGTCAGTGATGTCAATTGACATTTACTACAACTGTCAGTGATGTCAATTGACATTTACTACAACTGTCAGTGATGTCAATTGACATTTACTACAACTGTCAGTGATGTCAATTGACATTTACTACAACTGTCAGTGATGTCAATTGACATTTACTACAACTGTCAGTGATGTCAATTGACATTTACTACAACTGTCAGTGATGTCACTTGACATTTACTACAACTGTCAGTGATGTCAATTGACATTTACTACAACTGTCAGTGATGTCAATTGACATTTACTACAACTGTCAGTGATGTCAATTGACATTTACTACAACTGTCAGTGATGTCAATTGACATTTACTACAACTGTCAGTGATGTCAATTGACATTTACTACAACTGTCAGTGATGTCAATTGACATTTACTACAACTGTCAGTGATGTCAATTGACATTTACTACAACTGTCAGTGATGTCAATTGACATCTAAGCTCAAATCTGCCCTCAGTATTGTTTGGACATGAACTTTGTAAAAATGAATGAAAGCAAATCAATGCAACTCTGGGCAGGTAGCATTTTGAACAAACACATTTCAGGTGGGCGTTGTTTTATGCATTCATGTTTTATCTTCTTGGATTCTCATATGCGGTATATCTTATGCCAGAACTGAATAAACTTTTTTACTAAAATTATTTTTAGCTTTTTCCCAGTTTTCATATTTTGTCGTATTTTGTGTGTGGTGTGTGAGGCTATGATTGCAAAGGCCATAGACACCAGTAAAGGTGGCTGACCACAGAATTCTGTAGAGGTCACATCCTGACCACAGAATTCTGTAAAGGCCATAGACACCAGTAAAGGTGGCTGACTACAGAATTCTGCAGAGGCCATAGACACCATTAAAGGTGGCTGACCACAGAATTCTGCAGAGGTCACAGATTAACCATATGGTCACATGGGTTTTTTCATTCCCAAATAGAAAATGCCTAACTTGGATGTTGCTATTATCAGAGTTGTCACCCCTGGGCTAGGGGGAGCTGTTGTGACCCCTGATACTCTAAAGGCACAGAGCCAGATAAAATTTGCCAGTTTCTGTGATAAGAAAACTACAAATAATTTATAAATATTAACATATATAAATCAGCCCCTTTATAAAATGCATCTCTAAACTTGTTTAAAATAAAAACCAGTAACACAGTGCACAATGCTTTCATGGAAATATTTATTTTAATGGAAAGAACAAAAAAAAAAAAAAACATGGCTGCAACCTAAGTGGTCGGACCACTGAGATCTACTAACAACTTAAGTTCAATTATTCTGTGTAGTCACAAGCAGTAGAAAATTGATCAGTTAGTCAACAAATGCTATTTTGAAGAAAAAAAAAATTTTTATCCATCCCTGCCTTTGTCAAATTGTATCTTTTTTGTTAATTGTAAGATTGTATACTTCATTACCTTAATTAGAATTATATATCCAAGCAAGCAAAAAAGAAAAAAAAAGTTTTGAAAAAAAAAAGATTTTAAAATTAAAACAATGTGTTATAAAATAAAACAAAAAATTTCAGATCATGGTTGTAACACACATGGCTATTTGATAACAATAATAAAATTAGTGGTACTGTAAAAGTTGATTAGGTAGTAAACACATACACACACAGCAGGGACATTATAATTTGTATTTTATAATTCTATTGGGATAGGTAAGGGAGGGTTAGGTTGGGGGAGGAGGGGGTAGATAAAGAAATTACCAGGAAATCTTTAATAGCACAAATATAAATATTATAATTTAACATCAGAAAATGTTTAAAGAAAATCTTCTCTAACCCAGCAACTACAAAATATATCTCTGGCACATTCTTATGGAAAACAAAATTTGTCATGGAAATATAAAAAAATAATCTGGAACAAGTAAACAAAATAAAATTCTCTGGTGTAAAGAAACAATGTGTAGTGTAAGGGATCATCCTTAAATGATATCATGTTTTTAACCTTCCCACCCTCCTTTCCATATTGTCACAAGACCCCCCCCCCCAACCTCAAATTTGCAGATGAATTTAAAAAAAAAATGTTTTCTAAAATAATAACCAAGGTTGGTGAGCATAAAGCATTTTAATCGCTTTTTATTACAATTTATTGAAAGTTTCCTAACATTACTTTTTAAAAATAAAAAGTGACATCATTTATAAACAACCCTTAAACATAATTTTGACAGTATTCCTGCTGGGAAGTAGAGCAATGATTACACTTAAGAAGTTCTAAAGCTTACGAAAGGTGTTCAACTCAAACCAACCACAACAATAAGGCACAAGCTATATTTTGTCATCTGGAATACACAAGTTATCACAATCTTGACACAACAAGCAAATATAAATATAAATAAGTCTATCATCCACCACCTGTATGTAGGAATATAATTATAAAATATGTGGAGGCATTAAGCAGAGGCAAAATGGCGGCAAATAATGGAATAATTTATAAGGCGTTTTTTGACAAGCTGGATAAAAATCAGATCCAAATATCTTCACAACATGCACTGTTAAATATGAGTAGAAAGAAAACATTACTGATGCATAGACAACTTGTTTTTATCTACATGTAATCTGTCTCTGACTAAATATTCAGATCTATATTTAATTCAGAAAAATAATTTTCACGACACATATAAAATATGTATGCTGCATAAACAATTTTGAGCAAAATTATTAATCTTTGTAAAAAAAAATTATCAGATAACTGGAATATTATTATGTATTCAAGTTATACTTTTGTGTCAGTTCAACCAAATGTCCAGATCAATTTAACAATGTGCATTTATTTTTCCTTAAGTTTCATCAAAACTGGACGGAAATTGTAAGCTAGTAATAACAAGGGGGTTCTCTTTTCCTTTCTTATTTGCCAAGCCATTAACAATTCAAATTGATAAACAGGATTATAATATGTATAAGAAATTATTATTTAAAATATATTTTATTAAAATAAAACTTTTTTTTTTCTTTGGTGATATTCAAACTATACAACTGGAATGTAACAAGAGGAATAGTTGAAACAGACACTCTGCCTGCTAGTAGTGCTAGAAGGGTTCACAGTTTTACAGCAGTTTCAGTATAAAACAAAATCTGGTTATAAAAACAGCAATGCAATTCACAATTTAAAAAAAAGAGAAAAATCTTCAGAGGTGTAGTTTTTTGATTCGTCAGACATTTTTAAGTTGTATGTGTGTGTATGTAAATTTTTTTTTAAAGTTCTTTTTATGTATGTATGTATGTATGGGTGGGTGTGTGTATACACAAGCCTTTCTAAATGCTTACAAATAAGATGACTAGCAATAGCTGTTTGAACATTGAGAATTTTCTTCTTGCAACTGACAACAGATGAAATTCAGTTTTCTAGCCACTAAGGATGTGCTTACAGTAGCAAGTAACTTGAACTATTTTAGTCATTGTAAAAATACTTGGGTGTTCCCATATGAAAGCCATGGTGGTCAAAGTATCCATGACCAGGATAGTAGTTGCCAAAACTGGAGAGACAAAAAAAAAAAAAGTGTTAACTCAATGCCCACAGTATTTGTAGGCTGTTACAATTTTATATCTAGTAATATTCAAATATTTTTTTTAATATATTAGTCACTATTTTAAAAAGTAATAGTTGTAATTTTTAGAATGATAGTTTTTAAAATGATTTTAAAAATAGATTTTAAAATGTTTTGTTTTAAATAAGCCAGACTTACACATTGTTGAAAAGAACACTCTTATCTATGTTATGTTTTGTGGGGGAGGTGGTCACTTTCTTCTTATCTTTGTAATTTACAGGATCTTCTGGTATTTGGAATGTCCCTAATTGGATTTCTGTATCACTCAATCCACCATGGCTGATCCTTGCATAGCCACGCCTAGACAGACAGAAAATAAAAATTTAAAGGGAAAGCACTCTCACAAATCAATACAGAGTTACCAAAACAGCCCCTGCTATATTTATAATACGTGTTAAAAAACTAAGGGAGACAAACCTGATCAACTTTTTGTACATAATGTATTCACACCAGCGATCCTGATCTGTGGGATCTATATCTTTAACTTTACCATCTTTTATCAGGCGCCAGTAATTCTCACTGCCTGGGGGAGAGGTCACATAGCCAAGAAACACAGCTGGGTCTACTCTATAATTAGAACATTCAGTATGTGAGGTCACATGACCAAAAAACACAGCTGGGTCTACTCTATAATTAGAACATTCAGTATGAGAGGTCACATGATCAAGAAACACAGCTGGGTCTACTCTATAATTAGAACATTCAGTATGTGACATCACACTAAACACAGTTGGGTCATCTATAATTAGAACATTCAACATGTGATATCACATGACCAAAACACCACTGGGTCTACTCTATAATTAGAACATTCAGTATGTGACATCACACTAAACACAGTTGGGTCATCTATAATTAGAACATTCAACATGTGATATCACATGACCAAAACACCACTGGGTCTACTCTATAATTAGAACATTCAACATGAGACATCACATGACCAAGAAACACTGCTGGGTCTACTCTATAATTAGAACATTCAACATGAGACATCACATGATCAAGAAACACTGCTGGGTCTAGTCTATAATTAGAACATTCAGTCAACAATATATTTGTGTGTGAACAAGTTAAAAATAGAAAGCCACGTCTTACGACTGTCTCAATTCCTTGGCTAAAAACTCCGCCTGAAGATTCCTGTCCACCACGTCCCTGTCGTTGCCCATGTGTGTGACCACAAAGTTGACCAGCGTCCCGCTCACGTTTATACTGGCAGTTATTGCTGGTGCCAGCTCTCCTAAAATAGTTTGTAAATAAAATTTGTACAGTGAGTTTTTTTTTTTTTTTGATCTACGTTGATAAATTGTTTACAACAAATATTTTATTAAGAGTTGAGTGAACTTTGATACATTAGTTAACAAAAAATTGTAAAGTGAACTTTGGTAAATTTGTTAACACAAAAAATAAATGTCATACCATGAGGGGAGGGCAGAAGGTGGTGCTGTGACTTAACAATGGGATACTTGGACAGGATCAAGTTTCTAGAACATTCAATAAAGTTTAGTGTGACTTTAGTTTCTAAAACATTCAATAAAGTTTAGTGTGACTTTAGTTTCTAAAACATTCAATTAAGTTTAGTGTGACTTTAGTTTCTAAAACATTCAATAAAGTTTAGTATGGCTTTAGTTTCTAAAGCTTTCAATTAAATTTGGCTAAGCAATGCTTTATTATTTAAATATTTAATTTATTGAAACTAGGCAATTATCCTTGGTGAATTTAAATTATAACACGCAAATATTAATAATTGAGTTAAAAGGTTTTATAAAATAAATAATTTGCCAAAATTTTTCAGGGAATCAATGAACCCTAAAATGTTTCAACCAATCAAAGTACTCACCCCCAAGTATGATCTTTGGTGGATGGACCAAAGTCCACGTAAAAATTGAGTTTCTCAGCAAGCCACGAAGCTAAGTCATTGTTACCGAGGAAAGGTTTGGAGGCATCGCTTTCAAGTAGTGTAATAACATCCACACCTGTAATACAAAATGTCTTAGACTTTCAAGTAGTGTAATAACATCCACACCTGTAATACAAAATGTCTTAGACTTTCAAGTAGTGTAATAACATCCACACCTGTAATACAAAATGTCTTAGACTTTTATCCCCCAGTATCAGCCTGAAGTGTCTTATTAAACGTGATGCATACAACAAGATGCTAAATAAAATAACTAAAAACTCTGGTTAATTCACTAATGGGAGTTTATTAACGAAGTAGAATAAATAACCATGGCTTTAGCATTTTTTAAATTCAAATTAGTTTAATGAATGTAATTCAATACTGGAAGGCATGATCAATTGTAGAGCATGCAGCTGCTTAAGTTTGAGTTCAAGTCCAAAGAACGTCCCTGAGTCCATCCAGCTCTGATTGGTACTTGACTCATATTAGGGAAAGTGAAGGGCTTAGTTCTGACCACACTATCCTTTAATATGTCGAGGTCACAGAAACAAGTGAACTCTACTACAAAAGGCAATTTTACTTTATTGTTATTGAATAAACTTAGATTCTTTCCTCTGGTGATCACAGATAGCTAAAAGTACGAGGACTATAGTGAAATTCATTGGCTCAAGTGCTAAAATCTTTTTCAATAATTTAACATGTTACAAATTTAATAAAAAATTTCCAATCCAGGTTTTATTTGCCAAACAAAGTCTGACCTGTATTATTTATCATGGTGGCAGCTCTTTCCATGCTAGGCCAACCTTTGTTATCATAGCCAAAGTGGTAGGTCCAAATTCCTGCAGTAAATATTTTTGGATTGGACTGGAAAAAAATCAGGACACAAACATTTAATCCCCAACAAAGAAAAAAATAAAACAGATTGTAGGTCAGCGTGCTAAGATAAAATCTTGAACATAAAATACATGTTTACATATATTTAAATTTAATATCTTTATTTTAAAAATAATGTCAAACAGCATTGACACTTTTAAAAATTGTTTAAGAATAAGAATCTTCAAGAGTTAAAGAAAAAAGTTTAAAAAATACACATATTTTTTTAGTTTCTCTATTAGGAGCTTCACTCCACAGGCCATAACCATAATTTTTAAACAGATTGCTCTTGCGTAAAAATATTAGTTTACCTTGACCTCTGAACCTGGCTTGTACTTGGATAATCTTTTCATCATGCCCACCTGGCTGACCAGGAAAATCAGAAAAACCACTGGAAGGTCATGGGAGAAATGTTACAATGTTTCATTGAAAAACATGGAATATCATGGGAGAAATATAAAATTTATATTGTTTCATTGAAAACATAATCTAAAACTTAAAATACAACTAACGTTAAGTAGACTAAGATAGACACACCAGATTTTATCAGACATGTACCTTTTAGGTAGTGACCTAGACATGTTAAGTAGACTTAAGATGGACATACAGGTTGTATGTGGCATGTACCTTTGAGGTAGTGACCTAGGGCAGGAACAAGCTCGTCCTCCATGCGCGTGTACACTGTGGTAAAACTCTCCTGCGATGCTTTGCCTGGTACAGACATAAGGTGAATATCTGTACACATTTTTTTTTACAGATAATACTAATCTATGAAACCTATAAGGTGAATATCTGTTCTCATTTATTTTTTTACAGATAATACTAATCTATGAAACCTATCTTATTGAAGGATTATTTTGTTTACTGTCAGCAAACTTGGGCAATGAACCATATCCATTATTACATATGTTCTCAACCAGACCATGTCCCATAGGACTTAACATTTCAAATCAAGTATTCTCTTAACAAATAAACTATACAGATATAATGATTTTCCTAAACACATAAATTAGATCTATAAGAACATTCATATGAATAATTTTTAAAATAATATTTTCTTTAAATAAATGAATTGTTTTAAAAAAAATTATTGTTCTTTTAGCCAATAAAACTATTTATTTTTGTGAAAGAAATAATAATTTCAAGTGTATCTGTTGGTCACTGTGTGTAGACTAACAGTGTTGGGACTCGGGTATATTAAAATTCTGAAGATCTCACAGGTTAAAAGTTTAACTTAATACAGCCTATCCAAGCTAAACTTCATTACAAGAGAACACCTTATACATTTGACTACACACCACACTGAAGTTCTCACTCAAAACCATGGCTTAATACACATTTAAATTAAATACTAATTTAAAACTTAAAAAAACAAAATACACACAAACTAAAAAGTTGGATACTAAATACAAATTTTAATTAACTACTAACTAAACTAAAATCCTAACTTACTGAAAATAAACAGGAGCAGAATTCCTGCCATAATGCAAGCAATCACCCAGTCTGTGTGTTCTCTGGTCAACTCTCCATAAGGCACAAAGTTAAAGGCGACAGTCCAAACCCAAAACAAAATCTAGAAACAAAGTTAATTAAAGGCGATGGTCCAAACCCAAAACAAAATCTAGAGAAAAAAAAATCAACTTTGGTTGCGTCTAAACACTATACAATAAAAGAGATCTGTATAAATTTGCAACCCAGGCATGGTGTGGTCAAATGGTAGAGCATTTGACTGCTAACCCAAAAGTTTGGAGTTTGTTTCTTGAGATCGTGTCTATATGACATTCCTAGAGTCCACCCAGCTCTAATGGGTACATGACTCATGTTAAGGGGGGGGGGGGGGGGGGGGGGGGGAAGGGTTGCTGGGCATCATGCTGACCACACTATCCCTTCAAATGCCAAGGTCACTTGAACAGGTGTAGTCTACTTCCCCTGCTCATAAGGTTTGAAAGGGGACTAAACTTTATAGCTGTGCAACTAAAGTCAGTTGAGGCATTCAGTTTGTTGAGTTGCTGAAGGAAATGTGATGTATGATGTCCCACTTGTATCAAGCAGTTGACCGTAATAATGTAACTCATCTTTATGATGCAACTCACCTGTATGATGTACGTTAAACTTGCAACTGTTAGACACAGGGCTGGGTTGGACTGGGTGCATACGTCAATCACAGCAGGCCACAAGGTCATGGTCAAAAAGGCGAGGCAGCATCCAGCTTTAAAACATATTTTTAAGTCAGTTAACACTACTCAAACATCATATTTTTAAGTCAGTTAACACTACTCAAACATCATATTTTTAAGTCAGTTAACACTACTCAAACATCATATTTTTAAGTCAGTTAACACTACTCAAACATCATATTTTTAAGTCAGTTAACACTACTCAAACATCATATTTTTAAGTCAGTTAACACTACTCAAACATCATATTTTTAAGTCAGTTAACACTACTCAAACATCATATTTTTAAGTCAGTTAACACTACTCAAACATCATATTTTTAAGTCAGAAAGTTAACACTACCCAATTATCATATTTTTAAGTCGAGAAAAAATGTTAAAACATAACGAAATCTGAGTTGATAGAAAACAAAAATTGCATGTGTTTTTATACTTTTTTGTTTAGAATTTTGCTAAGGTTAGTACAAAACCTTAGCAAAATTCTAAACAAAAAAGTATAAAAACACATGCAATTTTTGTTTTCTATCAACTCAGATTTCGTTATGTTCTGAGTTGATATTTTGCTAAGGTTAGTACAAACTTAGGGACGGAGTGGTCTAGCGGTAGAGAGCTGGACTACTAACCCGTAAGTCTCGAGTTCGAATCAGGGTTCAAATCAGCAGACCGTCCCTGAGTCCACCCAACTCTGATGGGTACCTAACTCATGTTAGGGAGAGTAAAGGCGGCTGGGCATAGTGCTGACCACACTATCTCTTCATATGCCGAGGTCACAGAAACAAGTGAACTCTACTTCACTTGCCCCATAGACCGTCAGGTTTGAAAGGGAAACTTAGTACAAACTTGGGCTTTGAGCTGTTGATTATTAAACATTATAAACAAAAGCATAGAATGTACATTCAGTACTCACAATAAAATGGAAGTGGGTGCTTAATGTAATTTTTAGAAAAACTAATAAGTTACAGAGGATTTAAAACTCACCATAAAAAGCCAGCCAGGGATCAGGAAACAACAACAAAAAATAGAAGGAAACAGTGGCAGCGAGGGTTACAGGAATAGCGAGAACGGCCTTGATCTGTACGGCTGTGCCGAGGGATAGGCATAGAAGCACCAGAGATCTGGAAACAGATAAAAAAATAAGACAATGACACTCTTAAAACTACAAATTGGAACCTTTTTTATTTCAACGATATGGAAAATGGAATATAAAACAAAAAATGTGGCTATTTTTAAATTATAAATATAAGACAAACTCTGTAGGTTATAATGAATGTAACAAAATTTCAAACATGAAAAATATTTTGATTCAAATGCAACAAAATCTGAAAAATCTAGAATAAAACATGAAAATAAATAACAAAAAAACTACATAACACCAAAGGAAGAACTAACCCCCAGGGAAGTGGAGAGGGTCCAGTTTCAGGGTAACCCTTGACCGTCCAGCGAGTGATCAGGGAGGCTTCACCAAAGCACATGTGAGTAAGGCACAGCAAGCTCCCAAGTCCAACCCCACTGGGGAGCCAATGGTTGACAGGACTTTGCTGCTTAACCTGTACTTGAGGGGAGGCTTCTGCAAAAATAATAAACATTCAATTTGGCCATTTTATTTAAAAGTACAGCTTATTTTATAAATAAGCTGTATATATATATATATATATATATATATATATATATATATATATATATATATATATACATATATATATATATACATTATATTCTAATAAAAGATACTTGTAAACTACAAAGTATGATAAAAAATTATTACTGTCAAAGGAAACAATATGTTTGATACACAAATGCTAGAACAATATTAAGTCTGAGCTACTGGGTTTATCATGCAGACAGAAGTAATTTGATTTGATAAAACAATCGTACATTTAATATTTTAGTAAGTTAGGTATAGTTTCGGTTTACATAGTCAGTACTCATATATGAATACATTGCTCATTTAAATACAGTACAATGTACCAACACTCATGTATACATATGGAAATATATAAATACTATAAAATAAATAATAGTACTAATATATAAATACATAATTCATGTATGAGGCTATAAATAATATAGCACTGAGAATAAATATCGTTTTTTTTAAATTTGGGCCTGTAGTTCAACATATAATTCATTCTATGTGATATTTTAAGAATATATGCCTGTAGTTCAACATAAAATGAATACTAGATGATTTGTAAAGAAAAATTGTTAAAGTACATTTAAAAAATGTAACATTGGGAGAAGTGTTTGTCATGCTGAGGGTAATATAAATCTAGAAGGGTTGCAACAAAACAAGCAACTCTTACCAGTACAAACCCTATACCAATAGCAACTGGGGTTTTATTGTAATAATGACCGTCTTACTTCTGTTGAGTGATGTGTAGCCTACCATACAAAAGGGTTATAGGGATGTTCGTATATTTATAGGCATGTTTAGGTAACAAACAGGAAAAATATTTAAAAACTGGTATATTCATAGCTTAAACGTTAAAGAGAAATGAATTCAATAGACAATATTTCTTTTGAAAACCTTTTATAAAAAATCTTGTGATACAGGATTCAGCAAACATGTAAACTAAAACAAATTGACCTCAATTGGTAGAAAAACCTGGCTAGAGCATATCATATTTATAAACTAGTGTTTGTTCTATCAGATACTTTACAGCAACAACACTGACACAGAGACCTTCTAAGCTATATCCCAATGCTGAGATAACTCCACATGCAATAACTATGGAGTTACTTTGGTTATCCCACCATGCTGGGGCAAAGGTCACAAACCAGACTCGACTTGCCAGGAAAGCATGAAGACCAAGGATCAACCCCCAAAATGTTCTGTACCTAAATGTATAAAATAGAAATACAAGAAATTTTATTTAAAATCAAATATTAAATATACCTTTTGAAAATTCGTTTATTTTTCTAAAAGAAAAAAATTACTTCCAAATTTACAATCAAACATTTTGCAGTCAGATCAAAGATAGTAGATTTTCATAGAAAAATTTTTAAATTGATAAATTTTACCTCAAACAGCAAAAAAACATTATTTATTGTATTAATAGTCCAATCTCATTAAGTAAATATTTTTACATCAACAGTAACAGGTATCCAATAGTGTTGAGTATCAACACAGCATTTTAAAATATTTTTAAGATTTAGTATCCAAGGTACCTTAAAATTTCTTTTATAACAGCTACATCTCTGGTCTTACAAAACTTTGCATCAAAAACCATCAAGAATTTTCAACTATAAGACAAGTTTGCATAAAAAATCACCACCCACCTAACAAGTTTGCATAAAGAATCATCACCCACCTGACAAGTTTGCATAAAAAATGATCACCCACCTAACAAGTTTGGATAAAGAATCATGACCCACCTGACAAGTTTGTCAGAGTTCCATAGTGTGGCTGCCAGAACAAGCATTGACACGCCGGCGCCAGTAGCAAGAAGTATCAGACGTATTAATGTTGTAGGGGCTTGAAATGACGCAACACTACAAACAGAGATCAGCCGTAGAAGTATCAGCACCTGCAGTATTTAAAACATTCAGAAATTATAAATATAATAAAACTTCCTGTGTATAAGGACGAATATTATTTTACAGTTAAGTTACTTATTTAGCAGAAAAAAATTATATAAAACATGATTGTTGAACTGTATTTAAGATGCTGTGTATACTTGAATGAACAGTAATTAATAATAAAAAAATAAAAAATATTTTCTTATTGAACAGAAATAAACTAAACGTTACAATCTCACCCATTTCTGTTGAAGGAAGGCATGAACACCAGGAATGATGCATATGAATGGAGAGAGCCAAACAGCAGCAAATGCTTCATAGCCAGATATTTCAAGTTCATTCAGTGGGTAGAACCAAATCATGGCAGACAAAGCTTGAAATACACTCCAAAATATGTAACCTTTAAAAGAAAATACAAGTTATCAACTACAAACAAAGATGGTCATCTTGTGGTAGATAATGCTTGAAATACACTCAAATATGTACTATTAACAGGAAAATATAATTTCTTTATAAAATGTAAAAATAGTCAAGCTCACAGAAACGGGTTAACTTTAAAATTATAGATCAAGACTTTTTTGGCCCATTTTTTAATGCTTTCTATTAAAATGCAATTGTAAAAGAAAATATGTATCACTTCAATTACAAAATGTGTGATGAAATTTACTTAATTAAAAATTTCCTAATTAAACTTTGCAGATACTTTTTGTAAAACTAGATTTTTTTCCATGAGCAAAAACAGGTGGCTGACCTAAAAAAAATTCATGTACAAATTAAATTTTTTCTAATTACTGTAATTTTAAGCAATTAAAAATCGGCAATAATTTGTTAAAATTTGAAACATCCTTAAAAAAATTGAGCCTATTTCAATGCATTGTTGGCAGCTAAATCCAAATAAATACATCAGTACAGCTAGTCAAAAACGACTCCACTTAGCAGTAAATCTACATGTTTTTGTCCAGTTTTTTTCAAGCTGTAGCAGGTAGAGGTCACTGTGTGGTTCTGTCATCTAGACAAACTATAACAACACATTTTATAGAGGTTAGCTTTTAACTATTGTTGCTATTTTAGAATGTAAAACAAAAAAAGTTTACGAATAGCTTTGATAAATTTTTCCTGCACATAAAACCCCCAACTACAATTACAACAACAAACTAGAATTTTAAAATTTTATTAACTGAATCTGAATACATTTTGATTTTCCACTCTACATACTGGATCTAGAATCTACATTAGTTTGGACTGACTTTATTTTATCTTCATTACTAATGTGCACGTAAGTGTATGAAGTTTGGATAAAAAAATTAAAGTGCACCTTAAATGGACTAGGACTACTGTGACTAGGTTAATTATTAATTAAACTAATTAAACTAATAAAATCATTTAAAATATAGCTAGTGTGAAATGAATCTAGAATCTTGATCTACACCATCTCAATCCAAAACAAGTACACTTACAGTACTTTTACTAAATCACAATAATTTAGCCAGTGGGTTGATTTTTTTATTTTACACACAATACACTTTCTTTTTTTGGTAATCTATCGCTTTGGGTATGTAAAATTGGCCGCAGCTAGTAACGTACAAAAAAGTTACCTCATTGTCAAGGCTTTAATAGAAGTATATTGAATATTGTGAAATATTTGTGTCAAATATTATAGATAACTGAATAATGAACTGAAATCAATGGCTAAATATATCAACATGGGCCTAAAATTAACTTTAAACAGCAGTGTTTGCGAGCAAGATTTGCTACATAAACAGTATTAAACAGCAGCCATTTGTAAAATAGAGTGGCTTCCCCTGAATCTTCCGCTATAAGTTTAACAAAATAAAACTTAAACGATATGTCTACTATAGTAAATGAGCATGGTTGCATCTGATGAAAACATCGCTAGTCTTCATTTATAACTGAAAAGTTTTAATTCAATTGTTTAAAAACAGATGAAACAAGGAAACATTTTTGTATTTTTCAAAACATAAATCCTCATCAAAATGTGAAATAATTAATAATTAGGCCTATTAAAAATTTAAGGAGTCACCTGTTTTTCACATTACTAGATCTAGTTGCGGCGATTTTACGTACCTAAAACGATAGATTACCCTTTTTTCTAGACTAAGGAGTCTAAGGCGTCTGAGGAGTTTCTTAATTTGAAATTTCTAGACTAGAAGTAGAAACTTGTAGAATGTAGAAGTAGAAACTAACCGTATATAGCATCTTTTATTAATAGCACAAATAATTCTGAACTAGGAACCGTAACTGAAGAATTCTGTTTTGAATTGCCATTTGTATCCAATTGTTCTTTTTCTGCATTGAAAGATAATTTTTTTGCAGAATTAACACTCTGGTCACGGTCATTCAAACTATCATATTTTTGTGTCGACGCCATTTTGTTTTCAAACAAATGGAGGTATCCTTGTTTTTTATAAACCTAATGAATAAAAATGATTGCTTTATTTTTTTAGGCTAGCATCATAAGTCTTAATAAATATAGTATTACATTACAATGACTTAAAATGTAAGAGTACAATCAAACGTAACATAGGCAGATAACCTATAGATCTACAAATTATTAGTCAGCATAATTTTTAATTGTTTAAAAAATAGTTTGTGTGTGTACATAGTATGTACTACATACTACATACTCATAGACATAGTGCGTAGACTTAATTTGAGAAATTTGAAATAATCAGTTGATTAACCTATTAAATTAGATCTAACTAGGCCTAAATTTGTAGTTTTTATCAACGCTATTTTCATGAAATACAAAATGGTATTAAGTAATATTTATTTAGCCCCCCCCCCCCCCCCCCCCTTCCGTCCCGCCGCCCTCAAGCCTCAATCAAACCCTCACGTCGCTTATCGTCCTAACAAATCGGAACCCCGTTTTGCCTAGGCTTCGGGCAGGTGCTTGACGCTACTACTAGGATAATTAATATTTATGTATTAAACATGTAGGCCTAATAATACATAGAATCTATATTTTAGTTGTATGTGACACACTCCATTTCTACTCTGTGTATTGGTGGTGCGGTGGACCCTAAGGTGTTTGATGTGTTTACCTTATTTTTGTTGATTTTTTTCTGAATATCTCATGCACATATTTTGTTGCAATATAAAACCTAGAGATCTAATCTAATGTATTAGGCCCGTTTGTGTTTCCACATTAATTTTCATACTATCTACGGGGGAGGTATTGCTCTAGATCTAGATCTATAGTATACGATGATGCCACTTTAAATATTTTCATAATAAATTGATTTTTTGTTGTTTTTTTTTCAGTTAGACAATTCATTTGATGAATAGGTTAGTTTTAGTATTGATACTAAGATCTAATAAACTAATAGGCCTATATACTAGATTCTATAGGTTACTATTTAGGTAAGATTTTTTATAAATTATTCCTGAGTAGATATACTCATTAAGGTTGTCAGTGCTACTTTTGTCTGCTAAGAGTTTGAAAAACTATCTGGTTTCTTTCGGTAAAATGAGTGATTTAGACTACTAAATTTGCGTCATAGTGTTGCTAAAACAAGTATCTTAAAATGGTGGCATACGGTCGATTTGGTGGGGTGTTATTGTGATGTTAATGACAGATCTACGTATAATGAACTTTACTGAAGCAAGCATAGCTATTTATAGTTTTAATAATAATTGTTGCATAAAAATTGGTTAGTATTTATACATTACTACACATAATCTATCTAAAATCAGAATAATTTTAATTTTATTCACTCAGTCTCTTAGTCTTACCAGTCGTCAGTAGTGACGTAGTCAGTAGTCTCCACTCCAGTGACTCTCAGATTAGCTGAGATTGATTAGTTATTACTTCTTTATTAACTTCTTACTTAACTAATCTTAACTTCTTCTTCTTCTTCTTCGTTCTTAATTTTTGAATATGGTGGAGGATTCAGACAACAAGTCCAACTTCGTGGACAAACCGGACTGTGGTTTCCAGTTTGTCAGGTGTCCCATATAATTTTTCCCTGAGTGGGGTGGGCTGGGGCCAGTGTCTGCCTCTTGCCTGGCTATACAGAGAACATTTCTGGAGTACGTGCTCTGTGTTTTCCGGGGCCTTGCCACAAGGGCACATTTCGCTACACCCAACCTTCAGTTTTTTGTGCATGTGTTGATTTAGTCTGTTGTGGCCTGTTCTGAGTCTAAAGATTATGTATTGTTGTTTTCGTGTTAAATTGTAATAGCCGTCGTCTTTAATGTAGTGAGGGTGTGTGACAGACCACATTTGCGTTTGTTTGTTTTTAATTATTCTTTTTATTTCTTTTGGGTGTAGCGAAATTTCCGGTTGTGGTTTCTTTCCCCCAATTTTTGCCAGCTGGTCTGCGATCTCGTTACCCTGGATCTGGCAGTGGCCCGGGATCCACTGCAGCACAATTCTGCTGCAGGTATTTTTTAGCCTCTCTAGTGCTGTCATAAGTGTTTGAATATATAATCTTAACTAAACTTGACATCTTCTTCACTAGCATATTCACTAATTCACTTATTGAATTGACTTATTACTTATTATTTACTTGCCTCCATTCCTGTTTTACTATTTTAAAAATATTTTCTCTCTGATTTCAATCACTTTTAGCTTTTAATTTTTTATTAATATTTAAAAATTATTTAGATCTAGATCTGAGTGTTCAATGTAGAGCAGATCAGTATTTCTAGATGAAGGCCTACCATTTTTAAATTAAATAATTAGGCCTAATTCAATTGTTTAGGCCTATCTCTTTTTTTGCTCGGATTATATGCCTAGATTTTATTTACTAATATTTAGGATTTTATTTAGGCCTAACAACTTAGTAAATTTTAGAATAACTTCTATCACAGTCCAGTCAGACAGTTTTACTAGTTTTAGTTTTATTAATATTCAGTAGGGGCATAAGCATAAACATTAAAAAATATTTATTTTGTACTGGTGTAATGTGATGAGCTTGTCTTCATTTTAAATTTATTATTGATATTGTATACACTGGCTTGAATATATGATCATTAAAATGAGTAGGCTATATAATATATATTATGGTCTTGGCCTATTTAATGACTAAATCAGTATGACTATTATGAGTAAATTGAGTAGGCTAAATAAATGAACCAGACTCTGAAAAGGCCTTAAACATATAATCAAGCATGGTGTTATTAATTTTATATTATAAAAACCTGATTTTGTGGGTTTTGTATGACTTCTCTTAAAGTTGGACATATTTTTAAAAAAATAGCCATATGTAAATTTTTGGTAACCAAAAGTTAATAAATGAAAAGCCAAAATAATTTGGCACTTATGCTATTTTCAAATTGTGATGTCGATCACAATTTAAAAATAGGAATCAGGAATAGTATTCAATGGTCTAAAAAAGTAGAGCTTACAACTGCTAACCCTGATAGGCAAAAACTGAACTATTTATATATAACTAAAAAAATTTCTTTTCAAAACTTCCTCAGCTTAACAGAGTCAAAGAATGGAATCTCTAGATGTCAATGAAAGTGTGGATTTTGATTTCTTTGAAACACCCCGAAGCCCACTGAAAGAAGATGTTGGTAAAACAGAAGCAAAGCCACCCGTCCGCCCTAAATCAGCACAGCCAAAACCCTCTCCCAGTAATTTAAGTAAAGACAATATTAAAGAATCTAGAACTGTCCATGACCAGTCAGATTCTGATAGAGACTATTCTAGTGACTCTGTAGTTTCAGATGATGATGATGAAAGTGTATCACATGGTCAGGTCAGTGGCAGAAAAAGTCGATCGTCTAAATCCTCTGTTAGTGTATCAAGCCATTCAGACCACTACAACTCATCAGATAGTGAAAGTAGCAGGTCACATTCTGAGCTAGCTACACAGAGTCCAGCCAGGTCAAAAAGTGGTCGCTCTCCTAGCTCCGGGTCTGAAAGTGATGAAAGGCCTAGTAATCCCGTAGCTAAAGGGGGAAGGCACTCATTACTTAAAAAAGAAACACACGCTGAAGTTAAAAGTGAGGATAGCAGTAGCTCATCTTCTGAAGGTGAAGAGAGAGCACGCACAAAAAATAAAAAGCAAAAACAATGTGAAGATGATGGGGATCGGGTTCGAAGTAAAAAAACTACAAAACAGGGTTCCAGGGCTCTAGCATGGAGCGAGGGATCCATCCAGAAACATAAATCTCCCAGATTAAACCAAGAACGTCCAAAGACAGCTAAAAATAGAAGCAGAGCGTCAACTAGGGAAGCCAAATTTTTAGTGCCGGAGTCTGTGTCTGATAGTCTTTCAGAAAGTGATATGACGGACGTTTCGCCAATAGAGTCTCCTAGAAATGGCACAGCAGTGAGACCAAAGCAGCAGAGTATCAGGGTAAATATTGGCGCCGCAGGGGATAGCCACACCAAGAATCCGCAGTATAAAGCGGAGCTAGATCTGAAAGAACTGTTGGACGCTGACGATCCAGATCGGCAGATGAGTAGCTATGACCTGAACATTTTAATGACAGCCGTCAGCGAGCTTGAGAAACAAAAGCGACTGGCGGCTAATTCTCGCAGGGTGATGTTTGCCCCTATAGGATTAAAACGGGCAGAAAAGGCCAACTATACCTTCGATGACAACAAAGCTAGAGACATTGAACGAGAAAACAGTCGTTTGCTAAAGGAAATTGTAAGACGTGTCAGCGATGGTGACCAAAGGAAATCCTATGTTAGAAGACCCATCACACAGAAACTCACACCCTCAGCCATAAATAGAGAGAAAGAAATCAGGAGAATTGAAGCAGATAATTTGGTAAGTTTTGTACACTTTGTTCATAGGAGAGCTGTTTTTGTTTAGACAATGTTAGGTTACTTGGTTAGTTATTAACTTTGACACTGGTCTAAAGCATTACATTTTATTAGTCATTGGTCTGTTTCAGGCTTTAAGGATGTACTGAAACTAAGATATATTTCTGATTTTTTGTATTTTTTACTCCTCAATTAGTTTTTTATCAATAATATATAAGAAAATCTTAACACAGCAGCAATTTTTACTCTTGCTTATTTTTCTTTTGAGTTAGACGTCCATATCAAACCTTACCAACACAGATGTGTGTTGTGAGAGTGATACAGAAAACACAATTACTTAGTCTGAAATACAAAACAAACCAAGTTAATTTTACCCAAGGCTTTTTAAAAAAAGATATGAAAATGAAAGTAGACAGAGAATGAAATATTTTGTCTGAGTCTGGGATTGTAGCTGTGTGTATGTAAGGCACTAAAGATCTGGCATGTTTGTATGTGGTAGTTGCTGCTTGTTAAAGTCTGTTTATAGCTGGATGTAGCTGACTAACAGTGACTAAAGCTGGTTGTAGTTGTCTATAGCTAAACTGACTATCTTCAGCTGGATGTAGCTGTCTATAGCTGGGTGTAGCTGACTATAGCTAAATTGACTATCTTCAGCGGATGTAGCTGTCTATAGCTGTTTGCAGAAGCTCCAACCTAGCAGTAGCTGTTAGTGTACTCATGCTGTGAAGTAATCAATTCTTGTTATTGATTCCTAACACTTGCTAGATTAGAGAAACACTACTTGAACTTTTGAAGTTGTCATGTGATCTTTTTTTTAAAACTTTTGCTTGCAAATAGAATCAAATGTATGTGTTTGTTATGGGGGAGCTATACATTTTTATTCAGCTCTTTATCAGCCAAGGTAGATTTTATCATGGTGCATGCTGGGTCTGTTATTAAGACAATGAAGGGGATGTACTCATGAAACAAGCCAGCCCTCTATCTATCATTGCTTTTTAGTGGTGCTGACCACTAGGATAGGATTGGACTACTAGGATGGGATGGGAGGGACCGCTAGGATGGGATGGGAAGGACCATTTGGATAAGATGTGAAGGACCACTAGAATGGGATGGGAGGGACCACTAGGATAGGATGGGAGGGACCACTAGGATGGGATGGACCATTTGGATAAGATGTGAGGGACCACTAGGATGGGATGGGAGGGACCACTAGGATGGGATGGGAGGGACCACTAGGATAGGATGGGAGGGACCACTAGGATGGGATGGGAGGGACCACTAGGATGGGATGGGAGGGACCACTAGGATAGGATGGGAGGGACCACTAGGATGGGATGGGAGGGACCACTAGGATGGGATGGGAGGGACCACTAGGATGGGATGGGGACAACTGGGATGGGAGGGACCACTAGGATAGGAGAAGAGTGTTTGCTAGAATGAACCACTTTTGTAAAAGGGACCTATAAGACGGGGTGGGGGGTGGGGGCACTGGGATGGAGATATAAATGAGAGAGACCATTAGGTTGTACGGACCCACAAAGATGGTGAGAATAAAACCCTGCCAACCCCACACCACCACCACTCCAGTTATCAGAAGCTAATGGCAGCAAACATGCATGGTTAGACTGAGATCAGTGACAGACACTCGTGGGGATTTATCCTGCTCTACACCTGATAGCACTGAGACTGCTGAGTTCTGATGCCATTGAAACCGTTCAAGCATGAAGAATTGATTGCCTTATGTTTCCTCAAGTGTTAGCTGTAGAGGATCTGCTTTCAAAACTATGTGCTGTCTCCAAGCACTGAACAAAAATAGTTTTTAAAAAATCTATATTTAGACTGGAGATAGTTCAGAAAATATATCTGTATTGATTAAAAGTTATGTGAAGGATTGGTTTCACCATGCTTTAAAATTTCATTTGGTTGTTTTGATTAGTGTGCACTTTGTGATTGGTTAATATCATATCAATCACATGGCAACTAAGTTCAAAAAGTGTTTTCTAAATACCAAAAAATTCTTGTCAGCTATTTTTTTTTCTATGGTTGTCATCAAGCTCCTAACCAATGATGCTTGTAAATGTTCCTATTGTTCTCTAGTCAATAAAGTATAAAAGAAAGTATCAAGTGGTTTTTATTGATCAGAGGCTGTACTGCAATACTTGCCCTGTGGAACATGGCGATCAATTATGTAGACGTCACTGTAAGCCTTTTGTCAGGGCCTCGTTGACATGAAATATTCATCCCCCCAATTTGTCTTAGGTTTGGTGAGAGTAAGTGTAGGCTGTACTGCTGTTGTGATAGGATCAGTGCAATTATTCCAGTAGATCATATCAATTATCTGGTAACCTAGCAACCCATCAGCTTGGTGTAAGCAAGGGCAATTAAAGCTTGAGGAATCACATTTACAAAAATCAATATGAGAGTAAATAGCATGGTATGATGGAGAATGTTGCTATGGAACTGGTCTGAGTGTTGTGTTAAATGTTTTTTGTAAGTCAGTGTGGTAGCTGAATTACAGGTTGTAACTCTAGGGTGGTGGGTGAGTTTATCAGTTTGTGACTTGAAGTTGTGGGGGGGGGGGGGGGGGGGGGGTCATTTGAAAAATTGTTTTTTTTGAGGGAGTTTGGATGATGCACATAGTAGGCCTATACAACACAAAAACAGGACATATATTAGCCACCATTCTACCCCATATAACTTTCTTCAACAGTTTCATAGACAACTACATCTTGTTTGGAAAACCCCCATCCTCTCTCCCCTCCCCCAGGTAACAATATTCACACAAGTTGTCATGTTATCTTGAGTGACAAGAGCATTTGTTTTTGTCACATACAAATTCAGTGGCCACAAATCCCTCTGTTATCACATAACACATGATCTCACACAATTAACTCCATAGGTGTCAGCATAGATTTACCTGGATTTGATTGCCATTCATAAACTTAAGATAACATAATCATGCTTTTGTGATATAATGGGTATAGGGCATTGGCATGGTGACAGGGGAAGTAAATATAAAATTTTGTGACTTCATTCTTTGTCTGCTAGCCATTCTTTAGATAAATCAATACAACTGGAAATATACTAGACCCTGTTCAATCAATTCTAAAGCTTTTCAGTTAAGTCTATTGACACAATGATTTGTTTTACTAGCTGTAGCCTATACAAACCTCACAGATATAAACAGAGGTTTTTATTGTATGATATTGGTCTATTAGAATGTTGTGGCCTGTAGAACACCTTCATACTTTGTTAGTAAACACAGAGGTTCAGCTAATCATTGTCCTTTTTCTACTAGTTAACCCTTGTCAGTCCGTATCAGATTATTCAATTAGAATGTTGAGGCCTTTAAGACTTTAGTAAACAGTTCAGCTTAATCATTGTCCTTGTTTTACTAGTTAACCCTTGACAGTCCACTGAAGGGGTTTTCTCGGGCAGAGAATATAATTTTAAGCTGGAAAGGAGTTAATTAATGCAATTGTTTTTATGAATAAAAATCTCTTTAATTATTACTTAAAGTAGGGATCTTCTACTCCCAGGGGAGCATAGCCCATTTACAACATCCTTCCATGCTTTTCTGTCTTTTGCTATTTTTTCCATAATACTCCAACTTGTTCCAATTATTTTCTTGTTTTTTTCAATTTCTCTATGCCAGGTGTATTTGGGTCTCCATCTTTTTATTGATCCTTGTAGACTCTATGATATACTTGGTCTGATAGTACTCGGTGTAGGTTTGACCAATGTATGACCTCCATCTCTTTTGTGACCCCTGGGAAGCATAGGGCTGCATCCATCTCCACTAGATCAGTAAACAATAAAATCCACTGTCCTCGTGACTGATTTTACCATAGCATGTTATGTATTAATCTTTATGTATCTCCTATCCTCCCCCCTCCCCAAGGCATTTCTGAAGAGGTTGAAACAAGTGAAGCCAACCAAGGCCATCTGCAGGGAAAATCAGCTCAAGGAGTACCACAGCACTCTACTGCACGGCATACCCATCTCCTCCCTGCACCCCCCTCCCCGGGCTGGACACCGGTCAGTCATGGATGACTCAGCCAGCTCCATGACCAGCATACAGAGGTAAACAAAACTATTTTTAAATATTACCAAGGTAGCACAATGTAACTTACAATCAAATGTTACCAATGTAACACAACGCCATGAAATCAAATGTTACTTGTGTGGACAGAATTATTGACAGAAATGAGACATTACTCACTAGTGTCAGTCACATAGAGCTTCACATCTGCTAACCTGAAAGACTGGAGTTTAAAGATCCCAGGCTCAAGTCTGTATGGTGTCCCTGCTTCTACCTAGTTCTGATGGGTACCATGTTAGGGAAACTAAGTTGGCTGGGCAAAGTGCTGACCCGAGTTCATTGAAACTGATTAACTCTACTTCATCTGCCCCATGTTTCTTGGGCACAAATGGGAAAAGAATCAACCCACCCCTCCCTGTATTGTATCCTTACACATGGGCTAGCCTTGTACACCCATCTCCCCCCCCCCCCCCCCCCCCCAATGTGTAAACTCTAAACTATATAGTCAAGCCCATAGTTGTAAAGTACATTGTGTTTATTTATGTTGTAAGACAAAATATTTTGTTACAGCGCCACCTCCACAGTGAGGTCACTGTCCAGCACACGCTCTGGGAGTTCCAGGATGAGCAGCAGACCCAGCAGTGCCAAACGGGCAGGAAGTAGCAGCCAGTACTTCTCTAGGAGGCCTGAGTGGTCAGACAGGTGGTGATCAGCAGGCAGGGTGTAATTATAGGTGGTGATCAGCAGGCAGGGTGTTATTGACAGGTGGTGATCAGCAGGCAGGGTGTTATTGACAGGTGGTGATCAGCAGGCAGGGTGTTATTGACAGGTGGTGATCAGCAGGCAGGGTGTAATTGACAGGTGGTGATCTTCAGGCAGGGTGTAATTTTCACAACCATGGTGATTGGCAGGCAGGGTATAATTGTCTCACAGGGGTGATCAAAAGGCAGGGTGTTATTGACAGGTGGTGCTTGGCAGGCAGGGTGTTATTGACAGGTGGTGCTTGGCAGGCAGGGTATAATTGTCTCACAGGTGGTGATCAAAAGGCAGGGTGTTATTGACAGGTGGTGATTGGCAGGCAGGGTGTTATTGTCTGACAGTTGGGGAACACCTGTATAATGTATGTGGTGAGAATAATCATCTTAATGGTGAGACAGGCTATGGTGACTTGTTTTACCGTTGCTTTGTACAGCTTGCATGATCAAAGTTGTGATATTAATAGATGTTTATACTTTCAACTTGTAGCCATGAATGTAATTAACGCCCATCCACAAATGTATTAGTTCAACTCTTTAAACAATTATTGTATTTTGTTTTGTAAAACCAAAAAAAAAAACAACGTGTGTGTAAAAATGTGTAATACTTGGACTATGGTAATTTTAAAATGTGTTTAAAAAAATAAATGAGAGTATCTTGTCTTTACTTAAATGTTATTGTGTTTGTTAAACAAAAATATGACAATATTAAGATAAATATTTGTTGAACTTAAATGTTGATACGCCTTTCTTGTCTCACATTCCATTAGTATATTATTTGTCTAAATGGACTTTGTTGTATAGCTGTTAAACTGAGGGTTATTTCATTGTTGTTTAGTTCACAACCAAAGTTATGTGAATTCTGGTTTAATTTATTTTTGCACATTTCCCAACATTTACTTTTCCTTGATTTTGTAACATCTTTCTGCATCATTATATTATTCTTTAATATATTTTTTTGTTGTAAAAAAGTTAAATAATTAAATTGTTGTTCTTTAATCGTAGTTTTATTATAAAATTGCTAAATACTATAATTAATTTATTGGAAAAGCTGAAGAGTTTCAAATTTTTCATGTTATATCACTTCTAATCAACTCCTCTTAGATTTGATGCTAGAATTTTTCAGTAGGTGTAAATGTAAAAGGGACGGAGTGACCTCTCGGTAGAGAGCTAGACTGCTAACCTGTAAGTCTGGAGTTTGAATCCGGGTTCAAATCAATAGATCATCCCTGAGTCCACCCTGCTGACCACACTTTACCTTCATATTCCCTAACTGCCCACCAAAATATACCAGTTTTGATAGAATTGCAGAAGTAGTGGCTATTTATTACTGAAGCAGAAAGTTTTCTTGTTCAACTAAAAAATTATCAATTATTTACAGTTGTGACTACTCTAACTACAGAACACTATCAGTGAAATAATAAACCGGGAGTGATCTCCCCTAAACTTTCACAAATATTCTTAAATAAAACAACGGGATGGCAACTCGGGATATAGACACTTTATAAATTCACATGCATTTTTTGAGAAATCTGAAATTTGATACAATACTTGTACATGAAATTTCATCAACCTAGTTGTAACGGTACTCAAGTTATCATGTTCACAGACACACACACACACACACAGACGTTCAGACAAAATTGCAAAACTATGTTTTTCAGACTCACGATTACAATACTTCCTCTATACTTCATATACGAGAAAGTAAAAATGACAAAAAGTTAAAAGATTATTTTTTAAGTAAGGAATTTTAAACATTCATAATTAATTCTTTATTGGCTAATTCTAAATATCATATCAACTTGGCTTCTGTGATTTTCCCTTTTTTTTACTCTTGTCTTTTTTAGCTACATCTGACTTCAATTTGGTCTCTTCAGAAGTTTGTTTTGTTTCGGTGGAGCTGATCCTTGCTTTTTTATTATCCACAAAACTCCAGGAAGAAGAGTTGGCATCATCCTGTTATGAGCAAAAACAAATAGATACAAGAATTAGTGATTTTTTTTTTTGTGCTTATATTGTATATTCTTACACACATATTAATTATTTCTTTCTTAAATTTCCTTTAAAAACTTGATCTTTAGAAGAATTATAAGTTTTAAAGTATCATAAACTACAGGTCACTAAGGTGTTGAGTTTAGACAAAGAATGATCATTGTGCCTAATTTTTATTTTACTTTTAAAAAAACATCACTAATCTATTTATATTTAAACATTCAGCAAGTATGTAGATGCAACTTTAAAATACGGAAAATATTAAAGTATTAAAAAAAAAATTAATAATTAATACATCAAATGATTCGTTTGGTTAGAAGCCTTTGTCAGTATGAAGAAAAGAAACGAAAATTTACAATTTTTCTTATTAAAATTAAAAGGCCAAATTTTGTTACAGTTAAAGTGATAATGTAGCTAGATGGGTTGAAGGAGGTTAAAAAAAAATAGAAACAAATTTAAGTTTATTTGGTTATTGTTCTTGCAATAAATTGTGAGAAATAATAATTAATATCCTGATAAAATGCTTAAGGTTAACTAAAGGAACAGCTCAAAGTTTTCTGGTCAAATAAGAAAACTGCTTAGAGTTTTAAAATTCATTTATTTTATCCTACCTTGATTTGAACATTAGAACTGTTCAAAATTTCCTCCCTGATTTTGTCCGAGGCCTCCCACAGTGGTTTGTACAACTTTTTCATCAACTGTTTGGCTTTCTCCTCAGGTATCCCAAGCTCACCTAACCAAGATTTTTAAAACATTAGAAAACTACAACTTACATAATTTCATTAGAGATTTAGATAAAACTATATTAAAACATTAGAAAACTACAACTCACATAATTTCATTAGAGATTTAGATAAAACTATATTAAAACATTAGAAAACTACAACTTACATAATTTCATTAGAGATTTAGATAAAACTATATTAAACATTAGAAAACTACAACTTACATAATTTCATTAGAGATTTGGATAAAACTATATTAAACATTAGAAAACTACAACACACATAATTTCATTAGAGATTTAGATAAAACTATATTAAAACATCAGAAAACTACAACACAAATAATTTCATTAGAGATTTAGATAAAACTATATTAAAACTTTAGAAAACTACAACACACATAATTTCATTAGATTTAGATAAAACTATATTAAAACATCATAAAACTAAAACTTACATAATTTTATTAGAGATTTGGATAAAACTATATTAAAACCTTAGAAAACTACAACTTACATAATTTCATTATAGATTTAGATAAAACTATATTAAACATTAGAAAACTACAACTTACATAATTTCATTAGAGATTTGGATAAAACTATATTAAACATTAGAAAACTACAACACACATAATTTCATTAGAGATTTAGATAAAACTATATTAAAACATCAGAAAACTACAACACACATAATTTCATTAGAGATTTAGATAAAACTATATTAAAACTTTAGAAAACTACAACACACATAATTTCATTAGATTTAGATAAAACTATATTAAAACATCATAAAACTAAAACTTACATAATTTCATTATAGATTTAGATAAAACTATATTAAAACAATTGTAAACTACAACTTACATAATTTCATTATAGATTTAGATAAAACTATATTAAAACATTAGAAAACTACAACTCACATAATTTCATTAGAGATTTAGATAAAACTATATTAAAACATTAGAAAACTACAACACACATAATTTCATTAGAGAATTAGATAAAACTATATTAAAACATTAGAAAACTACAACTCACATAATTTCATTAGAGATTTAGATAAAACTATATTAAAACATTAGAAAACTACAACACACATAATTTCATTAGAGAATTAGATAAAACTATATTAAAACATTAGAAAACTACAACACACATAATTTCATTAGAGAATTAGATAAAACTATATTAAAACATTAGAAAACTACAACACACATAATTTCATTAGAGGATTGGATAAAACTATATTAAAACATTAGAAAACTACAACACACATAATTTCATTAGAGATTTAGATAAAACTATATTAAAACATCAGAAAACTACAACACACATAATTTCATTAGAGAATTAGATAAAATTATATAAAATTATTAGAATCTATAAAAGGCCTAAAAGAAGAGCAGACTGGAATCAAAGTCCTAGTGGCCTATGGCACCTAACATGTAGGCACATAATATTACAATTAGAAACAAAGAAGTTCCGTAGAAGTTTTTAATAATTACCAATACATTTTATAATTTAACCAATGCAATAAAATAGTTTTTATAAAGCTCAATACCTGCCGCGTCCAGCATAAATTTGTCATTTCTAGCAAATTCTCTGATTTTAGCTCGTGTTGACACCACTGTGTCCACAGCCTGGCAAAACTGTTGCTGGGATTCTGTCAAGTTTCCTGTCTAGGATTAACAAAATCTGTAGACACATCTGTTTATAGACACGGCTGTTCTACAGACACATCTGTTCATAGACACATCTTTTCTACAGACACATCTGTTCATAGACACATCTTTTCTACAGACACATCTGTTCATAGACACATCTTTTCTACAGACACATCTGTTCATAGACACATCTTTTCTACAGACACATCTGTTCATAGACACATCTTTTCTACATACACATCTTTTCATACACAAATATTTTCTACAGACACATCTGTTCATAGACACATCTTTTCTACAGACACATCTGTTCATAGACACATCTTTTCTACAGACACATCTGTTCATAGACACATCTGTTCATAGACACATCTTTTCATACACAAATATTTTCTACAGACACATCTGTTCATAGACACATCTTTTCTACAGACATCTTTATTCTTGTGGGACGGAGTGGTCTAGCGGTAGAGAGCTGGACTGCTAACCCATAAGTCTAGAGTTTGAATCCAGGTTCAAGTTAGTAGACCGTCCCTGAGTCCACCCAACTCTAATGGGTACCTAACTCACGTTAGGGAAAGTGAAGGCGGCTGGGCATAGTGCAGACCACACTATCTCTTCATATGCCTAGGTCACAGAAACAGGTGAACTCTACTTCACTTGCCCCATAGACCGTCAGGTTTGAAAGGGAAATTTTTTTTTTTTTAATCTTTATTCTTAGTTTATATTGTTCTTCTATTGTTGTTTTAGAATTTAAAATTATTACTAAAAATATGGTCCATTATCTATTTCTAGATATGTACAAGATTTTATACAAATTCTATAAGTTATCTGTCAATAGATATATAAAAGATCTTATATACAAATTTTATAAATCAGCTGTCGCCAGAGAGATACAAGATCCTTAATTCTCAGCACTGAAATTTACCTTAGCAGTGCCAATATCTAATCCCAGCTTTTTCAATAGACCACGGATAAAAACCTCAACAGCCACCACTGGTGCTATACAGCGTGCAGAAGTTTCCTAATGATCAGAAAATAACAATGACATTTGATTGTTAAAAATTTAACACGATACGCATTTAATATTTGCATTATAAAATACCAAAATAATGTTCCGTGAAAATTATTCTCATTAAAGATTATTTCATTTCAAAATCACACCATGATAGAACTACAATTATAAATTCAATAATGTTTATGTTAATGTGTGCATCTTCCATGAACTGGACATCAATTACTTGTTGTGATTTATCAATACAAAGTAATTATGGCAAAATATTTAACATAACCCCCATTCTGTGGGAATCAACAGTTGAACATATCCCCTCACAGAGTTTAACATACCCCCTCACTGAATCAACAGTTTAACATACCCCCTCACTGAATCAACAGTTGAACATACCCCCTCACTGAATCAACAGTTTAACATACCCCCTCACTGAATCAACAGTTTAACATATCCCCTCACAGAGTTTAACATACCCCCTCACTGAATCAACAGTTTAACATATCCCCTCACAGAGTTTAAGATATCCCCTCACTGAATCAACAGTTTAACATACCCCCACACTGCTATTGGCATCAGACTCCCCACCCAGGTACTGGTTGACCAGCTTGACCAGTCTCATCACGTGGGCCAAAGCTTGTGGTGTGTTGAAGTCATCAGCGAAGGCTTGGTGGACCAGTCTCCTAGTGTTGTGTAAACTGGGGACACACAATAAGACAGGTTATTTTTAGATGTTGATAATGTCAGTTCATGGTTGGTGGACCAGTCTCCTAGTGTTGTGTAAACTGGGGGCATATATTAAGTACTTTACTTTAAAATGACCAGGTAAAAGTTATAGTCCAAGAATCATTAATTTATTTTTAGCAGTTTGAAAGGACCAAAATACTGTCAAAGTAATACTGTAGAAGGATAAAGTAACTAATAAGAGTGATGAAGAAATCAAGAAGTCATAAAATTAAAGTGCTCAAAAGTGGTGTGACAATTAAAATAGAGAGAAGAAAAAGCAGTCAAATAATTAAAGTGGTCAAATGATTAAAGTGGTCAGACAATTAAAATAGTGAGATAATAAAGTAACCACATGATTACTCACTTCTCATAAAGCTCAGCCTCAGGTAAAGGTCTGCTGTTAATTTGGCCATCAACATACAACTTGCAGCGATCAACTAAACTGTTCAACGTAGTAACCACTGAAACAGCTTTCTGCATGCGCTCATCACTGAACTCTAATTCTGTTCAGAAAATTGAAATCAAGTTCAATTACTATATTAGATCTGTAAATAACAACCTTTGTTGTAATCTTTTTTGATAAAAATATTTGAGTTTTATGTAATCTTTTAAATCAGAAAATAAAAAAGTTCAATGGAATCTTTTAAATTAGAAAACAAAAAATAGAACATAAACAGTAAACAAAAGAATGAACACACTCACGCTTTCTGTAGTGACTCAACAGACACAACATTCTGAACTGATTAGAGCTGTACTGATCTAAAAGTTCTGGAATGGATATCACATTCTTCAGGGACTTGGACATTTTATCAGTTTGACCAGATAAAAATAGATGACCTGAGAGCAGATGAAATTAAAAAGTAGTTGAGCACTTTTAATTTATGTTTACTTTACCGAGTAGCAAAGGAATAAAATTTGTTTTCCTTAGTAATCAGTTTTTTTATCAGCAGTCAACATTATAATTATTGTCAGACTTTTGTGTACACTATGTGATGCTATACCTGTATGTGTCCAGTAATTGACCCACTGAGTGTTATTGTGGTATGCGCAAGACTGCGCAAGCTCATTTTCATGATGAGGGAATATTAAGTCCTGTCCACCAGAATGTAGGTCAAAGTTGGCACCAAATATATGGCTGAAAAGTTTTATTCACAGAAAACATAAAGTACATTCATTACATGATTATTTTCAATTAGTTTTTTAAATATTGATGAAAAGTCTTTTTTAATGCTTTATATTAAACATTTTGTTTATTTCCACTGCTAAGTTATTTTATAATTAAGTGTTCCTTTTTTCTACTTATTCATTGGTTAAAAAAGGTTTTTTACCTGGCCATAGCTGAACACTCAATATGCCAGCCAGGCCTGCCTTTTCCCCATGGAGATTCCCACCATGGCTCTCCTGGTTTGCTCCCCTTCCACAAGGCAAAATCTTGGCTAGTGTGTTTTTCTGAGTTGATCTCTATAAATAGACACCTATAGGTAATGCATAACATAAAAAATTCTTTCAATAACTCTTTGACTAGAAAATAAATTTGCTCACCCCCCTTGTTTAAAGATAAGTTATTTAACTTTGCAGCAACCTACCCACTCCCTGATCAGTCTGGTTAGAAAAAACTCCGTAGCGGCCGTATTTATTGACATCAAAATACACACTGCCTATTTCAAGAATAAAAAAATTAATACACTAAATTACTTTAAAATCTAAAAATATTCTTACAGATATGCTATGCTCTTGATTTTAAGATCATATATAATTCTAAAAACCTGCTTTTGGACTATATGCAATCTAATTTTTCAATAACAAAAAAAGCTGATCAACAGATGAAAGGATAGTATGGACAGCGCTATGCCCTGCTATCTTTACATTCCCTAACATCAGTCAGGTACCCATCATAGCTGGGTGAACTCATGGGATGTCCCACAGACTCTAGCTCTGGATCTTAACTCAAGACTTTCTGGGTAGCAGTCATATGCTCTACCACTTGACCATGCCATTCCATATTTCTCTTCTTTAATAAACAATAAATCAAGAGCTGATGCATGTGTGTAATAAAAAAAACAACAATTGGCCTTCTTTTTTCACTCATAAATGTGATTATGACAAACCTATTCCTCTAAACCACTTTCTATCTAACCTCACTGGCTGATTAATAAAAAAAACAACTTACCATCACTGACTCTATATGCCAATCCCTTCTTCTCTATTGCGGCAATGAAGTTTATAATAGGAGCAATGTGTTCAGTCACCCTGGTTACCATGCTTGGAGCTAGCACATTTAGGCTTGACATGCTGGCAAAGAATTCTGATTCAAACCTCTTGGTGAGTTTGGACATGGCTTCTCCTGTCTAAAAAACATAGGTTTGGGGTTTTAAAAAAATAGAAACAAAAGAATCATCTTTTTAAGATTATTACATCAAAAGCAATAGATATTACAGCTGAGTTTAAATATGCATTACACAAATTATATATATATAGCTTCATAGTCTAAGACCACTGGAAACCCAAGCACAAAGCATGGGCAGTAAGTTGAGAAGAGCCTGGTCTTGCCCATGTATCAGGCCTGCTCTCTCCATACAGCGGATGGACCCAAGGGACAGGATGTTACCTGTACAGCTTGGAATCAGCAGTGTCGCAGAAACTGCTGATAGAAAACCTGAATTGCTAATCCTATCACCTAAGGAGCTGGTCTCCAGTTTTTTTCATGAGTTTTCTCTCCTAGATGAGTTGCTGTCCCCAGCAAACTCGACTCATCTGCCCAAGGGTTCAAACATGGGACTTCTGGGTTAGCAACCATGTGCTTGCCCTCATGACTTCAGTGTACAATACATTCTACAATAGTAATAGCCAAATACAATAGTGAATGAAGAATACCTCAAGTGATTTTTTTATAATTTTGTCATCAATATCAGTCACTCCCATGACGAGGATGGTTTCAATGTGAAAAAAATCCTCCATAATTCTGCGAATAATATCTTGACGTACATATGAACTTGCATGTCCAATATGTGAACTGTCATAGACTGTTGGACCACAGGCATACCTGAATATTCACAATATCGAATAATTTGGAATTTCTTTTCAGAATTTAATGGTAGGAAATGAATATAATATGACACTTTAAATAATAAAATATTCTAATTTGCAAACTTTATTATTTATATTATGGAACAAAATACATGTTTTAATTTCCAAACCGGTTCCAATTTTACATAAATATAAACTATAAATATAATGAATTATTTTAATTAGTGAATACATTTAAAATTATTAGAGGAATAACTGACCACTGAACTAGCCTTTCTTGGCGTAGAACAAGAGGCACTTTATCCTTAACAACAGGATGGTAAATTTTAATCCCTGTGTCAAATCCTTGAGGTTGACTCCAGCTTTTTAAATTTGTTGAGTGAGAAATAAAAGCTTTGGAGACAGGGAAATCATTAGCAGGTAACAAGTGTCTGAATGTAGAGCTTGCCCAGGGAATTCCACAATTAATGGTGGACTGTAGATATTTGTACCTCGACCATGTGTGGCTAAGTCTCGCTAGTTTTGGTGTCATTGTTGTCTTCAGTATGAGACATCCACAAAAACTACACTGCATTTCTATGTACCCTTACAGAAACACACATCCTTGTATCTGCTGAATAAATGACATTTTTTTTTTATTAGTTAAATTAAATATAACTATGAATTAAAAAAAAAATAATGCTAAAAACTTGCCTTCAAATTATAGTACTGTATTAAGAAAGAAATATATAGATCTAGGGAAAGTTGTATTCCTTTGTATGTTTATGCCCAGCTCAACAGAGTTTGTATATTTGTATGAGACACATAATTGGCAAAACAAATTGTAGGAACTGCTTAGATGATGACAGCAAAAAGTATATCTTAATCTTAATTCTCTCAAACTAAAGCTAATTTCAAGCTAATTAACGAGAGCTGTAGATCTAGTATAGAATTAGATGGATTTCTCCAAATGATAGTAGAATCTTCCAGGAAAGCAAAAAGATATACCAAAAAGTACGCTTGATGATTAGTATACTTAAGCCCTATACAAGCATGCATGCTATGCAGAGGTGAACCTTAATTAGTAACATAATTACCACATTTGAAAATATATAACCTTTGTCAGCATAATATAGATCTAATACCACTCAGTTTTATTGAATGGAATAGGCCTAGATAATTAAAATATATTAATTAAAATAGTTAGGGCCTACACTAAAAAAAAGTGGAGTATTTGAGTATTGGTATTACTAGATTCTACCATGTCTGACAATAGATTCTTCTGAAAATAGGTGTTAGGTTGTTACTTGTTAGTAACTTGTTAGTAGTAGATACGTAATTTCCAAGTTCAATTTTGTGGTCAGAAATTATTAGGGTTAGGGCTAAAATTAAAGTAAAACACTAATAATAAGTTAATAACGTAATAGTAATACTAATAGACATGGGCCTAACTGTTCAACACCCCTTTTTTAAGGCCCGGACAAATACTAAATAGGTATATTTCCCCTTTCAGAGCTAATAATAATAATTAATAAATAGGCCCGGTCCGATAATTTTTTTGATGTATGGAGGGGGGGGGGGTGACACCAGACTTCACCAGAGGTACCAGCCCGGCGGCAACCGGTCTACTACTCCGCCACTGCCAGGGCCTAATTGTAATAATTGATCTTAGGTTACTGAATAAATGTAGATCTAGATATAGATCTACTTTTTAATCCTGGAAACTGATTTATCATTTTACTCTTCTTTATACCTAGTTAACCTAGTCCATAAATGACTTAAATGTTGTTTTAGTTTCTGTTCTCCTTTAAAGGAAGGTAAGCTACTCAAATTGTATAAATAATTCGTCTTTAGAGTTATCCCAAACAACCACATAGTAAATGTATAATTCCCTTCCTACCCCGTCCCCACCGCCCACCTCCGACCTAGTCCCAAATCGGCGAACTCTAAGCTAGCTACCAAAGAGTTATTTTTAAAAATTCGCTTAGCCAAAACACGAATGGATTCTCCGCATACGGAACAATTTGACTAATAAAATGATATACTATTAATCTTAAAAGCATAATTTGCTGATAAATATTCACGAACTTGCAATAAAAATTATTTTAAAAATATTCTTTAACATATTGATTATATTTTTTGCAAGAGTTTTTTTTAGTTAGGCTACTAATTATTTTAAAATTCTCCAAATTAACTTAGCTTTTAAAAAGTTTCACTGACGGAACAGAACGATTCTAAGAGACACAATTTGATGAGAAAACCGATTTCATTGTTTACAAATGGTGATCAATTTTAATTCATGAGATAATTTTAATCCATCGCTCTTAATATTTTCATTTTAAAACTGGCTGCAATGGTCAATAACGCAGCAGTAGAGGCCATCTGCTCTGCGACGTATTTATCAAATTACCTCGACACGATGGAGACATTGCCGGACGATCTCCAGAGGAACATTTCTCAAATGAGGGAGTTGCACATCAGAAGCAAAGGTTGGCAAAATACCTTTTTAATAATTTGAACAATTAATCTTCATTCTAGGTTCTAGATCTACACATAGTTATTTTCAATTATTTCAGTATGACATTAAAAATCATTAAAATAGTACTGACATTTAGGAAAACTGAAAATAGCAGGTTAAGGTTGTGGGAAATTATTCAGAATTGTGAGTTTCAAACTTTATTTCATTTATTCATTCATCAGTTTGATGACATATAGATATAGATCTAGATCTATCACAAACTATCACTTACTAATTACTTAACTCAAAACTCTTGTCTTATGTTAACTTAAGGGTTTCAAACTTATAAACGTTAGGCTAACTACTAAAATTTTAAATAACTAGTTGGAATTCTAGATCTAGTGTCTAGATCTTCTATGTACTACAAGTGGATGCCAGGTGATAATTAATTAGGCATTTAGGTCTACGAAGTACTTTTAAGTTTTAGTGTTAGCCCTATGGAAAAAATTTAATTCTAACTTAATTTAAACTTAAGTAAGAATTGTGATGGTTATTTTATTCTGTGGAAATATGCTAGCCAGTTAATCTTAGTGTAGTAAGCTCCGGTTTTCAGCTGTGTAGGTCTACTTATTTATTATTTACTGATATTTAAGGTTATGCAGATGTTTTTCGTTTTCCATCTTTATACACTACATTTGTTAGTTTGACTATGGAATAACTATGTTTTTTCTAAATGTGCAGGCAGAACTAAAATCATATTGATGGGTTTTTTACCTATATCATTGCCACTAGTCTATTAAGATTAGTCAGAAATACCACCAAAAAAAAGATTAATAAGAATTTTTATAGTCCCTATTCTTTTTAGAAATTCTCTATATTATGATCAAGTAGGTGCAATATCAGTCTTAGTTACCGATATGTTTTTTTTTTGGTTTACAAATTATTTGAGATTTACAGGTGAAAATTGTTTAAATCATTGGGAGTAGGACGTAACTCTCATGTCAGTTTTCATCAATTACCACTCACCCAAAAAAGTGCCATTACCCCCTGTTGATTGCTAATTATCCCTAAACTTTAATAAAAGGTTGGAGATAGATTTAGGTGATTTGGTTATTTATAATTTATCTGCCCATTTCAGACATTTAAAAAAAAGTATCTCACTTTATAACTTTATAAATATCATATATAAAACCATTTATAAAAGGTATTCTTAAGGGGGGGGGGTAATATCCTTGACCCTAAATATTTGTTTCAAGTATCAAACTTTTTAGTTTTTGAGCTCTACATTTTAACTGTTTTGTTTTGTTATTTCTGATCTTTATGCATGAGAGCTAGTTTTTGTGCTTTGTTCAAGCATTTATGTTTATTTTTGTACATCATTTAGCAATTTTGGAAGAAATAAAAAATCTACGAAATGCTGCTATGAAAGAGAGTGGATCGTCAAAAAAGTCTTGCCTGGCCTTACAAAGAGCACTGATTCACTGTCAGGAGATTGGAGATGAAAAGATTGCCCTCGTCCAGCTGATCACAGATTTAATAGAAAACCGCTCACGACAGCTAGATCAGGACAGAGAGCACTTGGGTCAGTTCTTTTCTTTTATCTTTTTTTATGAGTTTTGAACTATTAGTATACTTTGGTTATATGAGGTGCATTGTGATTATTGTTGTTGTTGATATCTTTTAATTTGTTACTGTAATATATTAGGCTTTAATATAGAATTTCTTATTGTATATGATGGATACTAAAAACCTGTCTTTATAAAAAAAAAGTAGCTGGTTGTATGAGTTATAGTTTAGGTCATGTTTATATTGTGTTCTACCTGAAATACTGAAATACCTGTATAATCCTGGTTGAATTTTAATGGATCATAAATTTATGTTCCTGTTGTTTAGATCCTGGGTCTACGAAAGAGCCAGAGCCTGAAGAAATCGTCATTCCTGTAGTAAAGAAAGAAACAAAAGCAGAGCCTGAAAAGAATGAGAAAAATAATTCAACTAAGCGTCAAAGGAGAACAAAAGCAGAAGTTAACGAGGAAGATACTAAAGTGAGCGTGAGTAGACTTTTTTTTTTTTTTGCAATACAGCAGCTAAAAATTCTACCTCTATAACATGATCTCTTTTATGTTGAAATTATGCTTGTGGTAATGTTGAATATTCTGTTTTAGGAGGAAAAAGATAAAGCGCCTAAGAAGAAAAAGAAGCGGAAAGTTGCGAAGAAAGAGGCCAACGGCGATGACTCCCCACTAGACTTCCAAATAGACCCCAATGAGCCAACGTATTGCTCCTGTAATAACATTTCTTATGGAGAAATGATAGGGTGTGATAACGAAAAGTGTGTTATAGAATGGTATCACTTTGGCTGTGTTGGACTGCGCACAAAACCCAAGGGAAAATGGTACTGCCCAGAATGTAGGGGAGACAAATCAAATGTCAAAAGACCAGACAAATAAAGGAAAAAAAAACAATATCTGTAGGTTTTTATGTTTGTAAAAAAGAATGCAATGCAGACTTGAGGATTTGCAGCAAGTCACTGAAGTATCGGAGGATCCTGCGTATTATTTTACTGGATAATTTATGAAGGGAGATGAGCAATAAGTAACATTCACTTTAAGAAATGTGTATTTCCCTTAAATGAGACGGTATCTTAATATTATTTTAAACCTAATAAAATTTACGAATTCAGGACCAATCCATTATTTTGTAATTCTTTGCATTAATTCTCGCAGCTTATGACAACAGAACAAGGTTTGCTGATGTACTGTAACTATTGAATAATTTGCATTTATACATTGTTTAATCACATAAGTTATTTACTTCAGGGCGGTAATCTTCTTCCTCCACCTTACTCCCAACATTTTGTTACTGAATTAATTTACTATTGAATTAGACATAAAGGACTACTTTGTTATTGTGATATAGAGAATATTCAGTGAAGGATATTGCTGCCTAGGGTAAGGCACCCAGTCAAAGCAGTGAATCTCAAGAGGCTGACTGATAACACGTTTTCTTTTAATCAACTCAGTTTTTAACATTTTCACCTGAATCAGTTTCCAAGTAAAATAAAAGGTTTTTTTTTTTATATTTTATAAACCATTTTTTAAAAACAGCTGGGTGGTTTAAAAATACAAAGATTTTTATTTGGTGTAATATAGGCTTCTTATACACATGATGTCAAGTTTGACGTGTACTGTAATTACAAATGTGTGAGAGGAATGGATGATTGCATACTGTACAGTACATTTATGGAAGAGATATTAATATATTTTTGTTGAATCTTTATGGTTCATTGGAATATAGTTAGTTATTTGATAGAAAGAATGAAAAATACTGGCCAAAGTTCTGCGTTAGGACTGCAGACGTTTAATTCTGCCTTATTTTTTGTGTTGAGAGGTTTTATTGATTAGTATTTGCTAAAGTACAGGACGAATGAAAATTTTACTATCTACATGAAGTCTGTTCTTTTTGAAAGCTTAAATTATACTTTTGAAAAATTTAATTCGATAAGATTTTCTTATACTGAAGAGTGTGATTGTAAAAATATATTGTATTGTCAGATGAGGTGAGCATTTATGTCCCGCAGAATAGTTGAGCACCAAGATTGCTGAATTAAAGGTTCCATAATTAGTTGAATGCACATAATTTTTTCCCCCAAGTTTAGTACTTTTGCTTGTTTACAAAAAAAATTTCCTAATTACAAGCACCCCAAAGATCTTGCACAGCCAAATACCATCTTGTTGAAATAATTTTTTGTATTGTTTTTCCATTTACCAGCATATATGATGAAGACAATTTAGCAGAAATAAAATGAAATATTTCATTTTACAATCTATAGCTTCATTAAATTCAAGCATTTTTTGTGAACGGTCTGTCAACTGTGAAATACTGTACATACAAATTTATATATTGGTATAATTGAATGTGTAAACTTTAGTTATGTTTTTGTAAACATTGTTGGATACTCAACTTCTATGCTGTTGAATATCAATAAACAGTGTCCATTTTTTTCTCCCATATTTGGGACTGTTAGGTAAGACATATGTTTACGTCATTGTTGGTTTCACTGCATCTACATACATTTTGTTTTATTTTATATCATTGTCAAAGCCATTCTATTAAAACATGACCATACTAGAAATATCTGTGTTTGTGATTTTTTCTATGCTGTTAAAATTACAGTATAAAAGCTTTGCTGTCGAAAATAGATTGTTCTTTATTTCAGAGTATAAGAATTCCACATTAGCAAGTATATTTAAAACACAGGAATCAAACATGCAGTGACAAAAATAGATTTGATATGAATATTATTTAAGAACATTTTAAACACATTGATAATTAAATATTATTTAAATATGTATACCAAAGCCATTGTAAAATACTTGGAGGAAACAAATTTGGACAATTATGCCTCATGTCAACCAACTAAGAAATAATATTGTCTTGTAAATATAGAATTAAATCACAGAGGATGATTGCACTTAGATATATATAATTCATTTAACATTTTATGTAAATTAAGCTCAAATGTAATTATTTGTCTGTGTGAAATCTAATTACTAAATCTAAATAACAATGATAACTTGAATCAGTTGACCAAAAAAAAAACCCAAGGTACATACTATTCATGTTACAAAATTGAGTATTTTGTGAAATTTATTTTATCTTTCACTAAGTTAATTTAGCATTTGCTATAGCTATCATCCCAAAACATGAGTACACAAATTGTGTTTTAATTTTTAACAAATTTAAGTACAAATACTGGATTTTAAAAAAAGCAAACTAGCACATAAAATGATGAAACAAATACGGTGGTAAAAATAAAGGAAAACATCAAGGTAGCACTTAATAAAGAGCACCAACAGACATTTTTAACTGTAAGTTAACAGATGCTATACATGAATGATTTGCTCGCCAGTTCACGTTGAAAAAAATTCGTGATATTAGTATACAAATTTAAAATGTAATACTTTTTACCATTGGAATGAACAATAGTACAATAAAATCCATGCTTTTATTTTTTCCAAATGAAGGAGGAAAAAGGGAGATAATTCAATTAATTTTGAGCAACACTATATTTCCTAATTATTGAAGATAGAGATTGTTTGTTTATAAGTAGAAGTATAAAAGATTAGTAAATTACTATATCAATTCAGTAATTTTCTTTCAGAGGTTCTGTTAAGACTGGCTGTACAATAAACATAATGATACTATTTAGAACACTGATCCTCTTAAACAAAAACTTAAAATATAAACTTTCAAAAGAAAGATCAATAAATGGCTTCATAATCATTACATCATGAGCAAGATTACAATAATGTAGAAACAATCACACACAACAACTTTTCAAGTCCAGTTCATGATAAAAAAGAATGAAATAAATGCAGCAAAAAGCTGTTCTTCACTAATGGCCTTTGGTCAGGTAGGGAACGTGATGGCAATGCTGCCCAGTTGTGTCACACGTAGGGACGGGGAATGTGAAGTGGGGCAAGCTGCTCTGTGATTGGTGGAGAGTGGGGTGGCCCCTCAATGAAGGAACTTGTCCGGTGGATCAGTCGCCTGGACAGATGGTACGGTTGACTTCGCTCCAGGTGGGAAAGCACCATGATCACTTGCCTAAGGGAAAAAGTTGAGATTATAAATCTGACAGTTAGAAATAGACTAAATGTGATATTCTAATCACTTGCCTAAGGGAAAAAGTTGACATTATAAAACTGACAGTTAGAAATAGACTAAATGTGATATTATTCTAATCACTTGCCTAAGGGAAAAAGTTGACATTTTAAATCTGACAGTTAGAAATAGACTAAATGTGATATTATTCTAATCACTTGTCTAAGGGAAAAAGTTGACATGAATCTGACAGTTAGAAATAGACTAAATGTGATATTGTTCTAATCACTTGCCTAAGAGAAAAAGTTGACATTTTAAATCTGACAGTTAGAAATAGACTAAATGTGATATTATTCTAATCACTTGCCTAAGGGAAAAAGTTGACATTATAAATCTGACAGAATTAGACTAAATGTGATATTATTCTAATCACTTGCCTAAGGGAAGAAGTTGACATTATAAATCTGACAGTAAGAAATAGACTAAATGTGATATTCTAATCACTTGCCTAGTGATAAGAAATAGACTTTATATTTCTTAGATTCAAATGTATAATGGAGATTCAACTAATGTGATAAAACATACTTTGGTAGAGATGAGGAATTAAATTTAAAAATGCACAGCCATAAAAATGAAACAAACGTTCTGAAATCATTGGAGAGAAAACTGGATGAATTGGTTTTAAAATTATGACAGCTAAAATCTTAATTCCAACCAGTAGGTCATTGTGATTCCCTTTACCATTACATATAGAAAAAAAAGTTGTAACCTCAACATTTTCTACCAGTATAAAACATATGAGATTTACAAGCATTCTATTACAGTACCAGTCCTGGCTTCTCATCTCAGTCAACAACAAACCTGTGGTAAGGGGGGATAACATCTGTTGTTTCTAGGGTTCCTCGTGTTGATACTATGTTGCAGCTGTCTTTACAGTCTGAAATCAAATTGACGTAGTGGGCTGGAAGGCGGTTTTCTACAACAAAAATACACCCTGCCCATCCCTTCATCAGGGTATAAGCTGTGACTCCTTGTCGAATCTAGAGGAGGGTAAAAACACTTTTAGTTTAGTTGTGCTAAGAAAAACATCATGAAAAGATAACCTTAAAAAAATATTTTATCATTACCTCCTCTTTGTTGCCCTTGCTGACAGCCAGCTGAATGAGGGCATCAGCCAGCACAAATGGTCTGGACACAAGGTTCTCACTCACCATCAGCTTCTTAGAGCTATGGATGGACACCACATAATGGGGACCCATGGCCTTAGAAGCATCTGTAAAATATCAAATTTGATTTTTTATTTTAGAATAAAAATGTAAACAAACTTTTTAAAAATGTACATACAAAAAAATACAAATTTAAAAGTAAAAAGTCAGCAGAAGTACAAAGTTTTTTACTTTCAAATTCAAAACTGAAGAACAAATTTGATTTTTGTAATTCTAAAAAAAACAACTACATGTTATATTTCTTCTTCTTCTTCTTCGTTCTTAATTATTAGTGTTGAAGGTGATCGAGATTTATCTGCCAGTGCGTTTGAACTCGAGACTTTTGTTGGAATTTATCAACCATGAGCTTTTTGCCGACTCGACTATGCCTCCAACACAATTAAGCGTTACGTGTCAACTGGTTATGAGCCATTGAGGCCATTGACTCCGATTTCAGTCTGCTTTTCTCTTTTTGGATTTGCTTCCATAGCCTTTGTCCAACCAAGAACAAACTACAAGGCAGCAGTTGTTTAATTTTGGAGTTGTCTCTCCTAGAAGAGTGGCTGTCCCCAGCTAACGAGCCTCATCTGCCCGGGGGTTCGAACTCGAGACTTTTCGGTTTAGCAACCATGAGCTTTTACCGACTCGACCACGCCAACCCCATGTTATATAACTTCTACACAAATGCAGCGCATAGCAACAACATGAGCACTATATTTATCCAGAGAAAAAAAAAGTGTGCGCATAACATTTATAATTAAACATTAAATTATATTAAAATGTGCTAAATTTCATTTTCAAGAGCTCAGCGTTATCTGTAGTTCAGACAAATTAGGATACTTAAAAAAACCAAAAATAGCTTAGTATAGCAGCAAAATATTAACTCAATACCAGCATAAAAATGGTGGAAACATACCAAAGTCAATTTTCCAGTGGTTAAATGCCAGTGGCACAATGACATAATCCCCAGGAGAGAACATGTGGCTGCAGCCGACAAACCCCCGCAGTTGGCGTGAACTGTGGACCTCCAGCTTGCCCACCGCCACCTGCTGGAGGTTGGGGGACTCTCTCAGGACCAGCAAACACAGGTCCAGTGGAGACTTGCCGCCAGCAACACCCCTGCAACAAGAGTTCTCTTTTCAATGCTTGTTCTTCATGTCTGTTTTTTTAAGCTATAGTCAAAATAAATAAAATTCCCCCCTTTAAAACCCAACGACTCATAGAGCAGATGAGGTAGAGTTCATATGTTTCTAGACCTCGGCATATGAAGGGAAGGTGTGGTCTCAGAAATGTCCTGCAGTCTTAAGTCTGGACCAAGATCTGAACTCTAGACATTCGGGTTAGCAGCCAAGCGCCCTACCATTCGACCACTCCGCTCCATTAGCTTTTGTCAAGTTTGAGTACAATTATTTCAAACAAATTATTCCATTTTTATTCAGTTATTTTGTTGTGTTTATACAACTTAAATTATGATCCAACATGTTAATCTGTAATATACAAGAAAGTAATTTTAAAATCAGCACAAAAAATAGTCAATAACTTCTGTTGTACCTTGAACCTTCTTGAAAAAGACCAAATTCAATTTCTGTTGTTTGAAAAACACTAATCTTGATGATTTTGGTTGCGTTGGATCCATTGATAGGGAACATGCCCTGAATTCTTTTCTCCTGCCAGTGTGGCCGGATCTTACAGATGTCAATGCTATCAAAATACCTGGCAAGTAGATGATCAAAACAAACAATGAAACTTGTATATAAACTTATAAGCTTTATTGGGAGTTACAGGTTCTGGCTAAAGTTAAAATTTAAAAAATCAGACATTAATCTAGTGAGGTGGTTAAAATAAAGTAAACAAATCAACATACGTTCGTTGTATAGTGATTTGGCTATAGGAGAGTTAACACTTTATTTCCCCACGTAATGGCCACAGTCCTCACCTCATGAGATCAGAGAACTGCATCCAGAAAACTCCTTGCTCCTCCCCCACGGCCATCAACTTCCTCCTTCCTTCTTCTGTTACCGTCTGCCACGAGGGTGACCCATCACTCCAGTTGCCTTTCCATGAGTAGCGACCCCAGGGGTTGCGAAGTCGGATCAGTCTTAATAGGGTAATTAAAATATCAAGCGTCGTTAGAGCAGGCAACAAACAAATACACAAGCATGACTTGACAATACACCCCTGACCCAAGTTTACTAAGATACACCCCTGACCCAAGTTTACTAAGATACACCCCTGACCCAAGTTTACTAAGATACACCCCTGACCCAAGTTTACTAAGATACACCCCTGACCCAAGTTTACTAAGATACACCCCTGACTCAAGTTTACTAAGATACACCCCTGACCCAAGTTTACTAAGATACACCCCTGACCCAAGTTTACTAAGATACACCCTGACCCAAGTTTACTAAGATACACCCCTGAACCTATATAACAAAGATCCACCCATGACCCAAATTTTCTACCTACTTGTTGCCCTCTAAATCTTGGACATCCAAAATGGAGTAGGCATGCTTAGCCCTGAGACCAACACTAGAGAAATCTTCCTCGTTAGCATTCATGTTGCCACTCCCACACGACGCACCCATCAAAAACCTAAGAATTTAAAAAATTAAATCAATTATGAAAGTACTTAACACATTGTTTTTTTTTTTGCTAATTTGTAACATGGGTAACTGTGTAAAAATTTATAAATAAAATGAAAGTGAAAGTCTTGTTATGAGGTTGATAAGTAAAGATTGATAACTTTGGATGGGTAGTAAAAGGAAAGAGTAGGCTAATACAAAGACATGGTTAAGAGAGTTGAAAGATCTAAGGATAAGTCTGATAGGGGCTGAGTCACAGGTTGGAACAGTGCTCTTCTATGCACAGACATGAACATAAACAAATGAGCTAAAAAGCTACTCTTCATATGCCGAGGTCACAGAAACAAGTGAACTCTACTTCACTTGCCCTGTAGACCGTCAGGTTTGAAAGGGAAACTTTACTTAAAAAGCTACTAACTTTAGCTCCCTGCAGCTCAGCAATTTTGCCCAAATGATGTCAGGGTCCACCTCCACACCACCAGACCCGTCACCTGAAACAGCAAGTTTGTTGGGATTTATTTTAAGTCCAGTCTAAACATGAGAGCAAATTAAGTAATTTCTACTGTGATCTAGTTCATTATAAACACTTGTCATTTTTTTTTTGGCCTAATTGTGTAGTCTCAGAAGTGGATATTGAGGGTGGAGGTAAAAAATTTGAAAAAAAAAATTTCCAGTGTGTTCTCTGCGACAAAAAATTGCCAGCTGACTCTATTGGAGTTAGCAAAAGAAGGATCAATTGTTATATGATAAATGTATATGTTAGTCTTTGAACAGCAAGACCTCCATAAAAGTTTTTTTTTCAAGATGGCCACCATTGCCATGGCAACCATATTTTCAGAAGAATCCTTGATGCATGCAAATATTCTCCCTTAAGTAGCCTAACTTAGATACAAACAAATAAATTTTAAAAAGCTTATTAAATCAGAAGTTGTTTTTTTTTGGGAGCCTACCATATAAAACTTACTTTGATGATGAAGAGTTCACATTAGGATAGAGACTTAAACTTACTTTGTAGTGAAATGCTCTCACAAGGAGCTCCAGTCAGGGTAGACAAGCCTTCTATACATTTCCCTGCCACCAAAGCCTCATAGCAGCCATGAAGCTTGGCCATTGCTTTTTCTATCAATGCTACCCAGAGTTGCTTTCTCCTAGCCTGGTAATAATAAGCCGACAAGTTTTACACAATTTTTTATAAAAATTCCAAAACATTAAAAAAATAATGAGCAAAGACACAAAATTAAATGATTTAACACCAACTGTATCCAAAGTAATAAATAACCAAACAAATTCTGGTTAACCTTGCATAATATAGTTTTATATTTTTCCACATTGTTTAAATTTTGTTCTAATTTATAATACTACTAACCAAACTCTTATGTATAACAATAAAATATTTTTATTTTAATAAGCTTACTTAATTACATATTCTATGTTGAATTCAAATGTAATGTCATATGTGAAGCATTTGCAGTTTCCAACATAAAAGTTGAATAATTATATGAAAAGTGAGAAAATGTTTAAAAGGAATGTAAAGATTAAATGTGAAAGAACTTACCTGGGAAAAAACTAGCAGCCTCTGAGAATTGCAGGGGAGGTAATCATCAATTAAAACAGTTTTCCACAGCCCATCCTTACACAGTCTGACTAGATAAGCTCCCTCTGCACAGATCTCTTTGCTAAAAATGATATGCTCGACTAGCTCACAGCTCTCTGCCACAACAGCTAATGCACTAAAAAACCTAAAGGGAAAAATACAGGAAAACAACATTATTTAAATGTAATTACTTGTGTTTTAAAACTAACACTTAAGAAAAAAAATAATTTCAGAAATCTTTTGGGGGTCATTTTTGCAAAACACAAATCTAGGAAGTCATAAGTATTCATTGTAAGTAATATTACTTTAACACAAACTAAATAAACAAATAAATAGCAGAGAAGTAAAACTGATTGCAGCCCTTAGCTCCACAGGGGCTACAAAGGAATAAGTCAACACAGTTCTAAATTTCTAATATAAAAAAATGGAAAACAAAATCTCTTCATGAAAAAGCAAAGGCATCTCTATAGAAAAGGCAGAACAAATAAGAAACATAAACACCACTAATAAATTTTGGACAAAATAAAGTATAACTAACCAGCAGTTCCCCAGGACACCCTGTGATATATCTTCTGGCATTGGTGTCCTATACACAGCCCATGGTAGTGTCTGATTACCCTGTACCATAATTTGGTTGGGGCGAAACCATTTAATCTCATCAGAAGACGGGTAGCCGACTTGAAATCCATTTCCCTTGAGTGAGAAGGGCTTCTTCGGATCAAAATAAAGTGACTTTGGTGCAGGAGGAAAAGAATCATCAACAAATGAATCCCCGGACTGAAAAATAATTTGTTTAGATAGTTACCCTAGAACGTAGAGCTGAAAATATAAGAATTGATTTGGTTTAAATAAATACCCTGCTACCTATGTTTAAAAAAAACAATTAAGAAAATATTTTTAAACTAAATTTACAGTCATTTATGAATATAACTATAGCAGATTTTAAACATAATCAACAGTTAAAATAAGATCTAGATAAAGAGAGTTTATAAATAGCAATGAAATGAGTGTGTATATTTTGTCTCTTTATTTGTAAAATGTGTCATCATCACAATAGAAAATAAATGTTTACTTACTGATCTGCAATGTTTGATTATTTTTTCTCTAAGCTCACATGCCTCTTTTTCTTCAAAAAGTCTAATGTCTTCCACCAGAGAACTCTCCTCTCTATGAAAATCAAACTTCACTGAGTGTTGGTCTGTGGGACCAATTGTTTTAGCTGTCTGATTTTGTGGAGGTCTTGATGAAGTTTTCTGAGCAATATTTTTAGGATTCCGACAAGCACTACAGGCTAATGCCATTTCGGTGTTGATCAAGGTGCATACAGAACACGTCCAACCTTTGAGATTTGTAGGACTGGCTTCTACCAGTTGGACTTGACTTTGTTTCGGCACCTGTTGCAGAGATGAGCTCTGGGTGGGGCGGTGCTTGTAGGAGACGCTGTCCTTAGAAAACTCTAACGGGCTGGGGGGCGATACACTGTCTCTGCCACGCTTCAGGTCACATGGTCTTGGCTTAAAACAAGCCTGGCACTTCTTCTCCCAGTGGGGGTTACAAGAGAAAGTACACACCTGACACACCCACTCCTCCTCTGTCACTGAGGGGACTTTACTGTCTAACACTGGGGGTGCTTTACTGTCTAACGCTGGGGGTGCTTTATTTAAACAAGGCTTGATATTCTTCTCAGCAGTTGGTTTAGAATTTACATCAACCTTGTCAATATTAACAGATACATCAGTACCATTAGGCTGGTTTGATTTTGGAAGTTTACTGCTAGCTGCTGGTTGAATTGATTTTGGAAGTTTATCTGTATTATTAGCTCCTGGTTGAATTGATTTTGGAAGTTTATCTGCAGCACTAGCCTCTGGTTGAATTGAGTTTGTAAGTTTATCCGTACTGCTGGCTAACTGCTGTGCACTAGACAAGTAAGAATCTACGTCACGTACAGTGGGCAGACGTGAGACTCTGGGAGATTCACACATAGAACATTTGGTCAAGGTCACAGAGTTCAGCAGCGTACATCTCTGACAACTCCATTCCTTTGCGTCACTCTCACCTGCTTTTTCCGTATCTACCCCATCAGGCTGGTCATCTATAACTATTACATCATTTTCACCATTCTTGTTCACAAGTTTACTTGCCATTTTTGAGCTTGTTAAATTACTTCTTTTTGTACCATTAAAAAGTGTTGGTTTCTGAGAAGGGATACTACCCATGTCAATATAAAAGATAACTTGCTAGGCCTTTACTACTTCTTTTTAATATAATACATTGTCATCTGTAAAGATATCCTTTTTTTTAAAAAGTTCTCTGAAAACAAAATAATTCAGTCTTAAACACAACAATACAATATTATTGAATGTAGGTAGTCACAAGTAAAGTGTTACAAAGTATTTAATTTGAATGGAACAAGTGTTTTAAAAATTTGATGGTGACATATTTTATAACAACCAAGTAGAAACTTACATGTACTATAATATGGTGCCACATCCCTGAATTAATTAACTGCAATTAGCCTATTCATTTTCTAATTTTTATTTCGCTGTTTTAAAAAGCATCATTGTACAAGGTTTTATGAATTATCTTTATACACAACTTGGAAATAATGTCTGGAAACATGGCTTATTGCTGACACTACAGATAAGTATAATTAGTAACACATGCATTCGTTAGCCTTTACTACTTTACTTTATTATTTATAACTAAATTTCAAACTAAATTATCTGCCCCTAATAGTCGTCACTAAACCCGGCTCTGTTTATAAACATTTATCGTGAACCACAGCTCACCAGACCATGTAGGGGTGGGGGTGGTAGGGAGCGCGCTTTCAGCTTGTTTTCTAGCGTCTCCCAGAAGCGAATTATATAATATATAGATACTGTAATATATTATATAGGCTTTAGGCCTTGTTTTAATAATAATCATTTCAAGATTTTGATTATTTTTTAGCGCAATTTCCATTCTGGAGAATTGCGTTTATTAACTTGTCATTTCTGGGAATGTATGGATGGATGTGTGTCCTTAGCTTTAAGTCGTATCTCCTCCTCAACGAAGCAATATCGAGGACTAGTTCCAAAAGCAAATATGTTAAGCAAGTTCAGAGGATGAACATAGGCCAAAAAAATTCCCGGAATTCCTTCCTGGATTTCCCGGAAAAGCCAAAAAAACCTCGAAAAAATGCAGTTTTTGTCCCATATCTCGGCAACCAGACCACTTAGCGACTTGAAACATTTACCAATCGATTCCTGCCATAATTTAGAACAATATTGCCGAAGAAAGTTTTCAAAAATATCCTTTCATTCGGCCACAAATAATTAATTAAGAATTTTCAAACTGAGCGTCGTGTAGGCCTAGGATGATTTAGAGCAAAGCGCTGAGGTTCGAAAGGATTTTTCCATAGCGCATGAGCGGAGGTTCGAAAGGATTTTTTTTTCGACTGATACGGGAGGCTAGCCTATCGCGACGTGGGATCGTTCGCGTCACTGCGCGCTGCAAGAGAGAGAGAGAGAGGCGAGCTACGCGTCGCTCGTTTTTTTCCACGTGATTTAAAATTGTTATGGATAACATAAGGAAATTGCGCTTAAATTGTCACTAGACTTTTTAATAACTTGTTTCTATGTAGACCTAGATTTATATTTAATTTTCTATTTAATACATATAAAAGTTTTAAACGATAGATTACCTAATAAGTTAATTAATAACTTGTAACTATAACCAATTATACTTAGATCTAGAATAATCTAGATATAGATTAAGATAGTTACATAGTACATAGACACTCTATAGTCTATACTCTATAGTAACATAGTAAACATACTAAACATAGTAGTTAGTAGATCTAGATCTAGACTTCTATATAAAATAATAAGATCTGGTTTCAGTTTCAATTTAAAATTTTAGATGTCCTGTCTTAGAATTATTTTTTTTAAAACAAGGACATGGAAAGTCCGGCCAAGTTTTCTGAGCCCAAAGTGCAGTGGAAAAAATCAAATTATTAAATTAAGACTAAAGTCTAAATCTAGATCTAGTAATCTAGATTCAGACTCAGTAGATTGACTAAATAAATTTAACTAGATCTAGGCCCTAGGCCTAAATTATTTTTTTTTAAAACTAGATCTAGATCCTAGATCTAGAATCTAATCTAGTATCTAGCTAGACTCTAGACTAGTCTAGACTAGATTTCTAGTTCTAGATCACTAGACCCTAGATCTAGTTCTAAGATCTACGGCACGGTCTAGACTCTACTAGACTCTAGAGTTGTCTAGAGTCTAGACTCTAGCTAGGCTGCTAGAGTCTAGCTAGACTAGAGTCACTAGACTAGATCCAAACTCGGGGCCGAGAAAGTACTTACTAGATCTAGATTTAGATCTAGAAACTTAACATCTGAACAGAAATGGTGCTTTTAACGACATTAAGTTTAAATTTAGTGTTTAAACTATTCTAGATGAGCGTAGATTCTCTACTGTAGATTCCAGAATCTATCTAGACTAGTACAGTGTAGGAGAATCTTGATAGATCTAGACTAGATCTAGGATTTAATCGATTACTCACTGTAGTAGTCCACAGCAGTCATCACTTTTATTTACATGATGACGTTATGCATTGAACATGATATTTGCTTCTAAAAATAACATCAATGGGTAGAGGGAGGGGGGAGTAATAAAGGTTGCGTCTTTGACTACAGTTGGGGGAAAGGTTTCGATATACCAGCATTGAAAATAGACTTTAAAATATATAAAGTAAATGAATAAATATACTGTTTCTTACAGTTTCTCTGGATCCGGTTTCTACGGTATGAAAACAATACTAGTTCTTGTTTGAATCCTAAAAACAGTCCAAGGCTATTCGCATTGCAACACACCCGGCGAATATTCCATTTGTCCACTGTCATGATTAGGGTTGAATGAAACTGGTGCTATAAATAAACACAATACAAGACAAAGCGGCTCATTAATAATGATTTTTTGGACTCGATGGAACGGGTCAAGGTTTAATTTTAAATTGTTAAAATAATGTTCCCAACAACAAATTGAGTTGCAGTTGAATCGACGGTTCTTATTCTGGAATCACAATTTTGTTTGATAAATACAAAAGTGTTATTTGTTTATATATATATATATATATATATATATATATATATATATATATATATATATATATATATATATATATAATATAGACCTATATATGTATACATAAGCAGATGTAGTCCTATCCTATATTATATTAATATATAGATCTATAAATGCCCACCAATGCCTGGGCAATATATAAGCCTACTACATAAAGGTAGGTTTATCGGCAGCGCACATTTCAAATAATCGAAGAAGTTAGATATGTAGATATGGTTTATATTTAGTTATGGCCAGTGGCGTATCGAGGTCGGGTGTCACCCGGTGCGGCACTTAATGGTGTACCGTCACCCCCCCCCCCCCCAGAGGCGTAGCGACCTTTCCCGGGGACAAACTTTCAATTTTCGATTTGCACCCCCCCCCCCCTAAATGGTGCCACCCGGTGCGGTCCGCACTCCCCCTCCCCTCGCTACGCCTCTGGTTATGGACTATTGTGTTACAGATAGAAACTGGCGTAGCGAAGTCGGGTATCACCCGGTGCGGCACTTACTGGTGTCACCCCCCCCCCCCACCGTAAACAATATATATATACACACACACACACACACACATATATATATATATATATATATATATATATATATATATATATATATACTAGGCATAGTGCCCTAAAATCTGTGTTGAAATTACCCTCTGTTTTTCCCATAAATTACATAAGATTATATAGGGAAATACAACTGGTCAGTTTTGACTACTTTGTAGAATTCTCCCGCATATGGCGAGTTTTTTCAGACACCCCTAGGTGTTTTTCTACTACCTCACAAAATATCAGATGGGGGGGGGGTGGTGGTGGTCGTTCGGCAAAAGTTTATTTTCGCAATATAGCTCATATAAGGCGCCGGTCAGTCGAGGTCAGTTTTGACCCCTCTTCGTGGACTTTGCGGTCAACCGGCACCGGCCCCCGTGTTCTGTCGCCCCCAAGCAGGAGCCTGCCAAATGTGAAGCGCCTGCGGTGCCGGGAAGTGCCATATCGTGCACCCGACCACTTTCCTTATATTTATATATATACATACAGATATATATATATATATATATATATATATATATATATATATATATATATATATATATATATATATATATATATATATAGTATGTATATACGTATTTGAATATGTATTCACATATTTTTTTATGTATTTAATTTTTTTACCACCCCCCCCCCCCCCCCCCCCATACATGGATTAACACATAAGTTATTACGATTCTCAACCAAACCGTTTACCTCAGGCATATTTTGCAACGTTGAGTTAATGTAACTTCCCCCGCCCCACTCCCCCGCCCCCCCCTCCACACACACATACACACACGGCGATTGCTTTAAACTGTACTGAGATATAATAAATAATATAAATAATAATATATATAATACTTAATATCACTTAATTAAGTGGAATTGTAATTTTTCTGTATACATTTTGCTATTTTTACTTTCTCGTATATACGTAGTATAGAGAAAGTATTGTAATCGTGCAAAAAAAAAAAATCGAGATTTTTACAAATCTCGACGTTTTACACCTCACTGATACGGAAAAACATAATTTTGCAATCTTGTCCGTATGTCTGTGTGTGTGTGTGTCTGTCCGTGTGTGTGTCTGTGTGTAAACACGATAACTTGAGTACCGTTACAGCTAGGTTGATGAAATTTCATATATAAGTATTTTATCAAAATCGTAGATCCGTATCAACTTTTGAGCGATTTCCGATAACCGGAAGTGGTACTTTTCCTACTTTGAATTTTTCAAAAGCCTATAACTTGAGTACTATTTCAGATAGATAAATGAAATTTCACATGTAAGTAAAAGATCTAATTCTCTACCTTCTGTTAAATTTTGAGTAATTTCCGTTGACTGGAAGTAGTAATTTACGCTACTTCCGATTTCTCAAAAAACTAATGTAAATTTTTAAAGTACTAATAATATTGCGCACTATTATACGCGTTTTTATTCGGCGTTTGCTTGGTGCGCAATGTTTTTTTTTATGAGATTCTATTCTATTTTTAAAAGTTTAAGTATTTAAAATGGATTAAAAATCATAACTATATCCCCAGTTACCATCCCCTGTTGTTTTATATAAGAATATTCGAGAAAGTTTAGGGGAGATCACTACCGGTTTATTTGCCTTGTTGTCACCCCCCTAAATGGTGTCACCCTGTGCGGTCCGCAACTCACCCCCTCGCTACGCCACTGGATAGAAAATATACTTTAACCAGTGTCAGCCCACCCCCCAGGAAATTTAAGTTCCGCCCCCCCCCCCCCCTCCTTCCCTCAGGGCGACGTCTCCATAAAACGGTCGGTAAATAAAGGCGCCTATTCATCACACGACCCACATTTTACCGTATTTGCTGTTGAATATAATTGGATGAGTGTGTTCAAGTCTAACTCGCTAGATGGAGCTACACATTTATTTAGCTCATAACTCAGATATAGACGAGAAAGAAATTTAGGAGCTGAGACAAAAAAAAAAGTTTTTTTGTATTATGAACTAAGCAATTTTAAATAAATAATATACCGTTTTTTTTTTGGAGCTTGAGACGGTTTAATCTTTTCTGAAATGCTTTTTTTTTCAAAACGTGCTGTAGCTAAACTATCATACATTTCCCAGATCAAAGTTGTATATCTGCGCTTGTGTAATGTAGCGTGGTTTATCATGGTCTGTGTAAGATGTGTCTGCCATTGTTGGACCACTGCTCCATTATTCGAAAAGTTGTTGTCGGGTTTAAAATCAATTGTTGGATTGTCAAATTCTGACTTTTTAAAAAGTCAGCTGCTTAATATAACTATATTATTATTTTAAAGAAGCAGAATCATAGGCCTACTTAAATCCTGTCCAACCTTGCTCGCGTCTCATGACCCAAGCCAGACATTTAACAGGTTATGCTAAAAAGAGACTACTTGCAGTTTCACACACTCGTCTATCTGTCTGTCCACTAATTCGTGGCCTTTTGATGATCTTCATCCATTGCCCTCTGTCTGTCATCTAACATCTTCAGTGACCATCACATCCATTCTCTGATGTCATCTTTTCTTTTTTGCCAATATATTTAAAACTTTTGTAGTTTCTTGAACGTTTTTGGTTCGCTTTCGTTCTGTTATTGAGAGAAGTAGTGTTAAATTTAACACTTCACGGTTTCAAAGATATGTTGTTAATCAAAACTAAACGCATTTAAATCAATACAATCTTTATTATTATTATTACTTTGCAAAAAACTGTCACAAGGCAATGGTTGTACTTTTAACGACAAAAATAAAGGAATGGACAAAGTGGGTCACTAAATGGGGACGGAGTATGCTGTCCGCATCAAGTGACACCTTTTAGAGAGTGACATAAAATCAAAATATAGTAAAATTTACTGCCAAAGCAAGGATATATATATATATATATATATATATATATATATATATATATATATATATATATATATATATATATATATATATATATACATTAAAATATTTTTTAAATTGTAGGAAAGAGGGGTGACACGAAACCGAAATGCTAAATTTTTTGAAGGAGGTGGGGTGACACCTTCTGCTAAAACACCGGGATTCACCCGACCTATTGACGCCACTGAATGGACATTGTAGTGAAGTAAAACGAACTTTCTGATAGCGGGGGTATGGTTAGTTATTAATGTAGCAGGCAACTTAAACGTAAAACATTGCCAAGTTTCAATCTTAACCCTTTTGTGGCCACACCTCCTTAAAAAATCCCACAACTACCCTGTAAAGTTACGTTACACATTTTGACCCCTGAAAATAATAATAATTTCAACGAAAATCACGATATTTTTAATCTTTCAAATTTTTAAATTTTTATTTATTTTTCAATTCCTAACGCACACAGAGCACACAATCACAAGCCAGACACGTGCCTTCTCGCGATGCGAGACGTTATTTAAAGCAAGACCAGCTCTTTGTATAGATGTTGCTTATTTGATTGATTATTTACGCAATTAGAAGCGACACATGTTTTATGCCTATGCGCCTAGCATGCAAGCCTAGTCTTTGTCATTATCTTTCATAAGAAGACGTCATACGGACTCGAGTCCGGGATCCGAACCCTAGACTTACAAATAAGCATGCATGCGCTCTACTTCTAGACCACACCATACCCTAATATGCTATTATAGTATTAAATTCATCGTTGCTGCCTTGAATACAAAGCCCATAATTTTCAGCATAAACGTAACAATGGAGGCCGAGAACTAAGCTTTATAATTTACTCTTATTTAAGTCTTGAAGGTAATATTTAAGTAGGCTGTGAATATGGATATCTACAGACTTAATTTAACTAAGTGATACATTATTTATTTATTGGGGTACATACAATTCACTAATAAAAAAAAAACATGTTTCATGACTCGCAAATATTATGGAGGTAGCCTACTAAAATGCAAATAAATAAATTAGTAGGGGTCGTCATAGACGACTTCACACTCCCGGGAAGAGGGTGAGGGGGGGGGGGTGGGGAAGGAAATGTGAAGTGGGTGAATGTTAAGAAAGAGTGACGACACATTTTTGTATGTTAAAAACTAATATTAGAATTCAAAATCAGATTTCAGAGGTTACTTCGCGGTTTCCAAAGACCATTTTAAAAACAATAATTGCAATTTTTAGGGGGGGGGGGGGGTGGTCGACTGAGATGTGACGTCATTTTATCATTTAATGAGTGGGGGGGGGGGGGGAATCTGGTTTTTTGCGATAATGTGCGAAGATGGAGAGAAGAGGGAGCGTTTATTTTTTTTAAAAATCTTTAGAAAGCGTAACGTGGTTTATGGTGCAATGGCTGAGGGTGTCACACCATACCGTTCCAATTTTGGTTTGTTAGTGTCACTCATCTCTATTATTTTAATGTTTTGTCTTCTTAAAATAGAGTTTCGCCACTAACATGTAAGGTTTTTCGATTTGGTGTCATTCCCTAAATTGAGTCACCCGGCGCAGACAGACCCCACCCCCGTTGTGACGTTACTGATTTCCCCTTGAATGCGTTTGAAATAATGAAATAAATATAATTTTAAACCAATTAACCCATTTTAGCGGCAGAGGACTAAGTAATAAAAAAACCGCTAACCGCAAAATGAAATTAGAATTCTGAGAAAGTGAAAGATAAAATGAATGCACTAGGCCTAGAATCTATATAAAAAGAAATTAAATGTATAATGTAATGTTTAATATTATCATACTTTAAAAAACCACCTAAATAATAATTGACAAGCTTTACAAATCTTACATTTTAAAAAATAAAACCTAGATAGATCTAGATCTAGATCTATATATAGAATCTAAATATATCTATTTCGGCGAATAAGGGAATATTTTGTAATTTAGAGAAGTCAAACATCGGGAGGTAGCCGACTTCCTGTTTTGTCTAGTAAACAATGTAACAGAAGGATAATTACAACTTTGTCTTGTGGCTAATATCAAAATGTTATTGTATTAAATCATTTTTTTTATTACCAAACTATCATCTAATTCAAATGAATGAAGAGACGAAAGCCCTCCACCAAAATGACCAATGTGGTACATTCAGGATGGATGACAAAATCACCACCTGAAAGAAGACTGAACACCACTTTCAGAATTTTTCGAGCTGTAAGAAGATATTGAAGTTCTTATAAAATCAAAATATAGATCTAGTAGTTCTATACTATATAGAATCTAGACATAAATCTAGATCTGGCTCTAGTTTATTTTAAAAATATTAACTTCAGTGGTATTTGATGATTTAAAATTGGCCGATTCTAGTCGGAATAAGATACGCATGCGATACGCATGCGATACGCATGCGATACGCATGCGCAATGGAGAGAAACTACGACTTGCCTTAGCGGCGATGTTTTCAATGGTACTGCGCATGCGTGTGTTTACAACCGCAGAACCCTAACACCAACCCTAATCCTATCCTTAACCCTATCCCTAATCCTATCCCTAACCCTAATCCTAACCCTAGCCCTAATCCTATCCCTTACCCTATCCCTAATCCTAACCCTCATTCTAGCCCTAACCCTAGCCATAGGTCACTGCGCATGCGCAGAACTATCTTTTGCCGACTAAATGGAGACGTCGGGGAGAAAAATCTTCTTCCGAGTAGACACTTCGTTTAAAATTAGAATAGGGGCCTATGATTTTAACTTTAAAGTTTAAAGTAGCCTAGTCTCGGCCCAGTGAGTAGGCTAATCATTTTTACTTATCAATTGGTTGAATAGACCAGGAAAGGCCATTTGACTCATTGCACTTATTTCTATTGTCTCATGATTTTAACTTGTGATTTTGACTTTTAGGGATTATTAAATCGGTGGAATAAGAAAAGAATAAATAAGATTAGGCCCATGAGACAGATGGCTGATCCAGTTGGCTGAGAGTAACACTGATATACTTTTTCCGACACTAATTGTGTAAGATGTGAAATGGAAAGACAGTAAATATGGTTGAGATCATGTCACAAACAAGTAAAAAAAAAGACAACGAAACAATTAGTTTTGTTATAATTAAATGAAAAGTCACCCTATTGTAAATGATGGCAGAAACTAAACATAACATTCATGATTCTGTTATTGAGCAGATTCCTTAATGGGATCCAAACCTAGGACTTGTTAATGCACTGTGTAACTTAAACAAAGTTAAACATTAAATATATTGATTAATTGATCTACTGTCTGACTGGTGATACACATAGATGACCTATAGGAGTATCACCAGTTTACTGGGAATAGAGACTTTATTACTGGAAAGGGCCTTGCTGCTGATTAGTGGGGGCTAGACTTTACATTTGTTACTGACTGAATTCTACAATTTTTGTTTTAAAATTAACTTATTTGCCTCAACTAATCTCATTGAAAATTAATTATTTGTCTATTTATTGCTCAATGAACGCCAAATGCGCAGCCCAAACTCACTGTTAAATAGGTGTCCAGAAGAAATGTTCATGTTTGGTAAATTGTGAAATGAGAAAAACCAGAGAGGTAAAAAGCTGGATATTTTATTGTGGAAACACTGGTAAACTATAACATACTAATAATAAATAATAATATTGAAAGTGAATATACATATATGTATATAAGTTGGCTTTGTATATTTTATTTAGGAATACTATAGCCAGGGATTTTTCAGGAATTGTTGTGGTGATGGTACAGAATGGAGTGGAGTAGTACAACAGATAAACCATATTCCATTGTGGAACAAAGTTATTTTAATGATAGTTATAATTTGACATAAAGTATAGGTTGTTGATTTCTAGAAACCATAAGTATTAAATAATAAATATTAAAAAATCTATATCAGTGAAATTCTGCCAAGAGCGAAAGCAGAAGCCATTACATTAATTTATGTTCTAATTCCAGTTTTTTAAATTTATCACAACATGGCTTTAAAATTTTGTTGTCTTCCACATTTCCATTTTAAATACTTGATAAAATGGAATTGTTTTATATGTGAATTATGAACAAAAGGGTGTACTGTTTATACTGTATACATCTAAAAGATAAAATAAATTAGTTAGAATTGTTTGGTACAATATAAAGCTAAAAGAAGATTCTCTAAAGTATAGCCCAAATGATCTCATATTTTAAAAATTGTTCCTAAATATTTAAAATACTAAAGTACTGATTAAACATTGATAGGGTGTGTATTGAAGTTATTCCTTTGTTACCATTACTGCTGTCACCTTGTGTTAGTACTGTTAGGACCCTAACAGTACCATTGACCCCGGCAGAAAATCTCATCTACAGCCTTATCCGTCTTTTTATAAGAACCAAATTGTATTACAATAGCAACATTTTTTTAAGATTAATCACTATCTCATGTAAGGAGTATAGAGGAAGTATTGTAATCCTTCAAAAAAATTGAAAACTAGATTTTCTAAAATCTTGATGTTTTAGTCCTCCCTGAGTTGGAAAATTTTGCAATCTTGTCTGTAAGTCTGTGAGCACGATAACTTGAGTACCGTTACAGCTAGGTTAATGAAATTTCATATATAAGTATTACATCTGTATCAACTTTTCAGTGATTTCCGGTAACCGGGAGTGGAATTTACTCTACTGTCAGTTTTTCAAAAGCCTAAAACTTGAGGACTGTTTCTGATAGATAAATGAAATTTCACAAATAAGTAAAAGATCTAATCCTCAGTTTTCTATTAAATTGTGAGTAAATTCCAGTGACCGATTTATCAAAAAACGTATATGTATTACTAATGTTCCACGCTATTATACACACATTTTTTGCTGTTCACTTGGTGCACAATTCTTTTTTCTTTGAGATTCAATTCTATTTCAAAATTAGTTCTATACTCTGCGTTGCCATCCCCCATAGAGTTATGAATTAGTGTGAAAGTTTAGTGGAGATCACTGCCGCTTTATTTCTGTGTTTGATCTGAATATTTATAAAATTGATGGTATTAGCTTTATCTGTAGTTAATCTAATTGTAAACTCACAGCTCTTTAATAAAAGTCCTACAAATATGGACACCTCCCTGTAGGTCAAGGGGTTCAAGTGACCTAGACAGAATTACAAAAAAAAGATACTTAGGAATATCTACACAGATAAAAGTAAACATCTTAACTAATTACAACTTAGGAAATATTAAATTATCTAATTCAGTAAGTGTTAAAAAATGTTAATAATACAGTGATCTCCCTTGTCATTAATCTTGTCTGTATCCATGTGACAGTAATTTACCAGTAATAATTTTTTTCATTTATAAAGTTTAATTTCATATAGATCATAGATTTTTTTCAAAGTTATGTTGTTTAATTATTTATAATAAATCTATAATTTTATAGTTTAAAAAATGTCAAACTAAGCTTACCATTGTAATTCTTGTCTTCCATTTTTTCCAGCAGTTGTTGCAGTTATCTGTAATTTCATGAATATTTTTTTTTTACTTTTATTTAAAATTTTTTTTTATTTAGCAAGTTAAAACTTTAAAAAGTTTGATTCTTACTGTGAGATATTAAAAAAAAAAATCTAAAATGTATAGAAAATCATCATCATCCCAATATTAATAAAAATTAAAAAAAAAAGTAATTGTATATTGTATATTCAATGCAATTTATAAAAAAAAAATCACCATCCTAAAATTAAAAACGTATACATTGTAAAAATCATAAATTACAATTTTAAAAAAAAGGGTAATTTTAAGTTATTTGCCATTTAAAATGTTTTGGCAACCAGGTCTTCCAATCATATAAAGATTAGAAACTTGACTTGCTTGATAAAGATTAAAAATAATCTACATCATTCAAAAATTTAGATTCTCATCTTTTTGATGAAATGAATTTAAATGATTAAACACAATTACTGATAACATTATTTATTCAGAAGCATTGCATTGTGGGTTTGTTTAAAAATAAATGTACTCACAGTTGTCTAAACATGCTACTTAAATAAATTAGGTTTTTTAATAAGTGGATTTGCTATTTTTAAAATTTTAAACAGGATGCATTTATTATTTTCTTCTGTAAAATAAATTGTTTCCTGAAGAAAAATTTAGCTGTTTCAAATATTTAAACCATAATTGTTGATACAAACAGGATGTTCATTTGTAGTTGCGGTAAGTAAGAAAATGATAAAAAATGGCTTAACTGTTTGTTTATGTTTCAGCAATGGAAGCGGCGCTACTTTGTACTTAACTGTTTTTCTTTTCAGTAATGAAAGCTGCACTTTATACTTGACTGTTTGTTTGTGTTTCAGCAATGGAATCGGTGCTACTTTGTACTTGACTGTTTTTGTTTCAGCAATGGAAGCTGTGCTACTTTATACTTGACTGTTTTTGTTTAATCAATGGAAGCGGCGCTACTTTATACTTAACTGTTTTTGTTTCAGCAATGGAAGCGGCGCTACTTTGTACTTAACTGTTTTTGTTTCAGCAATGGAAGCGTCGATGCTTTATACTTGACTGTTTTTGTTTCAGCAATGGAAGCGGCGCTACTTTGTACTCCGCAAGCCCTCAGGGAGCCTCCCTGACCAGTATGAGCTGCATTATTACAAGGACGAACAGTGCAACAGTAGAAAGGGATCCATCGACCTAGAGCAGTGTGAACAGATCATCGAGGCTCTGGACTCAGATATCTTTCCCAACCTGCTGGCCATCAAGACATTTTGTAGGAACAAGGTAGGATAGAGTCTTGTGTCCAGTCTCTCATTTTTCAACTTTTAAAATGTTGCGTCTGTATAGCGGAGAATGTCTACATGTTTTGTTCAGCAAATATTGAGAAGTCAAATTGGTACTTATTTTAAAATGTTGGGTCTGTATAGCGGAGAATGTCTACATGGTTTGTTTAGCAAATGCAAATATTGGGAAGTCAAATTGGTACTTATTTTAAAATGTTGCGTCTGTATAGCGGAGAATGTCTTAATGTTTTGTTCTGCAAATATTGGGAAGTCAGATTGTTGATGTGATTTGGTCTCGGATTCGCATTAGTTCCTGTCTAATTTCACCACTTTTACAATTGTCTATTTTTCGTGCTGTATTAAAAAAAAACTAAAATTATAGGGTATTTTTATGTATTTTCTTAAAATGTTTAATTTATTGCGCACAATATTCATATTGCTATTTCTAGCAGTAAAAAATACTTAAGTTTTATGTTGACTGATTTGTAATGACCTAGTATCTTCATCAAACAACCCATGCATGACTAAATAAATTGTTTAACAATGCTAAGGAACAGTGCTGCATTACTGCATGGTAAATTATTTTAAAACAAAACGTCATTAACTTATATTTATTTAGCAGTTGTTCACTTGGCATTTCAAAGTGAGTCTATTACTAGCCAAATGTTTTGTAGTTGCACATGGAAGTGTTGAATAATAGTTGGACCAGCCATTCGTCCAGTGTGAAATGAAAGTGGCCCTACTTAACTCACTTATCATCTAGACTCTCCCTTCTTGTAGCATGTCATCTAAGTGCTTGAAAATTTCCTCTCTTTTCTACACCCCTCAGCCACAAGTCCAAGGTGAAGGCTGGTCCAAAGTACTTCCTGTTTCATTGTTTTTGTTTTTTATTTAAAAAATAATTTTTTTTTGATTTGTAATTTTAAAAATTTCTTGTTGTGTATTGAAAGAATTGGCAGGTGTTAAAATTATGAAAGCAATGATTGGTAAGAAAAGTTGTTGTAATAATCCGACAGGTCAGGACTTATTATCTAGCTGCGGACACAGAACAGGAAATGAATAATTGGGTTCAGTGGCTGTGTCATGTCTGCGGTCTACGGCCAGAAGATCAACGTAAGTTGTCTCTTTTTTTAAAAATCAAAATTAAAAAAACTACAGCTGTGAAACTTTGTGAACTCTGCCATTCTTGCTTCAGCTGTTAAATGATGTTTTACTGAATGAGGATTGTCTTATGTTGCTGTTCTTGTTCATCAAAGTATAGCTCTTTCAACTGTTCTATTTACTGTTTCTTTAAGATTAAAAACAAATGACATTTTTTAAGAAAATGTTTGATCATAGATCTTACATAGATAATTATAACTGCTGATTAATTGATTGTAAAAGATTCTTCTTAATCAGAGGTAATTATAACATGTTGATTAAAATTCATGTCTTATAGGTTAATTAGAACATAGATTATACTTTATAGACAAATTGAACTAGATGGATAAATAGAAAATCTTTTTTGGAAAAAAGTAATGATTGGATCTTTTGATATAAAATGCCACCATTTTTTTTCTCTATCTAACTGAACAATCTGTTGGGATCTGTCCATTGACTTATGTGTAAGTAAATTTTCTTTTCAACCTGCCTGACTAGTGCAACCCCAGCCTGCACTGGACTGGTTGTCTTGTAACCCTGGTTGTCATGGTTGTTGTCTCGTCTTGGGGCTGGACATTACCCTCCACCCCTGGTCATTTTTCCTCGGACATCCCCCAGGTCACTAAACCCCTATCACTTACCTGCTGTATATTGCTACCCTCCTCCCAAGTCAGGAGTCGGACATTACCCCCCCCCCCCCCCATCATTAATAAATACAATGTTGATACAAAGTCTGGAAAAAAATTGGAATTTAGAAAGTTTGATTTTAGACATTTTAGACTTATAAATATCTGTAAAACTACTAGCTTTTGGGCTTGTTTAAAAAATAAAGTTTGGAGTTTTGCTTTCAAAAATGAGTAAAAACTGTGTGGATAGTACACTGTTGTTGATTAGATGAAATGTTGGACATCAACCAACCAATAACTTTCAAGTATGGTTTGTGAACTACTTGTTTGAATCAGTACATTTTGGCCACAATTGGAGCAAACTTCTTAAATGTGAGACAACTTTCTATGGGGTATGGGTTTATCTTTTGAATGACATTTTGTATGGCTTGATCATCAAGTCGGTCAAGCAGGTCCTGAGTATACATCTCACATTTGGAACATGCACCGCCAAGTCAAAAATCAGTGACCATGTTCCAACAACATTAAAGTTGGTATAGAGTCAGTTGCTGCAGACATCCAGTGTCTAACATATTTTTAATATTTTCTCCAATGAGACCATGTTGTCCAGAAAGTGATAGTCACTGGTCTAACAACTTGGTGGACGACCGTCTTACCACCAGGAGAAAATGTCATGACTCCTGAACTGTAAACGTTGTCAGTGATTTTGTGAATAAAGACCACATCAGCGGGGGGGGGGGGGGGGGGTAATGTCCTAGACTCACCCTGTAGCCTGTGATGCCTTGTGTTTTTATTTTAGCATTACATTTAAAGTTTGGTGAAAGATACACCCTATATCTGGATCAGGGTTGTTTTCTAGCCTTGAGTTTTTGTTTTTATTTTACGTTTCAGTGGGCAGTGTTCAAATTTATTCTTTTTATTTTTGTTATATTTTTGCATCCTTTTTAATCATGTTTCAGTAAGCAGTAATTCTGACGTTAATATTCTTGTGGTGAAATTAGCTTTGTCTATCCTTGTTTAATGTTGTTTATTTAACACAAAAATAGAAGAAGGTGGAAAGATGCAATTTTAGATTTAAATCATATTTGAAACTATAAAAGTTGATTGAAAAAACCTAAAAGCCAAAAATAATACTCTTGATTCTATAACTAGCCATGTATTTCCTTACATATAAACTGTAACTTGCGAAGGCTTGGGTATACCTGGTGTTGGACTATATCACCCAGATAGGTAGTCAACTAACTGGTCATTATATTAACATGTGCACACTGTTTGGTTCACTAGTATGTATGGGATGAAATAAACAAGTGGGTTATTGGCCTTGCTTATAATCAGATATCCCCAGAATAGTGTGACTTATTATTGCAAGACCTGGAGCTTGACCAAGTGAAATACATTATGCTTGCTACAACCCTGAAATAGATCAGCTGACATATGGTAGATTTTATAGCCCAGAATGCAATTCTTCAGACAGCCATTTTGTTTTCACACTGTCAATCTTCTTAGTTGAGGAGTTTTTAGAATTGATTCACCTTATTAGTAGCCTGTTAGAGTTGGATTTTAACTACAACCTCGCAATGGCCGTAATGTTTTTGTGAAGTGACCCAAGATATTGCGTGATTGCCTATTTAGTGTTTAGTATGAATGGCATGATTGCTGTGTTGTATTAACATGTTTGATTGTGACTCAAGATGCTGCACTATTACCAATTTAGTGTTTAGTATGAATGGCATGATTGCTGTGTTGTATTAACATGTTTGATTGTGACTCAAGATGCTGCACTATTACCAATTTAGTGTTTAGTATGAATGGCATGATTGCTGTGTTGTATTAACATGTTTGATTGTGTCCCAAGATGCTGCACTATTACCATTATAGTGTTTAGTATAAATGGAATGATTGCTGTGTTGTATTAACATGCATTTGATGTCTTGCGTTGAATGTAGAGAACAACAGCATCTGCAATCAACTCATATGGATCTTGTAGGAATTCACAACCCATTATGCACTATTATTTTGTATTAAATAAATTATATTTGGTGTTTTGGATTTTAAATATGAGGTAGTAACAAATAATCAGGCACTAATTTAAATTAAATAATTAACAAAATAATTGTCATTCATTGAATACAAGTTTTTTATACTAAGACATAATGAAGTTTTTTAAAAACAAAACAAAACAGAATGATCGTACACATTTTATTTCTGATACAGCTCTGTTGTGGCAAAAATTAATTTTATGGAAATTTTACAATTAGTAGAAGTTTTTTGTGTGTCACATAGTAAAAGACAGAATGCATGATAGCATGGGTGTATTTTGTTTTGTAGTGAAAAAGAAATTATTTTAAAATGACAGCTACATTAAGGGCCAGGAGACACTCACTGTTAGTAGGGGATGTACTAAAAACTCAAACCTAGATGGTGTCACCTCCAACCTGGATGGTGTCACCTCCAACCTGGATGGTGTCACCTCCAACCAGGATGGTATCACCTCCAACCAGGATGGTATCACCTCCAACCTGGATGGTGTCACCTCCAACCTGGACGGTGTCACCTCAAACCTGGATGGTGTCACCTCCAACCTGTATGGTGTCACCTCCAACCTAGATGGTGTCACCTCCAACCTGGATGGTGTCACCTCCAACCTGTATGGTGTCACCTCCAACCTGGATGGTGTCACCTCCAACCTGTATGGTGTCACCTCCAACCTGGATGGTATCACCTCTAACCTGTATGGTGTCACCTCCAACCTGTATGGTGTCACCTCCAACCTAGATGGTGTCACCTCCAACCTGTATGGTGTCACCTCCAACCTGGATGGTGTCACCTCCAACCTGGATGGTGTCACCTCCAACCTGTATGGTGTCACCTCCAACCTAGATGGTCTGTAAACCCCCAGCGCTGCCTTATGACACAACTTATATTTAATGTCCATTTTGTTGCATCTTTTCATTGGTGTGTTTTAAGCATGGTGTGAACTATTTGATTGGCATAAAAAAAAAATTAAAACTGTCTTGGATTGGATTAATGTTTTTTTATTTAAAAACTTTTCTAGTTTTTCTACTTGCAAATGGTGCAACATGTTTTTATAGTGGCAGAACACATTTTAAAAAAAAAAACATAATGTAAATCGCTGAAATTAGTTGTTAGTTTTAATGTAAACAAAATTCATTTTAAAGAAATAGACTAGCCAGCAAAGAAAATTTAATTTGAACAAAATTCATTTTGAAGCAACAGACTTGCCAGAAAAGAAAATAGATTCAGAACACTATTTCTCTTATAGCAACAGACTTGCCATAAAAGAAAAATTAATTGGAGCAATATTTCTTTTACAGCAACAGACTTGCCAGAACAGAAGCCACAAGCAACAACTCCACCGCAGACTGTTACCAACGGACAGCAACCTGTCTCTCCACCAAACACCAGACTGAACACACCCCAGCCGACACAAATACCTCTAGCAAGTAACAAACCTAATTTGACTCGGACATCGTCTAACTCATCTAGCACATCATACATCCAATTAGGTAATTTCACTCACCTTTTTTCATTGCACCCTGGTATACTCCCTTCACCCATTCATGTCAACTCCCTCATCATCTAGGTCATTATCTAACATCAACTATCAATGTATCTAACTCATTATCTAACTAATGTACTAACTCACCAAATCTAGTACTTTATTGAATTCATCACCCAACTCACCTAACACACCATTGACCCTTTATCTGGCCCAGTTAATATCATATCTGACTTATAACTTATCAACTAACCCATCTAGTACCTTATCTAAATTATCATCTAACCCATCTAGTAGCTTATCTAACTTATCATCTAACCCATTTAGTACCTTATCTAAATTATCATCTAACCCATTTAGTACCTTATCTAAATTATCATCTAACCCATTTAGTACCTTATCTAAATTATCATCTAACCCATTTATAACTTATCAACTAACCCATTTAGTAGCTTATCTAACTTATCATCTAACCCATCTAGTAGCTTATCTACCTTATCATCTAACCCATCTAGTACCTTATCTAACTTATCATCTAACCCATCTAGTAGCTTATCTAACTTATCATCTAACCCATCAAGTGTTTTATCTACCTTATCATCTAACCCATCAAGTGTTTTATCTACCTTATCATCTAACCCATCAAGTGTTTTATCTACCTTATCATCTAACCCATCAAGTGTTTTATCTACCTTATCATCTAACCCATCAAGTGTTTTATCTACCTTATCATCTAACCCATTTAGTGTTTTATCTACCTTATCATCTAACCCATTTAGTGTTTTATCTACCTTATCATCTAACCCATTTAGTACCTTATCTAAATTATCATCTAACCCATCTAGTACCGTATCTAACTTATCATCTAACCCATCTAGTAGCTTATCTAACTTATCATCTAACCCATCTAGTAGCTTATCTAACTTATCATCTAACCCAGGGGTCTCCAAACTTTTCAGTCCCTGGGCCGCATTAAGTACCAATTTTCAGTTCGGGGGCCAGTTAGTTCCAGGCATGTCTTTGATTTCTCTGCGCAAAGTTCCTCAGCCATCACCAAAAAAAATTTTTCCTGTGGGCAAAAAGATCTCCGCGGGCCGGATGAGAGGACCTCGCGGGCCGCATCCGGCCCGCGGGCCGTAGTTTGGAGACCCCTGATCTAACCCATCTAGTAGCTTATCTAACTTATCATCTAACCCATCTAGTAGCTTATCTACCTTATCATCTAGCCCATCTAGTAGCTTATCTACCTTATCATCTAGCCCATCTAGTAGCTTATATAACCTATCATATTACCCATCTAGTACCTTAAATTATCATTTAACCAGCCTAGCACTTCATTGCTAAGCATATCAGTAGTTTATTTACATATAATATGTTATGCTATGTCAATGTTTAAAAACATAAATAGAACTTATTGAGCTGATCGCATATCCAAACTTAGTAAAAATTTGTTTATGCTAGGCTAGGCATGTTTTTAACCCACAAACTGTTAATAAGTGCAACTGTTCTTTGGCGTCAGGCCATTTTAAGAGTTTTTCGTATGCTTGATAAAATTGTGTATTGAATGAAATCAGAGACCCTTACATGTAGCCTATACATTTTCTGAAAGTATATTGGACAAAGAATCTTTTGATACACAAATATGCTTTATTATGTGTATGTTGATAGCGACCTTGACATTTACAGGAAGACTAAAATTTGAGTACTCAACTTGTGCATTCAACCCAACCTAAAACCCAAAAAAAAATGTCCAAACCTCATAGAAACTACATTTTTAGATACTAGAAGTCATTAGCTTTTAGATAATACATAGTATTATAAACTAATGTTGAAAAGCGATTTTGTATGAATTATTTCATTCATGACTTGCACATTGTGCTTACTCAAAGAATTTCAGTAAATAAGGCATGAATTTTCATTATTAAATCTAGTTTTTTATTGAAATATTTTAATACTGAAACAAAGACCACAAACATGAATGTCAAGTCATCTCTTTATTTTCTCACTGTAATTAATCATATAAAGAAGTTCTAAGGTTATTTTCTAATTAAGATCAACGATCTGTAGCTTTAGACAGACATTTTCAAAGTAAAATACTGAGAAAATATTCTCTCCCGTTTTATAACAAAAATGAAAGCTGATGTACAAACAGAAAGCGAAAGGAAGGAAATTAATTTTTTAATAGTTACTTCCCCTCAACCAATGTATATTTATTCATTCGCATATTTAATCACGATTTTAATAATGTAACACCACAGAAAGGGGAATTACGGCTTCATCTGCCTTAATGACAGTTCGTGGGTTGATCATAATGTAAAAAAAGTTGGTTCAGTGGCTAATCCTGAGCCAAGGCTTAAAACATGGAAACTTAAAACCAAATGTATGATGAAATGCTTGTTGCATGAGTACATGTTTTAACCCTCAGAACACTGCACAACTGGGCCCCCAGCCACCAAGTCTGAGAGCACAGAGAGCGTGCCCAACTTCACGGCACCAGACCCCCCACAGAAGAACAAGAACCAGCCCGGGGGGACGGCCGTGGACGACGACGTGTTTGTGGGCCAAGAGATTTACGACCACCCCCGCAGTACGGACGAGAAGATGAGCTCCAGGTACCCAGATCTGTACCAGACCCCCCCAGCCAGACCAGGCTTCAGGCCCGTGGAGGAGGGAAACACGTCGTACGACATCCCACCCACCCACGACCACAGCCCACGCTTCAGCACCCGCACGGACTCGGCCACATCTGGGAGCGTTGACGACAGGGCTGCCACCCCCCCAGAGTGCTACGACTACCCTCCCCCGCGCCTCGGCTCCACCACATCCTCAGACAGCGAAGTCCCGCCAGAGCGACCCCCCAAGCCCAGCCACATGCAGTCCCCGTACCAGAACCTCCCCCCTGCTGGGAAGGGCATGAACGACACGGACTTAATGAGCACTGTGCCTGCCCCGCCAAAAGCTCATACCACGGGGTTAGGAAGTGGCTACGACATCCCAAGAAGTTCCAACCGCACCGCCAGAACATCCCAGCCAAGTTTACCTTTTATTTCCCCGCCCAGTCGGCAGTACCGGAGCACAACTTTAGGCCACACGTATCTGAACACCCAGACCAGGCCTGGGTCAGGCGAGGTACAGGTCGGGGACAGGCAAAGCAGTGACATAACCAGGTCTGAGGCCGGGGCGTTTGGCCCCCCGGCCGTGCCCCCACCACGCAATGGATCGGCCGGCGAGGATAAGTCTGCCAGTTCATCCCTCTACCAGTACCCACCATCCTCTGCGTCTTCCTTGCCTGGTTCAGGGGCTCCAGGACGGCCTCCAGCCCGGGGTGCAATGCCCCAGCCTCCCCCTGTTAGCCCTCGGAATCATGACAACAGTGTGACCCCTAACCAAGGTACATTGTTTTATGTTCTATACATGTTATCTAATGTACACTTTGTTTTATGTTCTACACATGTTGTCTATGTTCTATACACTTTGTTTTATGTTCTATACATGTTATCTAATGTTCTATACACTTTGTTTTATGTTCTACACATGCTGCCTATGTTCGATTCACTTTGTTTTATGTTCTACACATGTTGCCTATGTTCTATTCACTTTGTTTTATGTTCTACACATGTTGCCTATGTTCTATTCATGTTATGTTCTATACATGTTGCCTATGTTCTATTCACTTTGTTTTATGTTCTACACATGTTGCCTATGTTCTATACATGTTACTGTAAGTTATAAACATGTTGCCTTATGCTCTAATTATAAAAGTAAGTTAAGTTCCTACAACCCTGATAGTCCATGGGGCCAGTGAAGTAGAGTTCACCTGTTTCTTTGACCTCCCTATATAAAGGGATGGTGTAGTCAGCCTTTACTTTCCCTGAGTCAGGTACCCATTAGAGCTGAGAGGACTCAATGCTGTTCTACTGACTTGAATCCGGATTTGAACTCAAGGCTTTTGGGTTAGTAGTGTATGGGTCCACCACTAGACCATGCCGCCCCATTTATGTTCTATAAATGTTTCCCTATGTTTATACATGTTGCCTTAAGTTTTATACATGTTGCCTTAAGTTCTATACATGTTGCCTTAAGTTCTATACATGTTGCCTTATGTTTTATACATGTTGCCTTAAATTTTATACATGTTGCCCTATGTTTTATACTTGCGTTATAATGGCATTGTTCCTCAGTCATTAGATAATACACACATGAGCTTCATTCATGGAATTGACATTATTAATATTATTTGGAACATCAAGGGAGTATATTAAAACCAGAATTTGTGTTACGCATGAATAGTTGTTTTTTCACTAGTATATAATGTGGTGTTTGTGTTATTTAAGAAAAGTTGTTTTTCCTAAAGATGTCTCTGTTGTATCTATCATGTGATGCTATTCCACAGACGAGACCACACCTATATTTAGCACCCAGAGAACAAGAAGCTTTAAGCGCCAGAACAATATAAACAACAGTTCACCCAAACTCACGTAAGTTGGTCTTTAATTGGTCTCACAACTTTAATTGTTCTTACAACTTTAATTAGGCTCACAACTTTAATTGTTCTCACAACTTAATTGTTCACACAACTTTAATTGGGCTCACAACTTTAATTAGGCTCACAACTTTAATTGTTCTCACAACTTTAATTGGTCTCACAACTTTAATTGGTCTCACAACTTTAATTGGGCTCACAACTTTAATTGTACTAAGAACTTTAATTGGTCTCACAACTTTAATTGGTCTCACAACTTTAATTGGTCTCACAACTTTAATTGGGCTTAGAACTTTAATTGGACTCTCAACTTTTATTGTTCTCACAACTCAATGTGATGCACCTCTAAATGCTTAGAATGAAACGTTAGAAAATGTCTTGGTTTCAACTTTTTCCGATGTAAAGATTCTGTGTTTCAATGGGTTGTGTTGTCTATTTACATGGAACATAAAGTAAACAGATGTACAAAGAAAACATTTTGTTTATTGCAGGACGAAGAAATCCCACCCCCTCCCCATGTCTGCACTTGTCCCTGCTCCAAGACCTGCTCCACCCCGACCTAAGGAGGATGAGGAGGAGAGTGTAAGTTGGGTTGTCACACCTGTGGGGGGGGGGGGGGGGGGTAAGTTGGGCTGTCACACCTGTGGGGGTGGGGCTGTCACATTTGTAGGGGGGGGAGTATAAGTTGGGCTGTCACATTTGTAGGGGGGGGGGAGTATAAGTTGGGCTGTCACATTTGTAGGGGGGGGGGGGGTAAGTTGGGCTGTCATACCTGTGGGGGTGGGGGGGGGGATGGTGGGGGTAAGTTGGGCTGTCACACCTGTGGGGGTGGGGGGGGTAAGTTGGGCTGTCACATTTGTAGGGGGTGGGGGGGTGTAAGTTGGGCTGTCATACCTGTGGGGGTGGGGGGGGGGGATGGTGGGGGTAAGTTGGGCTGTCACACCTGTGGGGGTGGGGGGGTAAGTTGGGCTGTCACATTTGTAGGGGGTGGGGGGTGTAAGTTGGGCTGTCATACCTGTGGGGGGGGGGGTAAGTTGGGCTGTCACATTTGCGGGGGGGGGGTAAGTTGGGCTGTCACATTTGTAGGAGGGGGGGGGGGGGTAAGTTGGGCTGTCACATTTGCGGGGGGGGGGGGGTGTAAGTTGGGCTGTTACATTTGTAGGGGGGGGGGGGTAAGTTGGGCAGTCACATTTGTAGGGGGGAGGGTAAGTTGGACTGTCACATTTGTAGGGGGGGGTAGGTTGGGCCGTCAAATTTTGTTCGGGGGGGGAGTGTAAGTTGGGCTGTCACATTTGTAGTGGGTGGGGGTGGGGGGTAAGTTGAACTGTCACAATTGTAGGGGGGAGTGGGAGTGTAAGTTGGGCAGTCACATTTGTAGGGGGGAGGGTAAGTTGGACTGTCACATTTGTAGGGGGGGGGTAAGTTGGGCTGTCACATTTGTTGGGGGGGGGAGTGTAAGTTGGGCTGTCACATTTGTAGTGGGTGGGGGTGGGGGGTAAGTTGAACTGTCACAATTGTAGGGGGGAGTGGGAGTGTAAATTGGACTGTCACATTTGTAGGGGGGAGGGGTAATTTGGGCTGTCACATTTGTAGGGGGGGAGGGGTAAGTTGGGCTGTCACATTTGTAGGGGGGGTGATAAGTTGAACTGTCACATTTGTAGGGGGGAGTGGGAGTGTAAGTTGGGCAGTCACATTTGTAGGGGGGGGTAAGTTGGGCTGTCACACCTGTGGGGGGGGGGGCGTAAGTTGGACTGTCACATTTGTAGCGGGTGGGGGTGGGGGGTAAGTTGAACTGTCACAATTGTAGGGTGTAGGGGGGAGTGGGAGTGTAAGTTGGGCAGTCACTTATCTGTGATTCCCCCCTATGTAATATGCTCAAGCTGATTAGATAGAACCAAGTTTTGTTTACGTTTTCATTCAGAGTCAGTTACGATGTAAATACAGAAATTAGCCAAGAAATTTTGTTTACATTCAGGCTCAGTTATGATGTAAATACAGAAATTAGCCCAGAATTTTCGTTTACATTCAGACTCAGTTACGATGTAGATACAGAAATTAGCCAAGAATTTTTGTTTACAATTTTCACAAGCCATTACTGTGCAGTAAGATATTTATCATTGAAACTGATTTGTCATTTTTTTCCTGATCAGTTGCGCAATAAAATGGCCCATCTGGATACAGATGAAGAGGTAAACAAAAACTTGATGTGAGAGTGATTGCACTTGGTTGCCAAGGACACAGTTTATTGATAATAAGTAGGGGAGGCTATCTAGGAGTTTTTCAGAAGGGAAATTTATTGTAGCTATGTTAAAAATTATATTGGTGAAATAATTTGCATTTTATGACTATATAGAGTAGAAATGCAGAATGTCCAAAAACTAAATTTTGCAAATATAAGTATTCCCATATTGAGATGGTTCAAAGTATTGTTAAAAAATTTTCAAATAATTGCATTCAAGTTTTCTGACATTTTACATTATTGCTCTGCTGTTATTTCTGATAAAAGTTAAGGTGTACAGTGAAAATACTGCATTTACCTTCTGTATAATTGACATATAAATAAAATTAGAGGAAAAGTTTGCAACTGGTGTACGTTCTACAGACACCACCCTCTTAGCATAAACCACTGTGTTAATTTCATCTACTTTCTACAGACACCACTCTGTTAATTTAATCTACTTTCTACTTACACACTACTCTTTTAATTTAATCTACTTTCTACTTACACACTACTCTTTTAATTTAATCTACTTTCTACAGACCCACCACCCACTTAGTTTGCTCCACTCCGTGCCCGCCCCAGCTGTTGATATGGACGCCATGGACCGAGAACTTAAGTACATAGATCTGGAGCTGACCGGCTCTGTGCAGGATGCCCCCCGCCCCACCCACAGCCACGGCCACACCCACAGCCACACCCACATGGACAGGGGCAAGGATCTAGCCACGGAGTACAGGGAGATTGACTTTGTCAAAACACAGGCTCTCAGTGATGCTAAGAAAGTCAAGGAAAAAGAAAGGAAAAATGATGATCACAACTGAAGCTAAGATTAGCAAATCTGTGTAGACCTAGAGATGAGGTAATTTCTACTTTTGTCACATTTTAAATTTGGTTTTAAAAACATGGCCTGGCCTAACAATGAAATCATTAAATTTGTATTTTATGTATCCTGGCCCTTATATTTTAAAATAATTTTACTATTTAGTTTTAAAACGTTTGTATTTTTTTCTATCTTTATGTTAGTCGTTATCTGACCACCATGTTAAATTAAAACAAGTTGTGTATGCACTACTGTGTATTGCCATACTGCTTCTTTTTCAACAATGTTACCACTGGTCATTATGATGACTCACCATAATGACCTCTGGCTGCAATGTCCATGGGTCACAATGTGTCCACTGGGCCGTATTGTCCAGACATTGTCCACTAGCCATATGTTAAATGCCTCTTGTGTTACTTTGCCATATTGGTGCTTGTGTATGTTGAAAGTTGCTCCTGGCTGTTGTGTTAACTAAACTAAAAAACTAGCCATACATTGGGTCATCTAGCCCAGTGGCGTAGGCAGGGGGGGTTAGGGGGGGTCATAACCCCCCCCATAGACCCCTCGGTATATATAAAAAGTATGAGGGGGGGGTGCAAATCGAAAGTTTGAGGGGGGGGTGCAAATCGAAAGTTTGAGGGGGGGGGGGTGCAAATCGAAAGTTTGTCCCCGGGTAAAAATTGGAACCCCCCCCCCCCCCTTGAGACGATCCTGGCTACGCCACTGATCTAGCCATACCATTAGGTCAACAAGCCATAACATTGGGTCATTATTGGGTCATCTAGCCATAACATTGGATCATCTAGCCATAACATTAGGTCAACATTAGGTCATCTAGCCATAACATTGGGTCATCTAGCCATAACATTGGGTCATCTAGCCATATATTGGGTCAACTTTGGTTCATCTAGCCATAACATTGGGTCATCTAGCCATACATTAGGTCATCTAGCCATACATTGGGTCATCTAGCCATACATTGGGTCATCTAGCCATACATTGGGTCATCTAGCCATACATTGGGTCATCTAGCCATACATTGGGTCATCTAGCCATACATTTGGTCATCTAGCCATACATTGGGTCATCTAGCCATACATTGGGTCATCTAGCCATACATTGGGTCATCTAGCCATACATTTGGTCATCTAGCCATACATTGGGTCATCTAGCCATAACATTGGGTCATCTAGCCATACATTGGGTCATCTAGCCATACATTGGGTCATCTAGCCATACATTTGGTCATCTAGCCATACATTGGGTCATCTAGCCATAACATTGGGTCATCTAGCCATACATTGGGTCATCTAGCCATAACATTGAGTATTAAACCATTTTTCTTGTTCACACTAATCCGCTCTTACAGCTTGTTTTGTTATGTGTTAATAAATAGTTCTGTGCTTATAGATCTGTTGCACTCTTTACCACAATGTTAAACTTGTTAAAGAGTTTTCACAAGTGATCTAAAACAGTTACCTGTGTAATTGCTTGTCCTGTAAGTCTATGCCTGACTTGTAAAACTCACACACAAAAAATGGCTGAATATTTTGTTTTCAATTTATTTCTTATTATTTAAATGTACACTTCTGTCACTGCTCACAATAGCTGCATGTAAATTATTTTCTTTTCATGTTACATTTTTATACTGCTAGTTTTTAGTCTAGTCTGGATATTTTGCTCAAAATTTTAAAAAGGGTTTTTTTTTACTTAAAGATAATTGTTCAAAACTTACACTCAGTAAAAATATTTTTAGTTTTTTTTTTTGGGTCCTAAATGGCAGATCTCTACACATTATTCAGACTACCTGGCCAACCACAACACATTATTCAGATGTTTCAATTCTTTGTTGATGACCATGCTTTACTAAATAAGCCGCATTTTAAACTTAACAAACCATTTTTATTGCAATGTTTTTAATCTATTTGATAAAAAATTATTTACTTAAAAGTGGGATAGATAATCCTCTTGCAAAACTATGAGCATTTTATCTTTATTTTATGGGAAAATATATAAAAATTATCAAGATAATTTTTTTTAAGATTGAAGACATTTTTTCTGTTTAATGACCTTAGCAATGTCTTTGTGAGCAAAAATGTGAAAACTACTTTAGATGGATACTTTTCTGGACATCCAAGTGGGAGAACACATTTATTGACATTTTTTACAGTGGATTATTTGATGACTTCCCTGATCTGGTGACATTACATTCATGTGGTTGACATTTATGTGATATAGTTGACATTTCATTCATGTGACATTTAGTTGATGTACTTGACATTTCATTATGTAAATGACATTTCATAACTTGTTGAAACAAGCGACTGAAACATTGAGCGCAGTATGTTAAGCATTAGTGAGTGGTGACTCTTCTCAATGATGAGATGGTTGTTCAGCTGAGATGGTTGTTCAGCTGAGATGTTTGCTTGTTAGTCAATGATGTTGTTATATTCTGTGATGTGGAACAGCCGCACTAGTAATGAGGAACAAAATGTTGTCTTAAAAATTCTTTTGACTCCTGGTTACAATCTATTTTTTTTTAAATAATGAAAATATCTTTTTCTGAAAATAGACTATGAGGAAATGCTATAGTTACCACTTGCCCATGTGGAATGTTGTAGTTACCACTTGCCCATGTGGAATGTTGTAGTTACCACTTGCCCATTGGGGAATGTTGCAGTTACCACTTGCCCATGGGGAATGTTGTAGTTACCACTTTCCCATGGGGAATGTTGTAGTTACCACTTGCCCATGGGGAATATTGTAGTTACCACTTGCCCATGGGGAATGTTGTAGTTACCACTTGCCCATGGGGAATGTTGTAGTTACCACTTTCCCATGGGGAATGTTGTAGTTACCACTTGCCCATGGGGAATATTGTAGTTACCACTTGCCCATGGGGAATGTTGTAGTTACCACTTGCCCATGGGGAATGTTGTAGTTACCACTTGCCCATGGGGAATGTTGTAGCTACCACTTGCCCATGGGGAATGCTGTAGTTACCACTTGCCCATGGGGAATGTTGTAGTTACCACTTGCCTTGAATTGTTAAGTCCAGACTCAGCGCCTTAAGTGTTGCATGTTACCACAGTATATGTATCCAACCATGTATAACTTGATGACCATTTGCTGGTAGTGGTGGCATTTGTCATTAGAGTTTCATCATTGATGGCATTTTATCATGAGAGCACTGTTGATGATGGCATTTGTCTTGACAGTGCCATCATTGATGGCATTTGGTTGCTGTTGTGAAGCCTATGTTAGCATGTGCACTTTCATGAGCCATTATGACAACAGTGTTATTTAGTGATGTCTTACAATTGTTTTCAGTGGCTTTCTTTCCATCTCGTGATATAGACTGACCATTTTCTTTCCTTGTACAATACAATACATGAATCAACTGTAAGCTACTGTAAAACCACTATTAGTTTTTGTATTTAAGTCATATTTTTTTTACCATATTTAAAAAACAAACCAGTGTATAACTTTCAATGAGTTCACTAATATTTTAATTCAGTAAATTGTTTATGCCTCCTAAACATTTTTTAAACTGAAACATCAGAACTAATTTTTCAAAATACTTGAAAATTTTAATTCATTTTTTTTATGCATTAGAATTTGACTTGAGGCTTTGTTACTCTGATGTTAACACTAGCCTGCCATAGAGTCATGTTGATGAAATGACCCCAGTGTATTTGTTGTTTCCTCTCATTATTTCATCTTCAAACCATTTAGGATATTTTTCTTTATTCCCCCTGGACCTACCCCCTCCATCTCTCCAATTTTTCCCAAATTTTATAAAATTTATCTTTTTGGCATTTATTTTCCCATTCGAGATCACTGTCTCAGTTAAATCCCCCACCCCTGACGTTTTATCTGAAATAGCTACGTCACCCACACGATTACCCCCCCCCCCCCCTGATGTTTAGTTTAGCTCAACCAGCCTTGTTGTTTCATTAGATCTCACCTCCCTTCCCTGTAAATACTTGTATATTTATATTTTATCTTCTTTTATTTTCTCGCCCGTTCATTCTTTTTTTAGTGATGTTTTTTATTCACCTCTAGAATTTTCTGCACTGCTAAAATTTTTTAGATCTAACTTTTTAACTACCTGCTTAACAGAAGTTTTTAGATCTAACTTATAAACTATAAATATAAAACTCCTTTAAATATTTCCATGTTTAAAAATCCTAATGTGTTCGTCGAAGCTGAGACATCATCATCTGATTTCACTTACGTGATAGCTGAGTCTTCCATTGAATTTTTTGTCATTTAATTTTTTAACGTCAATTACAATTTTAAAAATAAAACAGTTTTCAACCATTACAAAAATAGATCACTTATAAGAAATAAGGCCTTGGATTTGTTTACCTACGTTTATTTATCTTTTCCTAAGCAAGTTACATACTCAATTCTCAACACAACTTGATGTATAGAAAGGTTTTTTTTGGCTCAAAGAACTCTGTGTTTAAGTCTGGTTTTGTTGTGAATCATTGTCTCAGATAAATTAAAAAAAAAATTAAACAATGAATTGTCTTGATTAAAACATGAATTGTGTCGATGTTCTGTCTAATGTCACTCAGTTCAAATATTTTGTTCTTCACTAACCTGATTCCCTGTTATCTAACATTCATCATTTACTCACAATGTACACAATTATTTCACATGTATTTCTCATAGTTTCTTATATTAAATTTATTGTATATTCCTTGAACTTGATTTTTTAACATATTTTAGATCATTTTTATATACATTTAAAACAAAATGTTATCAATAGCTTTCTATGTTTATAAATAGAATTTTCTTTACTGCACTTAACTGTCTTATTTGTGCGTCATTTTAGTTTGATCAGATTATGTTGATTTTTATTGTAAAATTATTTTTGTTTTAAATATTCCACCAAATAGTTTTCTATAAGCTTGATTCATGCATAATACAATTTTTTGTTATAATTATATAGCCTTTGACATTTCACTGTACACATTATAAAGAAAGATTTAATCTTAATATAACGGTTGATGAACTTGAGGCAGGTGTGTTTTAATAGAGATATTAATCAGTTAAATATTTTATTGTAGAGTAACCTCCCTAAGATATATACTATATACATACACTGGATGTAGTTGCAATAAGTAAAGGGAGATCAAATTTATTTGGAGTTATGGTTCCTGCTATTTTACAACCCTTGTAAACACAGAACCAAATTTCAAAGCATTCATTGCATTTTTTAAAAGATAGAATGTTTTTTACCTTAAATAATTCAGTGTGATTTATTGTTTATATATGCTTCCTCCCTCTCATTTGTATTAGATAAAACCCAAAATTTATAGTATTGTATTTCTAGATAAATTCAAACATATTTACATTTAAAAAAAATTAAAATAAATTGTGCTAAGTTGTATAGGTAGTTAGCAAAAATGTTTTTGATGTAATTTATTTTATGAATTGTAATATCTTATCTTTTTTTTTTCTTAGTTTAAACCAATTTTAAACCAATGCTGATTTTTTTAATAACCATTTTCTGTAATATTTTTTTACTTATTTTAATGACACAAAAGCTGATATTTAAATGACGTCATCACTGTTATCATTTTTTTGTTGTCTTTAATAAGTCTTAAAAGTCATGTTTTAACAAGTCATAAGTCAGCTGAGAGTAGAATTTTGTCAGTGTTTTAATCATCCATGACACACATTGCGTGACATGACTTGTTTCAGGTGCTATAGTTCAACTCTGCTGCCAATCAAAACTTGTTCCCTCCCTTAAACACTGTTGTGTGTGTGTGGGGGGGGGGGGGGGGTGATGGTTATTGCCCCTTTTCTGTCTTCTTAAAATAGGTTTCAAAATTTTTTTTGGACAATTATAAAAGTCGGTGTACTTCAGGAGTGGGGGGGGGGGGGTGTTGAAAAAAATATATTTAACAGATGAAAGAAAGGTAAGTTTGATTATAATCTTTCTGTTTTTACTAGTGAGTTAATGTTATTGATAACATCATCAGTTCAAAGGGTCATTTGCCCAGTGTGGGCTACATTGGTCATCTGCCCAGTGTGGGCTACATTGGTCATCTGGCCAGTGTGGGCTACATTGGTCATCTGCCCAGTGTGGGCTACATTGGTCATCTGTCCAGTGTGGGCTACATTGGTCATCTGCCCAGTGTGGGGTATATTGGTCATCTGTCCAGTGTGGGCTACATTGGTCATCTGCCCAGTGTGGGCTACATTGGTCATCTGTCCAGTGTGGGCTACTACATTGGTCAGCTGCCCAGTGTGGGCTACATTGGTCATCTGCCCAGTGTGGGCTACATTGGTCATCTGCCCAGTGTGGGCTACTACATTGGTCATCTGCCCAGTGTGGGCTACATTGGTCATCTGCCCAGTGTGGGCTACTACATTGGTCATCTGCCCAGTGTGGGCTACATTGGTCATCTGCCCAGTGTGGGCTACATTGGTCATCTGCCCAGTGTGGGCTACATTGGTCATCTGGCCAGTGTGGGCTACTACATTGGTCATCTGGCCAGTGTGGGCTACATTGGTCATCTTGCCGCATATGTTGTTTGATATCCGGTATTTTAAATCTTTAATGAGCTACTGACTAACTTAGATTCTGAAGCCAACTTTAGCTGAGTACTAAATAAAACTGAGAAAAGTTCTTTTGTGCTAAGCTGTAACCCCACTCCTGCTATCAAAAGACAAATGATTTTTAAAAAAATCAGAAAATGGCTAGTTAAAGATGTCATCCCTATGTATAAACTACCTTAGTTCACTTGGTCACACAAGCCATCCGTTATACATATACACATAGATTTTGTATGGTGAAGTAATCGCATAACTATATGCTATCTCTTTTTGTCAATAAATAATTAAATTTTTTTCTATATCATTATGAGCTTAAAATATTTCTGTATGTATTTGTTTTAACTTAAGATTATATCTGTCTTTTAATTGGAATTTTCTTAACAAATATAAAACTTATTACAATAATGATATGCCAATGATATTTTTAGTATTTTTTAATCTTATTGATTGCATAATTGATTTTAACAAAAAATTATTTTAAAAAGTGAATGCCTGAAAAAAAAAAGATTTTTAAAAATCTAATTTCCAAATTAATTTAACTTGCTGCCAAAGCTTGAGAGTTGTTAGTTTTTTTTAAACTTTAAAAAAAAATTATGTTTTCAGCTAATCAAAACTTGATTCATTTTCACAAAGAACTTTTAAAATGAATTGTAAGTGAACAATATTAGATCAAAGGCTAATAAAATGTTGCAGGGTCAAAATAAGAGTTTGTTTATTTATGTCAGTAGTAACCCAGCAAATGTTGGTCTATTAAAAAAGTATCAAAACTAAATTTTTCACACTGAGTGAATAATTTATTCAAAAACAAAAATTGTATCAAATGGTAAGACTAAAATTTTGTGGGCTCTTCATCTGTATTTAACATCATGAATCCTGGTTCAACCCTATAATTTAACATCATGAATTCTGGTTTAATAATAGATAATTTATCATCATGAACAGGACATCTAGTTTAACCTGATAATGTAAGTTGATGAACTGAACACCACCTTAATTTGACATGTTCCTACTGTGTTAGAGAAGCTTCTATTGCTAGCTTGCATGATTTGTATTTGGTGATATCATTTGTACGCCAGCATGTCTGTTTAGTCCAACAGATTTTCACTATTATTTTATTGACATTTATTGTAGTCTATATATAACTGTAAATAAATAAAAACAATATTCTACAGAGGAAGGCTTATTCATCATTTTTAAACATATTTTTGTGTGCAATTTTGATGTTTTTTTTTTCAGTCTCAAGACAGCGCTCAGAAAATGTAATGTTGACATTTGACCTAAATCTAGACTAACTTAGGTGACCTATGTACACTAATTATATTTTAGCACTAATTGTCATACACTTAAAGAACATGCAAATCTCTCTTATATCAAGAAATCTGTTTTTATTTTAAAGGGGCTTTACAATATTTAATTAATTATGAAAATGGCAACATTATATAACAGAGAGGGATTAAATTAGCCAATAAAAAAACAACCAGTTTATGTTAATTTTAAAAATGTTGGAAGTTTAATTTCATGTGTGGAAAAAATTGTTTTATGTACATTCAATAAAAAAATCAGTATAAAATTCAAGAGGCATTTATACACAAGCCATGACTTTAAATACCTGATAGTTTTTAGCAGCATTCATACATTAAGTCATGGTTTTAAATATATGATTGTTGTTGGTCTGTTTAAAACATACATATACCAGGGGAAATAATCGCAAAAAAAGCTGGATAAATAAATAAGGGACATAATCAAGTAAAAACAAAAAAATCGCATCTTAACTTAATTACTTTAGTGTAATCAGAGATTGGTTGTTCATAAAATAAATGTTTTATAGGTAAGAAGTTTCGCAGATGCTAAGCATGTAAAGGAATTAACAGTTTAAAAAAATTAAAATTCTAAATTGTTATATAATAAAATTAATATAAATTTTAATTTGATGTAATGATATAAGTATTGATGGCGAGTCATTGAAGTTCAGACATCCAATTAACACTCACACGGACAGTCTATTATGTAGATGAGTTTTGGCAGACGATATAAATATAAGGCAGGTAATTGCACACCTTGAGAGTTAAGAGTAACTTCTGTAGAGGCCCAGAGTAAAGGTATTCCATTAACAATGTCACACTACAGGGTGGGGAGGGGGGGGGGGGGGTCGATTTGTGTTACGAGGAATATTTTTAAAGAGAAATCGATGTTTTAAAAAAACAAAATATTTTTTTTAAATTAAAAAAACTAAATTTAAAAAATGGGGGGGGGGGGGGGGGTGGGTAACGTCATTTTAGGGGTGGATTTTGGCTTTTTGTGATGATGAGGGGAGATAGTCTTATAATGTTGAGCGTGACCTCGTTTATGGATGACCCCTATCTGTCTTTACTCGATACAAAAAATATACACTGTAAACTACAATAATAAACCTGTTGAATGATACAAACACCGTAATTCCGAAATATTAAAAATGCACGTGCGAAGTTTAAAAATAACCTCGCATATTTAGCTGGCAATTCCCGAAGACTCTGGATTGTCGTTTTGTTTTGGCCTGCATGCAGATCTGGAGTGTGCGTGGAAGACGAGGGGCAGAGTGTTGCATAACATGGCAGCTTCTTGCTGGAAGGGGTTGCATTTTTTTTTCCTAGGAAAATAATTAATGAAACTAAAAGGGTAAGCTTAGTTTGGATCATGCGTGATGTAACTTTAAAAAAAAAATGTTTATTCTTTGGAGGGGGGGGGGGGGGTGGTGCGTGCTAATACTGGTACGGATGGTAAAACGCATGACCGCCAACCTAACTTCTTGTCCGTACCACAACTCTTAGTTCACCCAACTCTGATGGGTATCTGGCTCATGCTAAGGAACGTAAAAGCGGCTGAGTATTGTGCTGACCACAATATCCCTTCATATGCTGAATTCACAGAAACAGGTGAACTCTACTGATCTGCTACATGGACCCATGGTGTTGTAAGAGTAACTTCACAATGTAGGTTAGATATTATGGTGAGTAACTTCACAATGTAGGCTAGATATTATGGTAATTCCTTTCAATGACCACAGTACTCGTGTAAATATTTCGACACTTACCTTCAATGACTGAAGTGCTGATGTAGATATCATGACTGCACTTAAAGGCGTGGCTTAGCTTTCAGGACCTGTTTCACCATGAGGAGCTTTGGTTACTTTTATGCAAACAAGTTATATATATATATATATATATATATATATATATATATATATATATATATATATATATATATTCTATATCAGTATACGACAAATTGTACGCTTATAAAAACATACCTAACAAAAGCGTGATAGTAGAAAAAATACGAAACTAAAGTCAACAACTTACGAAACGAAAGCCATACTGCTACAACAAGCAGGGGATGCCTCTCATTCTTCAAGGGAGGCTGTGCTTGTTGGTGTGGTAGAAGTGGCTGTAGTTGACTGCGGATGTACATGGTTAGATGGTGGTGGATGAAGTGGGGATGCACATGGTTAGATGGTGGTGGATGAAGTGGGGATGCACATGGTTAGATGGTGGTGGATGAAGTGGGGATGTACATGGTTAGATGGTGGTGGATGAAGTGGGGATGTACATGGTTAGATGGTGGTGGATGAAGTTGAATGCAAAATGTTCGTCATTGCAATTTGATGTGTGTAAAATGTTGGAGAATGAAGTTGGACGCAGTGTCAAATTTTGGTGTCTGACGTAAGTTAATACATGAAAGGTAAAAGCCCCACCCTAGCCATAACTTTAGGCCGACAATAGCCTTAGCCATCATCCCGCTACGGGATACCAGCAATCTGAGTGTAGGGTACAGCTAACTGTACACACATGTCCCATTCATCACAGACACACTGACGTACACTGATAAAGACACTAACACACCACACATATACATGTCAACCTGTTAACTGCACCACAACAGGATGAGCCTGGGCTAACCTACACACTGAGATCCACTGAATTTTGACCCAAATGTTGACCGAATGTTGACTCACCTATATAGTTCATGTCTCTCTTCATGCTACATGCCCGCTCACCCTGAAACAGCATACAATTGAATTAGTTTACATAATACGTCATACTAAGATAAAGCTAGACGCTAAAGTAACCCACATAACTCAGCAAGACGCTAAAGTAACCCACATAACTCAGCAAAAAGCTAAAGTAACCCACATAACTCAGCAAGACGCTAAAGTAACCCACATAACTCAGCAAGACGCCAAAGTAACCCACATAACTCAGCAAGACGCTAAAGTAACCCACATAACTCAGCAAGACGCTAAAGTAACCCACATAACTCAGCAAGACGCTAAAGTAACCCACATAACTCAGCAAGACGCTAAAGTAACACACATAACTCAGCTAGACGCTAAAGTAACCCACATAACTCAGCTAGACGCTAAAGTAACACACATAACTCAGCAAGACGCTAAAGTAACCCACTAAATCAACAAGACGCTAAAGTAACCCACATAACTCAGCAACACGCTAAAGTAACCTATATAACTCAGCAAGACGCTAAAGTAACCCACATAACTCAGCAACACGCTAAAGTAACCTATATAACTCAGCAAGACGCTAAAGTAACTTACATAACTCAGCAAGACGCTAAAGTAACTTACATAACTCAGCAAGACGCTAAAGTTACCCACATAACTCAGCAAGACGCTAAAGTAACCCACATAACTCAGCAAGACGCTAAAGTAACCCACATCACTCAGCAAGACGCTAAAGTAACCCACACAACTCAGCAAGACGCTAAAGTAACCCACATAACTCAGCAAGACGCTAAAGTAACCCACATAACTCAGCAAGACGCTAAAGTAACCCACATAACTCAGCAAGACGCTAAAGTAACCCACATAACTCAGCAAGACGCTAAAGTAACCCACATAACTCAGCAAGACGCTAAAGTAACCCACATAACTCAGCTAGACGCTAAAGTAACCCACATAACTCAGCAAGACGCTAAAGTAACCCACATAACTCAGCAAGACGCTAAAGTAACCCACATAACTCAGCAACACGCTAAAGTAACCCACATAACTCAGCAAGACGCTAAAGTAACCCACTAAATCAACTAGACGCTAAAGTAACCCACATAACTCAGCAAGACGCTAAAGTAACCCACATAACTCAGCAAGACGCTAAAGTAACCCACATAACTCAGCTAGACGCTAAAGTAACCCACATAACTCAGCAAGACGCTAAAGTAACCCACTAAATCAACTAGACGCTAAAGTAACACACATAACTCAGCAAGACGCTAAAGTAACCCACTAAATCAACAAGACGCTAAAGTAACCCACATAACTCAGCAACACGCTAAAGTAACCTATATAACTCAGCAAGACGCTAAAGTAACCCACATAACTCAGCAACACGCTAAAGTAACCTATATAACTCAGCAAGACGCTAAAGTAACTTACATAACTCAGCAAGACGCTAAAGTAACTTACATAACTCAGCAAGACGCTAAAGTTACCCACATAACTCAGCAAGACGCTAAAGTAACCCACATAACTCAGCAAGACGCTAAAGTAACCCACATAACTCAGCAAGACGCTAAAGTAACCCACATAACTCAGCAAGACGCTAAAGTAACCCACATAACTCAGCAAGACGCTAAAGTAACCCACATAACTCAGCAAGACGCTAAAGTAACCCACATAACTCAGCAAGACGCTAAAGTAACCCACATAACTCAGCAAGACGCTAAAGTAACCCACATAACTCAGCAAGACGCTAAAGTAACCCACATAACTCAGCTAGACGCTAAAGTAACCCACATAACTCAGCAAGACGCTAAAGTAACCCACATAACTCAGCAAGACGCTAAAGTAACCCACATAACTCAGCAACACGCTAAAGTAACCCACATAACTCAGCAACACGCTAAAGTAACCCACTAAATCAACTAGACGCTAAAGTAACCCACATAACTCAGCAAGACGCTAAAGTAACCCACATAACTCAGCAAGACGCTAAAGTAACCCACTAAATCAACTAGACGCT